AAAATTGACACTAAGAAATCAAGTTTAAAATCTGCAGAGTAAATATAGAATAAAATAGGTGGAACTGATTTTTTAAAACCCTCTGCTGTTGTCTTACATGCCACTGATTCATCTTTACAGGAAATTTTAATGCAATATGAAAGTATATGGGTTTGGGTAGAGGCCAAAGTGGACTTGTTCAATGGTTACTTCAGTAGTATTTTTGTCAAAGTCCAAGAAGTATTTCTGAAACCACCACTGCATTCCAAACACACATGATGCAAGCATCACAGGAAGCTTCATAGGGGTGTGTCCCTAATCATTCAGCTTAGGAGCTTGATGGGGATGTTACACAGAGCAGTAGATATTGGTCTGTGAACACCCCTGCAATCTTTTGGGTATGACCCAATAAAACTATTATTAAAATGTTTACAGCCAGGCATTCTGCTTTCTCCCTAGCATGTGTAAGGCAACTGACATAAATATGATTAAGCTAGTAACATCATTAAAGACAAGACAAATAAAATAACAAAAACCAAACAAGGCAGAGGGATAACTCATGAAGGCTGTTGACCTGATGGAATAAGAAAATCTTTCAAAGGATATTTAAATGAACAACAAAAAAAACCCCAAACTGGATTTGAGATTTTCAAATGCTGTTCCACAATGCTTATGCTTCCGCTACACACAGAATCGTTGATTAGCTAAGCACATTTTACAATAACATGCTCTGCAAACCCAGATTGTATGTTAGTTTAGAATTCAATTTTATCATGGAAATCCAGAAAATTGGGTGGAGTATAATAGAATTACAATACATTAATAATGAGTGTATTGTGCACCTCATTTAGGGTGTGACAATAATTAAGGTATTATACTGTGGACCATAGCCAGGCCCATCTATCAAAGCACAGACAGATATGCAAAACACTCCCCATTGCCTATGCTTTAGTTTAGATCAATCTTCCAATATCTCTATATTGGGAGTGAGTGAAATGCACTGGCCTGAAAATGGAATGTGTAGAATAGGAGATCATACTATCTACTACTCTGGTGAAAATAGCAAATACCATTGAAATGGAGTAGCTATAATCGTAAACAATCTTGTAAATAAATGCATCAAGTCCTTTATTATTGTATCTGATAGAGTGATGAAGATCCAAATAAATAGTACTCCAGTAAATATGAATGTTATACAAGTTTACGCTCCCATAGCTGACAGCGATGAGGACGATTTAGAGAAGTTCTACAAAGATATAAGCAGTGTACTGAAAATCCTAAAAAGTGATGATATCACAATACTCATGGGGGACTTCAATGCAAAAGTGGGAGAAGGAAGTGATGCTCCTGTAGTTGGAAACTTTGGCTTAGGAACCAGAAATGGTAGAGGTGACAGATTTGTAGACTTCTGCAAGGAACATAGGCAATGTATGATGAATACTTTTTTCAACTTGCCAAAAAGACGTCTCTACACTTGGAGATCACCAGCAGATACACGAAATAATGTAGTAAGGAATCAAATTGACTATTTTACAATAAACAAAAGATTTAGAAGCTCAGGTGTAATAAAGACCCCATATGGCCCTTTAGTTTAACAGTATGAGCAATTGAAGACCTAGTTACATAACGTCCATTTATCAGAAGGCAAACTGGTAAGAGTAACACCCACCACCCCTTCAAGGATTTTAAGATCACACATTAAAACTAAGAGTATCAAGATTTGAGATCAATAAAAGGAAATATTATGTACCAAACACATGGTTAAACAAATGAATTTATCATCAGATGCACGCGATGGCACAAGGTAGAGGGTTTTAAGCAAGAGTAGATAAATAATACTATCAGTTCTGAGTGAGGTTAGAATTCGGTATTTTGCTAAGCTGCATTATTTTGTATGGATTATTTGATATTTTGCTTTATATATTTTTGCTACTTTTTTGCATTTTGCATTTCTTTCTACTTGCTATTAATTTCTCCTTCCTCAGGGAGGAAGCATATTGGAAGTGGGTTGGGATGGAATTACTACTGTCAAAACAAACAATTTTTTAAAAATTCTCCCCCCAGAATTTTTTCAGTTTTTCAGCCTGGATAAAACTCATTAGAAGCTAAGTATCTTATTTTCTTCACTTGATGGCAGAAGACAAATTCTGCTTTTAGCTGTAGGCTGATCATTTCTGTCCTAAAAAAAATGGTACAATCTAATTATTATTATTTTTGTGCTTTGAGTGAGTGTTGACACTTGTGACTGCCTGGACCAGTTTTCTGCTGTTTTCTTGGCAAGATTTCAGAAGTGGTTTGCCATTGCCTACTTCCTAGGATAAGAAGATAGCAAAGGGCTCAAGGTCACCCAGCTGGCTAAGTGATAAGGCAGGACAATGATTTATGGCCTGGTGCCTTAACCACTACACCAAACTAGCCCTTAAATGAATGTGCAAATATGAAGAACGTTTATAATTTTGACACATTTGCTTTCTTCCTGTCCTTCAGAGCTAGCTGGCTCAATAAAACCTATAATCTCCCCTTGATCTTTTCCATATAGCTTGATTCTCTAACCTCAATAATGTTCCCTCGCTCAAGTTTATTGGTATCTTTTTCCAATCCAACAGATACGCAAGCAAGATGCAACTCAAAATCAGACTGAATTAGAACCAAACTGGAGAGCCATTTCTCTTTCCCACTGAGGAATTGAATTGCTGTACCATCCTCTGTGGTTTTAATGTTTATATAGTTCACTATAACTTTACATTTTTTCTTCAAGGTTAGTCAGTTTCCAAACATTTTATATTACAATCAATTTTTATTCCTAATATTGATACAGATACACCTAAAATTCCAATTATTTTCTATATGTCAGTGAAAATTTTTTGAATTTGCTGCAGTCAAAAATACTAAGTTTCTCTGTGATTTGTATGGTGTTGAAACATTTCTATTTTTGCTCCCAAAACATTTAGGGAGATGAGTGTTATGGAGCAGTCTCTTAACGTTACCACCTAAAACAATGCTGATTCACAGATTGCAATACTATACTTTGGGTGTGGCTAACAATCAAGAGTGCATCCACCTGATGTTATTTATGCATTTTGCCATGTATAAAACACCAGAGTTTGCTCTAGGGAATTAAGTCATATATTATACTGTTGATCAGATACATCTAGGTATATCAGCATGATGCCTCACCCATACTACATACATTAATAGCTGACACACACTAATAGTGTTTACACAGCATGTACACCTAGACAACAGAACAAATATGGAGTTAGCGATTCAGATCCTAGATATCACAACTTAGATCACAGCCAAACTGCAAGTACCTTAAATAGAGGTAATTTACTCCTAAACATATCCCAGAAAACTGATTCTGGTTTTATCTGATAGCTTGACTTTCAACAAAACAAAACCCCTGCACTGGCAACTTTATTAAATTATTAACAGCAATGGCTGCACAAATCAAACAACAATCTTGGCATGCAAGTCCTGGAACAATCTCCATTTCCCTGTCTGATCTCTCCCATAGAAGTGTTACAAGAAACAGTGTGAAGGCATTATAGTCTAGTGCAGGCACCTTCAAACTTGGCCCTTTTATGACTTGTGGACTTCAACTCCCAGAATTCCTCAGCCAGTGTGCCTGGCTGAGGAATTCTGGGAGTTGAAGTCCACAAGTCATAAAAGGGCCAAGTATGACAACCCCTAGTCTAGTGGCTAAGGCACCAGGCTAGAAATCAGGGGACTGTGAGTTCTAGTCCTACTTTAAGCGTAAATGATGGCTGGATGACTTTTGGCCAGTCACTCTCCCTCAGCCCAATTCACCTCCCAGGGTTGTTGTAGGGAAAACAGGAAGAGGAAGTCATATTAGATATGTTCACTGCTTTGCATTATTTATGAAAATAATAAAGGCAGGATAAAAAAATCAAAATGATAAATAAGAATAAATTATCTGAAAGTCTTAAACTCTCAGGACTTTGTGTGAATAGTTCTCCTATGCTCTCTGCAAAATGACCCACCTAGCACCCACCTTTATGTAATTTCTGTGCAGGCCCTTAGCTAACGTAAGAATTTGAGGCAAGGGTGGATGGAGATACTTAACAAGAGTATAAATGAGCACATGCAACTTCTGCTGCAGAAGCTGTTAAAAAGGTGGAGAATATATTGCGGTTATTAGAATCTATTTGTAAACTATCCTTTAATTATTTTTCATTGCTGTTGCTTCTTGTAAGTTGTTTCAACCCTCTTGTCGGTTGATCACTATTTCAGTGTTTATTTCCGGTGAAAATCTTACTTTATGTTATTTCTTAACCTGATTAAGATTTGGGAGGGTTGAGGTTACCAAGTTGAAAAAAATCTGGAAGTTTTCCTTTTATAAAAGGAAATAAATCCAGGCAGGCAGCCACCTTAATCAGGAACTTAACAGAGTTGAGGTGTGTCTCAAAGGTGCTTTTTCTTCAAAAGGCAATTGGACTGTTTTTTTCCTTGAGTAAGAAAAAAGCACCTCTGAGACAACTGTGACCTGGGTGACTGAGAATCTCCACAGACAGATCTAAGGTGTGTATTTGCCCTGCGGACAAAACCATCCCAATCCCGCCCCGCCAGTATCCGCGTGAAAAAACACACACACACACAAAAAAACACGAAGGCGGAGTAGAGAGAAGTGCCACCGAGGGTCAAGCCGATCTGCACGTCCGGGCCGATCCCCAGAGAGCGGCTGGAGCGGTGAGCTCAGGGTCTGGAGGAGGCACGGAGGAGGGCAGGACGGTGCTGGCAGATCGGCGGACCCGGGGCAGGGAGGGTCAGGGCAAGGCGAGGCCGAGCAAGTGACGAGGCTCCCGCCTGGCTTTTCGCCAACGGGCCCCTCCCAGCGCTGGATGGGGAAAGCCGCGACGCCTCTTGTTGTGTGCGGTCTGCGCCGCACGTCCCCTCGAACTGAAAGATGACGCTCCGGCAGGAGGAAGGCGGGAGGCGTGTCTGCCCGGAGGAGCAGAAGATCTTCAGCCCAGGCTCGCTTTAGCTGCGGGAGAGGCGACATGTCGCGGGTGCCTTCTCGCCGCCTGTGTCGGGCGCTGCTGCTCCTCCTCCTCGCCCTGCTCTCCGGAGGCGCTTCCGAGGAAGCCCCGACGGCGGAGCAGCGCTGCTTTTGTCAGGTGAGACGGGCCGGCAGGTAAGCGGGTGCCTCCTTCGCCCACCCCGTAGGGCTCACTCCGCCTGGGGCAGCTCCGGTATAGGTGCTGCGGGAGGATAGCCACTCTTCCCCGCGTGGCTCCCGGCTTTGCTGGGGAAGCCTCTCTCTACAGTAGCGGGGCTCGGATCCAGGAGGCGACCCGGCTTTGGGCTTGGGGAGATGTCCGAATGGGGGCGCGCGTCCTTCTTTGCCTCCCCCCCCCTCTGGAAAGGAAAGGCTTCCCTCTTTCGCATTTCTCCTTGGATATTTGGTGGCGGATTTGGGGGAAGAGTTGCAGTACCGTAAGCGCCAGGACGGCGGGCCGGAGCTCTAACCCTCGCTAGGTAAGCCCCAAGGCGCAGGCTTTCTCTGTAATTAAACTGGGATCATAAAAGTGGAAGGGCCATTAACGCTACGGGAGCCCGGATCCTGCTGCCTTTCTGGATAACTCGTTCCCACGGGCTATCTGGTTCTGTAAGGAGAAATTATGGCCTTTGGTAGGGCTAGAAAGATTAGGAGAAAGGGGCTTTGATGCTAAAAGGTATTATAAGGCTGTCCTAGCGTGCTACAACATCTTTATTGTACCACCTGCGATGAGCTATATTATGGTTGGTGGCTACATTCTTAAAAAAAATTAAGGATTCAGCTCGACTCTCTTCTGTGTAAAACAAATTGTTGAAAGAAAGTTGAATGGAGGAACAGGAAAGGATGTACAGCATCCTTTCCCAGGCTGGTACCTTCTAGATGTGTTGGAAACTGTTGGAAATTTTGCAGTTTGGGTTGGGCTTAACTACAGGCACCCAGATACTTGGTATGTTCCTAAGGATAAGTGGCTATCTTGGTAATTTGCTTTTTAAAAAACTTTTTTAAAAAAATTCATAATAATGAATGGGAGGCTACTGTGTTGTAAAGCAAAGAAGCATCAACTTCAAACATGCTATGTAGTATTTTTAATTATACCCTTAGGCCAGGGGTTCCCAACCCCCAGTTTGTGGACCAGTACCGGGCTGCAGCATGCCAGCAACCAGTCCACACAAACAAGCAAAGCTCCATCCATGGGATGCAGGCAGCACACAAAACCATGCACCCTCCGGTCTGTGGAAAAACCTCTCTCCACCGAACTGGTCCCTGGTGCCCCAAAGGTTGGGGACCTCTACCTTAGGCTACATAAAATGTTGTAGCTGTATTTTGTTTGCTGTCTGATATATGGGGATTTTGTGATTGGTCACATCCACTGTGGTAGTCATTTCATGTGGAATTTTAACATGCTTTTGAAATTCACTAGTCTAAAATGTTGGTGACCCCTGGCTTAACATAAATACCCATTGTAAACTATAAACTACGTGTGTTAACCCAGAGAACTCTGAATCTAGCAAGCTATAATTTGAGTTACTTGAATCAGGTCTGAGAATTTCAATCCCAAAATACTGAGCCTGGAATTTTACATAATCGCACAGCAGTAGATCTCATTGAACTTATTGTAACTTCTGAGTGGACATGTAGAGCAAAACAGCTAAAGATTGTTTCTCTGATATGGCCCCTGGTTGTGTGGACTAATCTCTCATCTGAAACTAACTTGTCACACCATAGAGTAGACCAAGACTTGATAAAGACAAGAACTCTTCCAAAGAGTTTTTGTTATTGATTAGAAGATAATGTCTGTGAGTGGGATGGGTGACTATTTTTAATGTGTAGTTTTATTATGATGATTTATTCCAATGGACAGTTTCACTTAACTGTGGATGATTCATTGCACTATATTATGTTGTAATTGGAGGAGTCATTATACAATATGGCAGTATACAAGAAAGATTCCAAGTTTTTTTGTGGCTTCTCAGAAACTAATTGCTATTATCTCTGGGTGGTCGTGCTAAGTATTCTTAAAGATAGTCTATTTTTATTGCTAATTACCATGCCTATGATAAGAATAAGTACCAGCAGAAGAAAATGTTTGTAGCTCAGGGTTTTGCTGTGGGGTCCTTGGTGATCTATGAACTTGCAGACGTTTCATTATCAAACTACCCGTGTTTTCCTGAAAGTAAGACCCGGTCTTATATTATTTTTGCCTCCAAAAGAGGCAGTAGGTCTTACTTTCGGGCGGTGTCATATTTTTTGTGACACCTGCCTCGCCTCAGGGCGGCGGCGCCAACAGCCCCATCCAGCACTGGCCCACTTCTGCTGTGGCCGCAAGGAATGGCCTGGCTGTGGGGGCCCTGGAGGAAGTGGGTGCAGGGCGGGTGGGGCAGCTCCACCCTCTCCCCTACCTGCCTTGCCTCATTGTGGTGGCAGCGGCACGATGTGCTGTGTGGCCTCCTGCCCCATTGTGGCAGTCAGGTGGGACGGAGTGGGAGGGGTTCTAATTAGGGCTTATTTTTGGAGTAGTGCTTATATTAGGCCCACCCCCACAAATCAGGGTAGGACTTTTTTTCGGGGTGGGGTTTATTTTCGGGGAAACACGGTAGGTAACATCATCTGCACATTAAAGATCATCCCCATATCGCTGCTCTCATTTGCTAGCACTGATGATGTTGCCTAGTTTGGTAATGAAATCTCTGCAAGAAAACCACCAAGCTCAGAGAGCATCAAGGAACCCTGTAAGAAAAAGTAACCTGATGGTCTCCAGATATTTAGGAATTCCATACCATTAATTCTAACCTTCATTGCTCATGTCAAGGAATATAATCCAAAGAGGGTTCCAGATTCCTGATTTGTGTGCTGCTTCAGATTAAGGACTTGTTTTTATTAATAGGAATGTGTGTGTTTGAGGTGACAGACATGATTGAGACTTGAATATATGCTCCAATGAACATCATCACTTTTTTCAAGGTCCCTATTTACTGTGGTTGACTCCCTTCTAGGTAGATTGTAATTACTGTACTGTCAGACCTGCCACAATTTAAACCTCTAAATAGAAATAATCCTTGGCTCCATTTGTTCAGAAAGGTATAGTTTATTAGAGATCAAGTGTATTACAGTAGTTTCTTTCATTGGGATTCATGCAGTAGGCTAAGCTGTAATATCTTCTTGTTTACGGTTTGCTATTATATAAAGTCAGCCAATTATCATGTGTTCAGTAAGTAATTCATGGTTAAGAAAAGTACAGTTCATTGTGTTGTACAAAAATAGCTGAGCTTGTTTGAGGCCAAATTACGTACATCTCCAAACTGATGTATGTTGAGTTGGAGTATCAGGCCATATGGAGAGTATTATTTCAGAAAGGATGCTTTAAAGACATAGCTAGCAGAAATGTATTCCAGAATCACTCTGAAATAAGATTGCAGGGTTTACTCTAATCCTAACCTCCTTCACTGATCTTTCCTGAAATCAGCATTGCAAGAACAGCATACTCTCATACTTTGGTTTTACAATTCACTTCATTTGCCCACGTTGGTCTATTGATTGGTTCAGGCAGAGTATAATATAAATTGATTTTAAGAGGTACATGTTTATTTCAGAAGCAGTAATAAGGCACATTCATTCTTAAATTAATAGATATCCCTAATGACTAAGAATGAAAATTAGTTCAAATTCTTACTGAGGTTTATATTCAGTGCTTTCATCTATAGGTATATTGCCCCTATTCTTTATCAAGGGAAGAGTTTATTGCTAGAAGATTAATTTTGTCTAGCATGGTTTGAGCATCTTTTAAGTTAAAGGCACTCTCCCATCTTGTGGGACTGAATTCTAGAATATATACACAATATGTAATGACTGTGCTTAAGGTGTATTTCTGTTTGGCCTTTATGAAGTCCTTACTGGCTGGCTCCATTGGATGATGTGATTTTTTTTAGTAGAAAGCATACATTAATAAACATACGCTGATTAAAAATGTATGCATTTGCAATGCTTGCCAGTCTCTGGATCATACAAGGAAGTGAGACATTGCTACCAGCTGTAGGACTTTGTCAACAAATTTTGTTAGCACTTCAGTGTAAAACTCTTAATTGTGACTAATAACTTGAATTCTACTAGGTAGAAGTCAAACGGGTAGCATGTAGGAATTTCTCTCTCTCTCTCTCTCTCTCTTTGAACTTCCTTGTAAGGCCACGTGCTATAAATCTCCCTTCCCCGGAAATTACTCTTTTCTGAGCTGTTTTTCAAAGACTTGTCTCAATTTAGCTTCTGAAGCAAACAATCACACAGCTAAAACAATAACTGAATCACTGAGTAACTTGAATACATTTGTTTTCAATGATAGGTTACTGAATGGATCTCCTGTTCCTCCCTTAAAGCACAAATGATGATGATTAAATTAATTTAAGCCCTGCCATTTTTGTTTAAAAAGCACTCAAGTCATGAAAAGAATCAATAATGCACACGAACTAGAATAAATGCTTGTCTTTCAACAAAATTAAATATATAACAATTTTATTGCTTGTCACTTTTAAGGTTTTTTTTTAAAGCCCGCATAAGTGGAATGGTTTTTACTGCCCATGAGAAAAATAGGGATCAGATGTTTTCCTTTGGGGTGACTCTTTCAACTTTTGCACGGTCTCAAACAAAAATAAATGTAACCTTGGATGGCTGAAGGAGGCTTCTGGACGGGGTGGAGATGTAATTTTGTTTTACTGAGGAGGTTTGGATGGAGAACAACGGGCTTCAACTGACCCTTGGTCCGATGGAGGTGGCTGTGGGTGGGGGATTCCTTTTATCTGAGGGTTTACCATCTTTGGTATTCGATGGAATTGCACTGCCCCAATGAACCTGGTGTGTAATCTGGGGGTTCTTCCAGAACTCAGTATTCCTGCTTAAGGAGTAGGTAACAGTTGTGGTTAGGAGAGCCTTTCCTCAATTTTGTGTTGTGTAACAGTTGTGCTCTTTCCTGTATTGGGAAACTCTTTTCTTAATCACTCACATCCTGTTCATCTCAAGTATGGACTAGTGCAGTGTGCTGTACATGGGGCTACCCTTGAAAAATACCCAGAAGCTGCAGCTGGGGCAGAGCGTGGCTATACAGATAGTTCTGGGAACCCCTGGAGTGCATATGTAACATTTCTGCTATGTGAGCATCATTGGGTGCCAGTTTGCTTCCGGGTCCAATTTATGGTGTTGGTTATCACCTTTAAACTCTTTCATAAGATGGGACCAGGTTACTTGAGGAACCGTCTTGTTCCAATTACATTGACCTAATCAGGCAGAGGGAGTACATTACAGACCTCATCTGCTAAACAATTCTGATCAAATTCTGACCAGTGAATCTAGGAAGAAAATCTTTCTACCATTGCTATTTTGCTTAAAAACAGAAGTAAATGCCAATTTCCAGCAAAAACGACATAAAATTAGGTCATATGATTGTGAGAAGCTGCAAACAGCCATAAATGTGGGCTGGTTGCTAAGCGCCGGATATGTGATCATACGACCTTGAGGAGGGCAACCGTTGGAACTTCAGTATTGGAAAATAGGGACCTTTGGGGGGAATCCATAATTTTGAATGGTTACTAAATGATTCGTCGTGAGTCGAGAATTATCTGTATGCCTTGTAGCTGAATAGAATATATGTAAGGTAGGAGTTCTTGTGTATTTTACTCCGCTAGTCATTGTGGACTACAGGGGGTGGTGCTCATCTCTGTTTCAAGCCCATTGAGCTGTCTGAAGACATTTCTGCGGTCATGTGGCCAGCAAGTAATACATATACATGAAAGAAAACTTACTAAATTTGGTGAAATTTTAATTTAGACAAATGAGTCCAGATATCTGTGTAAGAGAAAGAGCCCCTCCCTTATAGCTTAATATATTATAAGTTGGTTGTCAGGCGCAAGAATTAAGGAACAAGGATAGAGTTCAAAAGTCTTACAAGTTTATTTCATGCTACCTGTCCACAAGAATCTGAACTTCTAACAGTTGAGGTGAACTGGCACCAGATAAGGCTCAACGGACTTCGTGTGTGTGGGGGTGGACTTAGGTCTCTTACTGGAGCATTAGAGACTCCAAACTGATGATGCATTTGACTCCGCCCTCGATTTCTGCCTAGTCACCTCCTACACTGAGGTAGATAGTAGAGTTCTTTAGTTTGGCAAGATTCTGCTTCTACCATGTTTTCCCCAAAGTAAGACCTACCCCAAAAATAAGCCCTAGCTTATAAGCCTTATCCCCCAAATAAGCCCTAGTTTGGGGGCAAGGCGCATGCCTAAAAATCAAGCTAGGGCAGTGGAGTGGAGCTGCCTCCCATCCCCTGAAAATAAGACCTGATGCCTCTTTTGGAGGCAATAAAAAAAATAAGACCGGGTCTTATTTTCGGGAAAACACGGTAGGTGTGGAACAATAAAAAATTCAGCTTGGAAGAATCACCAGTTGTCATTCTTGATTTGGGGCCTGACAATTTGGACATAATGGCCAATCAGAACTTGGTGCGTGTTTGCATACTTTCCTCTTTTCAATAGCAAAACCATTGAGCAAGTCCAGGATAGTTGATCCAGTAAGAATGCTAGTTTGTTTAAAACAAAAAAAAAGTTAGGATTCATAAACCAGAAAAAAGTCCTGATAGTACTATGGGGCAAAGCCAGAACTACTGGTTTGAGTAACACTAAATTAAGCAAAATATCCTTTCCCCTTAAAAAGAAGTGTAAAAATATGAGGCAATGGGAGAAGGTGGAGTGAATTATTTCCTCTTCTAGTTTCAAGCATCTTTGGACACATTGAGAGCACAATTTTCTTTCAAGCATAGAGATAATTTGGATCTTGACATTCAGATATTTTTTTTTTACTAAATGCTGGGTAAATTGTTACAGGAATTATTTTGCTGTTTTTAAAATATCTAATCCTCTTTTTTTTTTCATTAGGTCACTGGCCATTTAGATGACTGCACTTGTGATGTTGAGACAATTGATACCTTCAACAATTATGAACTTTTCCCCCAGTTGCAAGAACTTCTACAAAGTGATTATTTCAGATATTACAAGGTAGCTGTTAGAACGGATCTACTTTTTATATGCATATACGCCCATATTCATCATGACATTCTTCTTTTGGGGAAAGCATTGTCATGCAGAGTGGAGTAAGAAACGCTAGGCCAAAGAAATTAAAAACATAGAGTAAGAAAAACCAGGTAAAACTTTTTATACTTACAAACAATCTTATTACTTCCATGCCCACTTACTAAACTATCTCCTTTAAACCTATCACCTGTCTTGTTTGAGGATCTTACCAGCTCCATCCAACCAAAACATTCTAAAACTTTCTGGCTGAGGAAGTCTGGGAATTGAAGTCCACATATCTTAAAATTCCCATGTTTGAAAAACACTGTTGTAAATGGTGAACCCACCTCACTTATTTTGTACTGATCAGTTCTGTATTTTACCCACATTCATTCTGCACACATTTATTTTTGACCTTATCAAGGGAATCACAAATCATCTCTTGTTATCTGCCCAGAGTTAAACTAATTTCTAAGCTATCCACATATTTTCATGCTCATTTTACTTCTATTTACATACAGCTGTTAATACATATGCCAACCAATTTTCAACTTCTCATTCACACAAAAAAGACTGTAATTCAGGCTTATTTTTATTTACATGATACGTTTTTTCGAAGTCCAAAAATGTACAAGATATTTCTCCAGATAAAACAACTGCATCAGTTGACTATGATGCAACCAAAAAAGCTAATACAATCCTGGGTTGCATAAACAGAGCATAGAATCAAGATCACGCGAAGTATTAGTACTGCTTTATAAAACCCTAGTAAGACCACACCTGGAATACTGCGGCCAGTTTTGGTCACCATATCATAAAAAAGATATTGAGAGTTTGGAAAAAATTCAGAGAAGAGCAACTAAGATGATCAAAGACTTGGAGACTAAAAAATGCGAAGAACGGCTATGGGACTTGGGTTTGGCTAGTCTAAAGAAAAGAAGAAACAGGGGAGACATGATAGCAGTGTTCAGTATCTGAGGGGCTGCCACAAGGCAGAGGAGGCCAGGTTGTTCACCAAAGCACCAGAGGGAAGGATGAGAAACAATGGTTGGAAATTGATCAAAGAGAGAGGCAACCTGGAATTAAGGAGAAACTTCCTGACAGTAAGGACAATCAACCATTGGAACAGCTTACCCCCAGAAATCGTGGACACTCCATCACTGGAGACTTTTAAGAAGAGACTAGACATTCACCTATCTGAGACGGTATAGGTTCTCCTGCTTGAGCAGGGGGCTGGACTAGAAGACCTCCAAGGTCCCTTCCAGTTCTATTCTATTCTATTCTAATAATAAACCCTTTATTATCAAAATATAACATGTATACAGTGAAATTGGCTGAGCCTCCCTCTGTGCCCCCCCTCACCACAAACTCACGGTGACTACAAACCCCCAATTTATTTCACCCGGTGAACTAATTGCACATCACGCCGGCCTCGCGAGTCTGTCATGCATAAAGTTATAAAATTATGTCCCATTCAGAAGCCTGACAGCCCATGGATAAAAGCTGTTCTTCAGCCTGTTGGTACGGCTGGCTATGTTTCTGTATCTCCTACCTGATGGTAGGAGAGTAAAAAGGTACCAACCAGGATGTGAGCCATCCCTGAGAATTTTCCTCACTCTGCCAAGGCAATGGGCCCTGGCGATGTCATCCAGTGGAGTCAGGGAACAGCCCACGATGTCTTGTGCCGTGCTCACCACCCTCTGCAATACCTTCCTGTCCACGGCTGTCAGGCCAGCATACCAAACCACAATACAATATGTGAGAACGCTTTCAATAGTAGACTGGTAGAAGAAGGTCATGAGTCGTCGTTCTACCCTGTTCTTCCGCAAAACCCTGAGGAAGTGGAGTCTCTGTTGGGCCTTTCTGGCCACCTGGGCTGTATTAATTTTCCAGATAAGATCTTCACAGAGGTAGACTCCCAGGAATTTGAAGGAGGAAACTCTCCACACAGTCCCCTCCGATGTAAAGTGGGGCAGGTTCCTCTCTTTTCCTCCGAAAGTCTAGCACCATCTCATTCTATTCTATTCTATTCTATTCTATTCTATTCTATTCTATTCTATTCTATTCTATTCTATTCTATTACATTTTTAATGTTCTCAGAGTGTTTATAAATCTTTTTATCATCTTTTTCTTAGGGGACGAATATTTATAGCATTAATTTCAGCTACGTTCTTCAACGTATGACTCTTACCTTGAAATAAACCTCTGAATTGCTCCATCCAACATTCCCTCACTTTCATTTCATCCCAAATCATTTTATCATTTTGATCTGTAAAAATAATTTTTCATTCCGCTAGTATAACTCCATAAACATCTGTGATATCCAAACCTCTTACTTTTCACATTGTTACAAGAAGCTACCATGTTCTCTTTCCCCGTTCATTTAGATTACAATAATTTAACTTCTGATACTTTTTCATACTCTTCAGAACCCACCATAAAATAGTTCCAGCATTTTCTATTTTTAAAAAATGCTGATTTTTTTTGAGACTGCTTATTGTACATATGTAGGTATGTTTACTTTTTTCAGCACTACTTTTCAAATTCTTAAAAATTATATGCATAAAGGAAAAAAGTTGTTTATGTGGTATATCCAGTTTGGTAAAAAAATAATGGTTAAGGCACCAGGTTACAAACCAGAAAACCAGTAAGTGACCAGGTTTAATTGTAGTTCTAGTCCTGCCTTAGGCATGAAAACCAGCTGGGTGATTTTGGGCCAGTCAGTCTCTCTCAGCCCAACTCTACCTCCCAGGGTGATTGTTATGAGAAAAATAGGAGGAGAAAGAAGTATTAGGTATGTTAGCCACCTTGAGTTGTTTATCAAGATAATAGAGGTAATAAGCCAATAATTAAAAGTATGCTTTAATGGATTGTCAAAAATATATTGCATTTAATTCCAACAGCTACTATTACACAATTCAGCCCATTTTTCAGTTGCATGACTTAGCCTTGGTTGAAATATGTAGTATTTTGATTATTGCTGAATCACAGAAGACAGTATAGAAGAAAGCGTTAGAAATGAATGACCAGACTTTTATTTCATCCTTAGTTTGTCTATAATTTAAAAACAGTATTCACCTTTTCCTCCTCTTTTCCAGGTTAACTTAAAGAAGCCTTGCCCTTTCTGGAGTGATGGTAGTCACTGTGGAGTTAGACACTGTGCTGTTAATCCATGCTCATCTGTAAGTATAAGGAAACAAAACAAAATCCTTTTCTATTTTCCAAATCCTGATATATTTTAATATATTCTATTTAGCCTGCAGAAGACTTACTATATGGAGAATACAAATGCCAAACCTTAGCAATATCCCAGCATGCTCCTTTGCTTTATTTTGTTATGAAAAATATGATAGAAAATCTGTTTCTTCTATTGGTTCTTTTAGAAGAACTGTCTGGCTTCTGTTTATTCTGTTGATGATATGACTCCCTGTACATGCTCAGAAAATACATAAGCTCTCCTTGCCTATTCATGGAGCTCTCCTAGCCCTTCTTCTCCTCCTCCATATGAGGGTCATCAGATGTTTCTTCAGAATTTCATCAGAGGGAAATATGCTTCCAGGAGTGGAGAGAGGCCTAGCCTTTGTAGCCCCTTATTCCATCTGTAATCCCTGTTAATACATTGAAAGCTGGTATATAAATATCACATCTTCAACCAACATGGAGTTCGCAGTATATTGAAAGTACTGCGTGGTACACCTGGAACTTGTCAGATTGTCAAAAGTGAATTGATAGCTTTCACATAATAAAATATTGTATGGTTAAATCAGGTAACTGAAGGACTATTATGCCCTCATGTCTCTTTAACATCTTTTGGTGGAACTATTTTGTGGCCCACTTTCTGGTTTGATAGATAGAACTTGGATAGAAATTGAAATTTCCTCAAAAAAAATGGTATCTTGTTCTGGAATGTCTTTTCCGATTCCCGTATTTTGTAGTTTTTTAGATCAATGTTAAGAATTAATTTTACTGGATTAGGGTTCTTTTCTTAAAAAAAAAAAGAGGGCCATTTTTGGTTTTTATGGGTTTATTATTACATTTCTGATGTTTCTAATTTAATACCCCTTTGATATTATTCTGCTGTTATGGATCATTGGATGATCTTTGTGATGCTTGCTCTATTGGTTAATTTCTGATCTAAAAATAATTTCAGTTGAAGGAGAATTAAATATGTCTTATTTTGTGACAGTAGTAATAAAAATTAAAAGATTAGAAAAAGGATCATGACTCATCAAAAAGCTACTGGTTTTTACTTAGAATGTTACATGAGCTTGCCCATTCTGAATTGTAAGCCTAATTTTAACAACAAGTATTAAATCAGTTATGATGGCTTGTCTAAGAAAGCATAGTTAAAACAAATCATGGCTTCATATGATCCCTGAAATCAGATATGACAATCTTTGGTTTATACTTCCTATTCAAATTGCTTCTCCAGCAAAAAATTGGTGGTGGGCCCAAAAGTTAAAACACTGTAGTTTTACATTGGCCTATTAAGTAAATGCATCAAACTTGACCTCATTATCTCTTGTTTCCAGGAAGCAGTTCCTTGTGGAATTAGATCAGAGACTAATAAGGTAAGTAACAATCACGTCCAGTCAGAACTCACTGGATCGAGGATAACTGTCCTGTTGTCTATGTGTGTTGAAGAGAGAAACATTGTTTTTTTTCTTAAACTAATGGAATCTTGAGTCATGAGTCATTGTGATAACCATCAAGACTTGGCCTAGGCCTGTCATTCCAATTTCAAGTATGCATTTAAGATCCCAAGAAACATGCATCCCTAAAAAAGCTCTTAGGTTTGTCTAGTAACTATTAGACTAATGCTTTAGCTAAAATAGAGACAAACGAGGATTTTAAAAAAACGATCACAAGGAAAGAGATTAAGGGATCCTGAGTGGCACATGGCCCATCTGGTGGACAGACTAGAGTTGGTCTGAGGATTGCTGGTTGCTAACTCACAGCGATGAGTGCACTTGACTCAGTTCCACATCTTCTGTCCTCTTTTGCAGTATTCAGAAGCAGCAGCTGCCGCGCTCTCTGCTGAAAGCTGTGGAAAAGCAGAAAACCTTGGGGCTGTTGACAAATCTTTGAGGTATAATTTGTTTTTCTGAATAAACATGATGGGGTGTTTGCTGGTCATGTGCATTTTCTTCTTCCCCGGCCTAGAAGTTAGTTTATTTGATTTTTATCCCGCCTTTATTACTTTACGAGTAACTCAAGGCAGTGAATATACCTAATACTTTTTCCTCCTCTTATTTTCCCTACAACAACAACTCTTTGAGGTGAGTTGGGCTGAGAGAGTGGCTGACCCAAAGTCACCCAGCTGGCTTTCATGCCTAATGTGGGACTAGAACTTACGGTCTCCTGGTTTCTAACTCAGCACCTTAACCACTTTAGCTTGTACTGTTTACTGTAGTCTGCCTGGACCCACTTTGTCAGAGAGGGCTAATGGAGGAATTGTATATCCTTTCCTCTGCAGAAGGCACTGGTGACTTTTTTTAATGTAAAAATTGTTTCATTTGTAAACCCCTTACTTTCGGGGGGGGGGGGAGTCCTTTATCCACAAGCAGTAAGTAGTTCAAGTACTTAATTTTACCTAAGAAGCATGTTTTCCTTGTGTTCTGCAGACATGGGTACTTATAAAAGTAGCTTAAAAGAGGGGGGAGTTTTTCTAGTTTGGCAACATCTGCTGCTATTATTCCAGCCAATTGCACTAGCACTTAGGCTTATAGCAATAGAACGTAGACTTATATACCGCTTCATAGTGCTTTACAGCTCTCTCTCAGTGGTTTACAGAGTCAGCTTATTGCTCCCAACAATCTGGGTCCTCATTTTACTGACCTCGAAAGGATGGACGGCTGAGTCATATATGGTAGATGGCCTGGATAGTACAATGTGCTTAGCCATAGTTTGTTTTAATTAAAGTGTATTGTATGAATGATTAAGCTATGTTTGCACATGACACTAAGTTATAAAATGAGGTTTCCAAACCACAATTGTTGGATTCATATTAACATAAATCAAAACCAAGCCAACTTTATTATGTTTTAGTGCACGTGGTGTTTCAGTTATATGTTCACCCATGTTGAAGTGCCAAATTCAGGGTTCCTGCCAGCCCTCTTAACTGTCACTAATCAATGTTCTTGGGCATGCTGACACTACATGTGACACTTTCACACGTCCCACAGGCCCCTGTATTTATGCAGAACCATTTTTATACACAAATATTTTCTTACTTATTTTGCAGTGAAGAAACTGCACGAGCTATGATTCAATGGACTCAGCATGATGACTCTTCAGAAAACTTTTGCGAAGCTGATGGTACTGTTGGTGTCTCCATTTCCTGTGTTTCTATTGAGGCATCTAAGGTGGTTGCAAGGGTTACAGAGTAACAGAGTTAGAAGGGACCTTGGAGGTCTTCTACTACAACCCCCTGCTCAAGCAGAGAAACCCTATATCATTTCAGACAAATGGTTGTCCAATCTCTATTTAAAAACCTCCAGTGTTGGAATATCCACAACTTCTGGAGAATTCGAAGAAAGTTGGCATATGTATTTGAGATACACAGAGATATGCCTATTATTTTGATGCTCACCCTCTTACTCTTATGTAAAATTTAAACGAACTCCTCTAAATTACCTGGAGTGGGAGGAGAAGGTAAAAGGCAAAAGAACAAAGGAAAAAGCTGTGGTCCAAATTATAGTGCTTGCCATTTTTTTAGTTACATGATGAAAACAGAAACTACCCCTGGGCATTATCTAGATGTCTGGGGAATAGCTGTGTGTATTCACAAGGGTACATCTTTAGGGAGCATTCAATGACATCAAAATGGCAGGTATGGCCAGGTGATCAAGGCCATTCTTTTTTACATGTGTAGGTTGGGTGCACTGCATATTAGAAAGGAGCAGAGTTTTGATTGCCTAGTATGCCCACCATTTTGATATTGATGCCACAGTGGACACATCTGTTTGCAAGTCTGCCCTGTTTATATAAAAAAACATAGGGAATTTTAATGCCAATTTTTAATGTCAAAAGAGATAATGGGGAAAATTTCAGGAGCAGCTGCAATTCTCAAATCTGAAATGGAGCCTGCTGCTGGGCTAACACCATAACAACCTCTGTATAGGGCAGTGGTGGTGAACCTATGGCACGCGTGCCAGAGGCAGCACTTAGAACCCTCTCTGTTGGCACACGCGCCACCGCCACCAGCAGCAGGTGCCTCAGGCCACCACTGCTACCCGGAGCAGGAGCCCCATCCAGCACAAAGGAGGTGAAGTGGCCAACTAGCAAGCTCGAGTAGAGGTGGTAGAGCAGAGGTCACCAACCATTGTTGATTGGTGGACTGGAAGAAAAGGGAGGGGGAAGCCTTTTACATGCATGCATGTGTGCACGGGGCCGCGAGCACACACGTGCTGCAAATGGGGCGGGGCTAGTGTCTGCATGATACTCACTAGCCCTGCCCCATTCTTGCATGGTGCAGCGTCTTATATCTGCACCGCACGGCACGGCCGTTTTTGTGCCTTGGCAGCATGGTGGCCCATTTTTGCACCCCTGGTTTTTGCGTGCCAGAGGCGGCACTCAGAGGCGCCTCCCTGCCCCCCCCCCCATGAGGGCACTACAATGCTGATGCAGCCCTGGCACTTTGTGATAAATAAATGGGTTTTGGGTTACGGTTTGGGCACTCAGTCTCTAAAAGGTTCGCCATCACTGGTATAGGGGGACCACAGAGCAGATCAACTGCTTCTTCCCAGTGGTGATCATCAGAAAAAATGGGCCAAGTCATGATAGAGGGGTGGTGAGTTGGAGGTGGTGGAAAGCAGGCCCAAAGGGATGGGAAGTGGGTAGTGGCTTGGGTTGGAGGGGGGCTGGGGCAGGCTGCATGTGAGCTGGGGAAGTGTTGCATTGTGGACCTGGCCCTGCAGCAGGTCTTCCAGGGCCTCTCCAATGCCTTGAGCCACTCTATACTCTGCTTAATGATTGCAAAGATTGTGGTTGTTAAGCAAGGTGATTGTGTGGATGCCTTGCTTAACAACCACTGTAACACATGATTGTAATCAGACTCTTGCCTGATTAAATGAGGAGGAGGGTGCCTTGCACAGCATGAGTCCACAACTGAGAAATTTGTGGTTCTTTTCCTCTCGTTTGTTTCATGTTGGAAAAAATGGAACACTCTGAGGTAAAAATTAGAAAAGCAATTGGCAAGATGCATTCTCAAATATATTCTTATTCTCTATCTCTCTTTTTAATGCAGTACTTTTTCCTTCCCAGATATCCACTCTCCTGAAGCAGAGTATGTAGATTTGCTTCTTAATCCGGAACGTTACACTGGCTACAAAGGTCCTGAAGCCTGGAAGATTTGGAACAGTATTTATGAAGAAAACTGTTTTAAGTATGTTTATTTGGCCAGGCTTTAAAATTTTAAGATTTTTTTTCCCCCATACGATACTCATCTATTTTCCTCCTGGCTATATTTCCTACTGATTTCTATCACTGGGCTATTTATTTATATTTTTAACATCTTTATAACCTGCCTTTCAATCTAGTTGCTGAAGTAACCTCAAAAACAGCAAAGTAATAGAATAGTTTTAGCCTCAGTGCATGGAAAAGATGTTTGTAAATGCCTTTAAAAGGGTGAAAAAGTAACAGCATTTTAAATACACACAGACACTGACTCACATGCTATGCTAACTCAGTTAACAATGGCTTATTTAAAAATATGGAGTTGGCTGGCATCACACAATCAAATCCATGCTCTGCAAACACAGCGACTATATTTCCTCAACTTGTTGAACTAAAACATACTATTTAATAAAATAATGGAGCTGTCTAGTGGCTTATCTTGGGGATCTCAGCTATGCACAGACATGTCCTCAGTACAGATCTCAGCTCTGTCACAAATTCCTTTGATGACCTTTGGCAAAGTATTTTTTCAGCCTTTGTTTCCTGTATCTCCAGAGCAGACAGAATATTACATTACAGTTATGCTTTCACTATTTTCAGTGTTCGTTTTGTGGTGCCGTTCTGCCTCCACATTTCATGCCACTCACATCTGAACATAAGAAATGGAAGGAGTTATGATAAAGTAAAGCAGATTTCATTTACTTTCATTACATTCTTTGCCCCATCTGTTCTCTTCACATCAAAGGTTGACAGCAGCCAGCATAATTTGAAAAAAATCAGCTCAGTTCAAATGTTAGAGCAGAAGGTTTTGGGGGAAATTCTTTATACTGTATCAAGTTCTCCAATTGGGAACCTTCCAGAGGTGCCGACTAAACTCTGAAAATCACAGTCCAAACACATTTGGAAGGTTTTTTTTAATGGGGACAAGCTGTTCTGTATTATCCAAAGAAAGGCATGCTGTTCAAATTCTTGAAGACTGCATGTAAATATGAAGGATTAATTCGTGTAGAGTTAGCCATAATGTAGACTATCTGAGAGAGTGCAGCAATATACAACTTGACTTGTCTTAAGGCAATATCTTATTCACTTCCTACTTTGCATTCAGCTCTTAAACTCAGAGTGATTTGGGGCCAGCTTACTTTTTACCTATGTCTCAGGACTGTTGGGCTGGGGGAATACCTTTTATATCAGCTTGAGCTTCAGGAAGGAAAGCAGTATACTATATATACCTAATAAATAAAGAGAGCATGTTAGAGAAATCATGGCTGTTTGACTAAAATAATGTAAAGGAACACCCTGTTTTCCCATAACTTCTTGAAGTTGTCTTACTTGTTAACTTTTTTTTTGGGGGGGGGCACCATTTCAATCTTGAATCCTGGGGATTAATGGCTAAATCTATATAGTTTTCTAGACAACATTTTCAGAAGTAATTTGTCATTCTTGTCTTCTGAGAACTGAGAGAAAGTGAATTGCCTAAAAGTACCCAGTTAGCTTTCATACCTAAGACAGGACTAAAACTCAGATTTCTCCACTCCTAATTCAGTGCCTTAACCATTGCACTAAACTGGCTATCTATCATCTGTGTGTCACTTGTTAAATATTGAAAGAATTATAGCAATGTGAAAATCTTTAGTGTCTTGCCTGGCTTCAGAGAATCGATTAAAACTTTCCCCACCCAGAAACTCTGTTGGATTGTAACTTCCATCATCCCCAGCAATGCCAATTGCATGGAATTACTAGTCCAATATATCCGGAAGGTGCCAGGTTGGGGATAAATAAAGACTTTAAAAGAAAGGATAAATCGGAGTGCATTCTTGAAAGAAGTTTGAAAGTTTGCCTTCTCCCACATAAACTAGTCCATTCAGCCATTAAGATGATATCTTTGAAGAATTTTTTCCATCCTTTTGAAATTGGTAACTATGATAAGTTCAAATGCTTCTCTCTAAATATTGGTCTAGTTCACTCCCTTTAGCCTTTTTAGACCTCAGTTAAATGTGATTTTATTTGCTAGAAGTTGCAATGAAAATAATCCAGTTCTATGGTGGTCAATTGCTTTTAGTTATACCTTTAACCAATATTATTTGTACAAGCTTTTAACTGTAAATAATTAAAATACATTTATCTTATAGGCCGCGCTCGGTAAAAAGGCCTTTAAATCCACTGGCATCTGGCAGAGGTAAACTTATCTTTCCATTATTTTTAAGAGAAGGTTGATATTGTTAGTGGATTGAGTTGCCGTGTGTTTGCAGGTATTAGGGTTATTGATAAAAGAAGAGGTGGGCAAAATTCAAATTGAATTAACATTTTTCGATGCCTACTAATGTCACATTTCATGCTATTATATTATAAAAATGGGAGGACAATCAAAAGAGGGGAAAGTGGCAAATAAGTATGGAATGGAGTAAAAAATGGGAAGAAAGAAAGTGGAAGACTGTGAGTTCAGATTCCATCTCAGTCATGAAAGCTAGCCGGGTGACCTTGAGCCAGTTATTCTCTCTCAGCCTAACCTACCTCGCAGGGTTATTGTTGTGGGGAAAATGGAAGGAATATTAGATATGTTCTCTGCCTTGAGTTATTTGTAAAAAAAATAAAGGCAGGATACAAACAAAATCCTTATGGATAAAAAATGTAGGCTACAAGGAGTACTACTGATATTGCAAGAAGTCAAAGGGTGGGCGAATAAGATTCTTTGTAGAATAGGAATAATGCTAAAGTACTTTGATTAGCTGCATGCCCCTCATCATGAGCCTGGAGATCTGGAATAAATTGTGTAAGTCTGATCAATGACTGAACTAAAGTAATTTCACTCCGAATCATGTATGTCTGGGGAAAAGAAACATAATAAATTCAGCAAAGCAAGATAAGATCATTACTATTTTAAAACAAAGTAGTAGTTCTTGGAGTAGAATAGAGATTGATGCACAAGCTTAATATTTTTAGTATCAGTTGTATTACATTGTGTTAGGCAATGGCTGCTCACTAGAGGCTTTGGACTGCAACTCCCATAATCCTTTACTATTGGCTTTATTGTCTGAGATTGATGGGAAAGGAAACCCAAAACATTCAGAGGCGCAAATATTTTCTATTTTATCAGAGTGCTGATACCCATAAAAAGAGCCTAGAGATAACTTAAGACATTTCATCTGATTGAAATGTAATCTCTTCCTTTTCTTTTTTTAATTTGCTTTTACAGCAGCAAGAGAAAATGAAGGTGAGTGCCTTTCCAGCAATAACTAAGAGGGTAGATCAGTGGTGGCGAACCTATGGCACGGGTGCCAGAGGCGGCACTCAGAGCCCTCTCTGTGGGCACACGCGCTGTCGCCCCAGTCCTAGGCCTTCAGCTGGGTTTTATAAAACTTTTTCGCTTTAGGCCTCCGCTGCCGTGTGCAGAAAAAAAAAGTGTCAATCAATCAGTCAATTTCAACTTCTCACGGGGGAAAAAAAAGATCTTACAAAGTTAGAATTGATTGATTGAACTTTTTAGTCCCACCCAGTCTGCCGTTACCACCGCAGCCATGCCCACCCAATGGGCCACACCCACCCAATTGACCATATCCAGCCAATGGGCCACACCCACCCGGCACCTGACGATGCATAAGTGGGTTTTGGGTTGCAATTTGGGCACTCGGTCTCTAAAAGGTTTGCCATCACTGGGGTAGATATATTGACAGTTGTAAATTATTTGGGAAAAAAATTATTGGGATTTAGCAAAATGCACACTGACTGCCATTTCTTCTTCCCTTCTTTATACTTCATACTCATTCTTCCAAAATTAGGTGCCCTCCAGATGTGTTAGGACTTCATTATGTTAGTTGGAAGGTGCCAGATTCATAAACACTAGGCTGGGTGAGGACCTAGTTGAGTTCCTGCTTCTTCTTAACAGTCCTTTATTCTGCTGTTGGAAGAATATGTTGCCATCATGTACCAATGTATTAGTTGATAGGATTGGAACTAAGAAGTGGAAGAGTTAAGACCATTTTACTAATGTGTGCAGCAGGAGGAGATGGATGTACCTATTTCAGGGTCATGAGATGCAATGTTGAGACGAGACCCTGCTTTTTGGGGGGAAAAACCTTCATATACTCTAGTAGTCAACCTTGGCATTAGATGCAACAAATGAAGCTATCATAGATACTTTTCTGTTGTGAGAAAACCTTTGTGATGGCTCTTTCTCTCTTTTCAGGGAATATGTTTTACAGCTGGTTGCAAGGTAACTGATTTTTTTTTACCACTTTAACTAATGCACTGTGGATTGCATTGCAGATGCAATGTTGATTACCCGGCAGAATTAAATTTCTATCTTTTGAATTACCATAGTTTTCTCTCAATGTTTCTTAACAGATCTCTGTGTGGAGAAGAGAGCTTTCTACAAACTTATTTCTGGTCTTCATGCAAGCATCAACATTCATCTCAGTGCCAGATACCTTTTGCAAGGTTGGTGGCTCCACTTTCTTCTTAGTGCTCCAAAGCATCTTTTTCCAACTTCTAGACAGGGGAAAGGGAAGAGTAGCATCACATGACCATTTCTTCTGCTCCATTGCCAGAGTGGCAAATGTGGACTCTTGAGATTTCCCTTCACTTCCTTTGACATTCAAAACTTAACTTAAAACCTCAACAACTTGTGATGGAAATTCCTTACGATGGAAATTCCGGTCCCAATTGTTGTCATAAGTCAGGGACTACCTGTAATGCAATATATTAACATAATGAACATCAGACTTGAATAGTTATACTGTTTGAGCTGTCATGAAAAGAATCTAAATTAAAAAAAATGTGAACTGAATTTGGACCTTTACTGATTTTTCAGTAAACTCTGGGCCCGCCCTTTCACTAGTATAGGATGTTGCTTAATAGCATAAATTTGGTTAGTTTTAATCTTGATTTGTTTTGTTTGTTGTGCAAACCCAAGCAATTTGTTAGGTTTATGATTTAGTATTATGTGAAATCAGAACAGATGTTCATTCAATAACCAGATTAAGTGTGTTATGTGCATTGAACATAACCCATTTGATTGAACCGTCTTGATTGTGTGTGTATAGAAAGACGCTAGCATGTGATTCAGGAAAGCGAGGCTTAGTTAGATGTATGGCTTCTGGGAAGAAAGAAAACAAAGTTTGTTAGGTTTTATTATGACTGTTCAGATATTTTTTTAGCCCAATACTGATTTAATCAAATGACTGAGCAAAACAGAAAAGAGAAGTTTTACAAGAAGTTCTGAGGCAATAAAATGCATGATGAAAGAGCCAAACCACACATATAATGGGAAATATGAGATCATAGAATGTCTTGAATTTTGTTTCACCTTTCAGCAGTATCAAAATTTAATTGGATTAGCCATACTGGCAAAAAAAGCTTCTTTAATATTTTATTTATGTGTTGTTTTCCCTGATCTAGATGGTTTTCTTTTTCATATGCTATCAAGAGGTCCCTAGCTGAGTCTTCTGTTTACCTTTATTAGTGAATTTAAGACACATGGAGCAAAAAAAGTGTGTCTTTGAAGATATCACAGGGGGGAAAACTTCCTGCAGTGACTGAGAAGTGGCAAATATATGAAACAGAAATAGATTTGATTGATTTGATCTGATCTGATTTATAAGAGTGCTCAAGTCCATGGCTATTCTGGGCGATACACAGTTATAAAATCTCTACTAAAAAGAGAGCAATAGCAATAGCAGTTAGACTTATATACTACTTCACAGTGCTTTACAGCCCTCTCTAAGCGGTTTACAGAGTCAGCATATGGCCCCCAACAATCTCGATCTTCGTTTTACTGATCTTGGTAGGATGGAAGGCTGAGTCAATTTTGAGCCGGTGAGAATCAAACTGCAGGCAGCTGGCAGTCAGTAGAAGTAGCGCCACCACAGCTCATACTGTTAAAAACCACAGACATCCGGAAGGAGAAAGATCATCCTTTCTAAAAACAATATCACACAGAGGATTGGATTAGATTAGATTAGGTTTTTTTTAAATCCTGCCTTTATTGTTTTTATAAATAACTCAAGGCAGCAAACATATCAAATTCTCCTTTCTCCTCCTATTTTCTGTACAACAAGAACCCTGTGTGGAGAGTTAGGCTGAGATAGAGGGACTGGCCCAAAGTAACCCAGCCGGCTTTCATGCCTAAAATTAGACTAGAACTCACAATCCCCTGGTTTCTAGCCGGGTGCCTTACTTGGAGAAACAGCCTGTTTTTACGGGGCCTTCTAAATATTGAAGTTAGGCATGCTTCAAGTCTCATCCATTAAGCAATGTCATTTGATGGGACTTACAAACTATGCCTTATCTGTTAAATGTCTATGGAGAGTCTCAGTCATCCAGGTCATGGTTGTCCCAAAGATGCTTTTTCAAGAGGCAACTGGACTTTCTTGTCTTTCTTTGAAGACCTTTTGCTTCTTTTTGCTCTGAAGAGCTGAAGAAGCTTTCTTGGATGAGAAGAAGAAAAAGAAAGTCAGTTGCCTCTTGAAAAAGCACTTTGGGACAACTTATCCCTAAGATCTGCTTGAGAGATAGATGGACATACAAATATGAAAGAATGAATGAGTCAGTCAGTCAATCAGTCAATCAATCAATCAATCAATCAATCAATCCCATTAATTTTTTTTACAATATGACTGAAGTGGTCCATCTACATATATAGATAAAAGAAAAAAGCAAATAGTCGTGGGATGGGTGGGTACTTTTTAAACAAAAAACATTTTGGCCATGGAGTTGAGTTTTGAGGTGATGATATTATTTAGCAAGTGCAACCTCTTCCTCCTATAGCTTTGATTTGTTCTAGGAGTCAGTATAATAATAATAAATACAACAGTCATGATGTATCTATTTTGGCCCGTTTGCCCTTGGCGGAATTTCAGCATCACAGTCTAGGGGTCTACACATTGTGAGATGGGAAGTTGCTTAGGATGAGATGGTTGAGGCTTGCCATGAATGATTCTTGAGCACAGCTACCTTCAGTATTACCTTTAACTTAATACAAGCCCCTTTCTTTTCTTTCATAAGACACATGGGCAGAGAAGAAATGGGGGCACAATGTTACAGAGTTCCAGCTGCGTTTTGATGAGGTCTTGACACAAAGCGAAGGTCCCAGGAGGCTGAAGAACCTGTATTTCATCTATCTAATTGAGTTACGGGCCCTCTCAAAAATTTTGCCCTTTTTTGAACGCCCTGATTTCCAGTTGTTCACAGGGGACGAGGATCAAGATGTAAAAACCAAGAACCACCTCCTGGAAATTCTTCATTTAATTAAGTAAGTGCAATCCATTTCAATGTGCTTCTTTGGTCACCCCCCAGTATGGTGTGCTGTTTGTAATTATTTTTGTTAGTGGTTATTTTTAATGGATTGTTAAGCCTCCCAGAATTGGATGTCGGGTGGGCATAAATTGAATACATAACAAAATATGTATGGGTTGATGGAATGATTGTGTGCTGCAAAGAGCAGGTTTTTATTCACTTTACTTGTGTAAAGTCACCAGTTCAAACAAAATTTTAATGTAGTTCAATTATTTAATTCCAGATATTATTGGAAGTCACTAAAAAGCATTTAAAATAATGTTTTGAATGTTAGAACGATATTGGGAAAATGCTGAATAATATTATAAATCTATTCACGTTTTGTATGTATATTTAAAGCATCTGAAAATTACAGCCTTTTCTCCATCCTAACCACTGAAGGATGAAAATTTATTTATTTATTTATTTCCCCCCTTTATTATTTTGATAAATAACTCAAGACAGCTAACATACCTAATACTCCTTCCTCCTCCTCTTTCCCCCACAACAGCCCTGTGAGGAGAGTTGGGTTGAATGAGAGGGACTGGTCAAAGCTTATCCAGCTGGCTTTCATGCCTACAGTGGGACTAGAACTCACAATCTTCTGGTGATTGACCCAAAGTCATCCAGCTGGTTTTCATGCTTACAGTGGGACTAGAACTCACAGTCTCCTGGCTTCTAGCCCAGGGGTAGTCAACCTTGGCTCTTTTATGACTCGTGGATGTCAACTCCGGAATTCTGGGAGTTGAAGTCCACGAGTCATAAAAGAGCCAAGGTTGACTACCCCTGTTCTAGCCTGATGTTTTCACCTCTATACCAAAAATGAGGAGCAAAGAATTTAAGATAAAGTTTGTAGCCCATTTATTTCATAAGATGTACAATGATACATTCATTGCACACTGTGTAAGAGAGCCAAACTAGGAACATTCCAGACAGATTCCGTAACTAAACTAGGCATAGAAATCAGGCATTCCAAGCTGCAGCCCACTCAGGAAGAGCTTCTCTTGCTCAAACTGAAATAGGATGCTGCTTATTAAATAGTGTAATTATTCTCTGCACCTTTTTGAATCTATCTTTCCCATTTTTCTTTGTTAGGATCCATCGTATCCATCATATGAGCCACAGGTCCTACTAAATGAGACGCTTTGCGAGATGGGTGGCATAGAAGTTAAATAAATAAATAAGAATAGAATAAGCAAGCTGTGACTAGCTGTGATAATTTTAGCTAAACCACATCCTGCAGCTTTAAACCAATCAACATCCTTTAAAAAATTTCACAGTGTGCGTGTCTGGATTTTAAGGTTTATATGCGGTTGAAGAATGCTGGATTCATCCTCATCTTGTTAAAGGGAGAACCAATAGCAGTGTTCTAATATTTAAAGGGCTGCCCCAGGGAAGAGGGGTTGGATTATTTTCCATAGCACCTGAGAGCAGAACAAGAACCAACAGAGTGGATATTTGATAGGGAGAGATCCAAACTAACTATGAGAGTTATAATACAGTGGAACAGCTTGCCTTGTGGGATGGTGGGTGCTCTATCACTTGAAGTTTTCAAATGAAGGTTGGATTGCCATTTGTCTGAGATGGTTTGGGAATTCTTGCCATGGGCAGGAGCGTGGACTAGAAGAACTTGATGACTCTTCCAGCCTCATGATTCTATCCTTCACAGTGATCTATAGCTCCAAGCTTTTTATCTTCTGGTTATCAGAACTAGACTGGAGGAAAAGTACTTTGGTCAATGGAATGTGGGAATATAAATCAGAGAAAAATCCAGTTCCAACCACCAAACATCTTTTGTTTGTATGTATCCCACCTTTATCATTTTTGCAAAGAATTCAGGGTGGTGAACATATCTAACACATCTTCCTCCTCCTATTTTCCCCACAACAACTCTCTGAGGTGGATTGGGCTGAGAGAATGACTGATCCAAAGTCATCCAGCAGGTTTTCATGGCTAAGGCAGGACTTGAACTCACAGTCTCCTGCTTTCTAGCCTTAACCACTAGATCAGATTGGCTCTCAAACTGGCTATTTTGGGAGAATGGGGTGTGTATTTAGATATACCTGGCTGGTGCAATGTCATCCACTTAGTCTTGCAGTGGAATGGTAGGTTGTTGCTTTAAAGAAATGCAAATAAAGAGTTAAGAATTGGGCACTTCCATAGGAACCTGGGACAGAAACTATAAGATAAAGACATGTGAGCAGGGCAGCAAGAAGCCAAACCGATAAAGAAAAGATAGCTAGCACATAGAGAAGAGTCAATTTTAAACCAAAGTGAACTTTAATTCTGAAAATAAGAATGAAGTGTTATTAAAATACAGTTTACCCTAAGCAATTTACATATTACAGTAGTTCATACAGTTCTGTTGTTAAATAACACTTTAATTGTTCACAAGCAAGCAATTAATATAATATATAGTATCTCTGCTTAAGCAAGAGATGCTATATTATTAGGAAAAGAACTGAGAGGATATATTAGTTACCAGATCTAGATAGAAATCAAGATGGCAGCAATGAGTTACAAGCCTATTGAGGGCTGACCCATACAACCAGCTCCTCCTAATGTGAGTGTGAGTTTCTCAAGTGCAAGAACACACAATACTCTGCTTGTACCCAGCCCACCTGAGAGGTAACCTCCGTTCATCTTTTCCTTCTGCACATCAAAATACTGTTTTTTGACTTCTATCAGTTCAAGCAATAAAGTCATCTATTGCTCTTCACTTCATTGTAGGAAACCCCTCCGTTTTATTTGGCTATTGCGCACTATAGGTAGTCCTAGATTTACGACCGGTAAATAAGCATGGAATTATGGTCATAAGTTATACTGGTTGTTAAATGAGTCAGCCCAATTTTATTACCTTTTAGCCGTGGTAATTAACAAATGGAGTGTTCTTTAAGCAAAGCCATTGTCTGCAATCAATTTTTTCCCCAAACAGAAGTTGGCAAAACTCTTTGCTAGCATTTAATTGTCTGAATTTTTGTTGCCAACATTTAGCAGCCCTAACATCAGTGTAAGATCTCGATTTTGGGTGGGTGGTTGTAACATTTTAAAATATATTGTTTTATCCTCTAAGTAAACATAGCTTTTATGCTGCTTCTGATCCTAGTTAAACCTGTCCTCATTCCAATTGCAGTTAAGGGCTAAAAGATAAACATACTAGTCTCTCTTGATTAGTGCCTCAAAGGAGTTTGGGTAGCATAAATCAAAGGTATGTTTAATTTAAGATTGTCATCCCCAGTACAATTGCTGTAGGCAATCAGCTTTCAACAAGGTTCACTGTAATGAATTGCAACCTTTGTGAAATACAAGGTGTAGCCCTGAAGGCAAATGACAGTAGTACAATAGTACATGGATCTCAAAATGTCACTAGAATCTTAAGATTCTAGTTACAGCAGAAACCAACACAACCCCCCCCCCTTAAAACAGGGGTGTCAAGCTGCCGGGCCAGTTGCATCATGCAGAGGCCGCACCCACCCAGCTCCCGCAATGTGAAAAAAGTCACGATACGTCGCAACACTACTTAAATTAATAACTGCTGAATAGAATTTTTTTCATTCTCTTCTACAATGAAAGACCTTCATTGTTAATTCATTGTTTGTCTTCCGCTTCAGATCTTTTCCTTTGCACTTTGATGAAAATTCACTTTTTGCTGGAAACCAAAAAGAAGCTGCTAAGTTAAAGGTAAAATTAAGTTACTTTCTGAGGGAAAAAACATACCTTTTGTTTGTAAGTTCAGCGGGACTCAAAAGCAAACACTCCTGATACAGGATTGCATTTGTGGCATGAAGGCTCTAAATCTAGTTTGTTAAATACTATAAAACATTTCAGTTAGAAATTACTTAGAAATTATAGCATCAAACAATAAAATATTCCTAACCAGCTTCTGGGAGAGAAGAACAAAGCTCACTTTGGCTCAGTGGGCCCTCTACAAAAATATGTGGAATAGGGCAAATCTTGCAAGGATTCCGTAAGATATGGATTGGAAACAGACAAGCCTTTAGAACAGACCCTGAGAAACTGAGATTCCAGGCATTAGTAGACTACAACTCCCAGCGTCCTTTACTATTGACTTTGCTGACTAGGACTACTGAAGTTGTAATTCAGCCATTTCTGCAGAAGAATGGATTTCCTATCTCCGAAAGATAGTTATAGAAAAGGGACTGTGCCATGCTTTGGATTCAAAGGCAAAAATGTACTTACAAATGCACAGGAGGCATAGATGTAGCACCTATATATCCAGGTAGTTCTTGAGTTATGACCGTAATGGAGCCTGCCCATTACAGTTGTAACCTGCTATGGTTAGAAAATGTGTTGGTCATGTGACTTATCTGAATTTACAGCCTTTTCTGTGGTGGTCATTGGGTGGATCCGTGTCATCAAGCAAATACTGCAATTATTAAGCGAACCAATGTTTCTCTGTGGGTGAGGTTTTGATGAAAATTTCGAATCTGGGTTGCAAGTACTCCCTAGTTCTATTGGAACTTCAAACAGTCGCTAAGCCAAGGACTAGATGTAACTGCTTAAGGCAGTTGTGTCTTTCCTTAGGGTTTGGTGATATTTCCATGAAAAAAGATACCTTTGGCTTTAAGGAACAGCAGACAGGACTCTGGGGTAGTTACCTGGATCCTAAAAAGCCTTGATGCTTTTAAGTGTTGCATAAAAAGAAGAATTCTTCCAATTGATCTTCCTGCATTTGCTGCAGAGTTGCATCCTGGAAAACTCAATAAACTCAAAAGATAATAACAGCTGAGAAGCATGATTCTGGGTTTTTCTATTTGAACTAGCTAAGGTATTGAATGGGAGAAATGCTGCAGATTCAAATCAAGGATAACAAATGCATTTTTAAATCACTAATTCATTAGTTCATTTATTCTTTCTCAGGAGGAATTTCGGTTCCATTTTAAGAACATTTCAAGGATCATGGATTGTGTAGAGTGCCTGAAATGTCGCCTTTGGGGGAAGCTGCAAGTAAGTTACTCCTTCTTTCTTTGCTGTTTCTTCAGCTTCTTTACAGTAGTGGCATCTGTTTTCTGTTGCTGTTTTTTCAATTCTGGCTTTCTATGCATTTGTTCTCAAGGCTTGATCTTATGCATCCAGAATTAGCCCATCTGTCTCTTTCTTCAACTTTCCTGCTCTTAGCCATTGTCAGGTCTTACATTATTATATTTTTATCCCTCTCCCATTTTTATATATAATTCAATGTGATGGACATGCTTAATTCTCCTGCCTCCTATTTTCTCCACATCAACAATCCTATGATTGATTTTACTTACATTTTGTTTGTGACATAGCAGAATTTAACTACATTTAGGGCATCTGTCTATGTGCGTCCATGTGAATGTGTAACTTAAAAACAAGGAAGTTCTATTTTCTTTTTTACTTTTATATTGAAATTGTATGGGTTTAGCTGATGTAATATTTGCATAGTGGTTTGGAGGGCCAGTCATTTATTTAATACCTTATTTAAATTGCCCAGTTTTTACTTAAAAAAAAACCTGATAGTGATTACAACCTCACTTCCTGGTGTGATGTTTAGCTGAAATCTTGTTCTTACTGTGTACAGACTCAGGGCTTGGGAACAGCACTGAAGATTCTGTTTTCTGAAAAACTGATAGAAAATATACCAGAAAAAGGTCCTTCGCATGATTTTCATCTAACAAGGCAGGAGATTGTGTCCCTCTTCAATGCTTTTGGAAGGTGAGTTTGACATTTTCTATTTGGAAGTTTAATTCAATGCCATGTATTCTCAAATTATGTTTTTTCTGCCCTTTTTACAGTCTCTTCCAGATTAGCTAAATATAGATGCCATGCTACACGTATATCCAAATAATTTTTTTTTCATTGTCTGATGCAGGATTTCAACAAGTGTTAAAGAATTAGAAAACTTCAAGGAACTCTTACGCCCACTTCAGTGAATTGACCCTGATGGAGACCAACTTCCTTGTTTTATGCAGATTGGGCTCAGAGTGATTTCTGCTGGTGTAGTGCCAGCATGATCCCATTCTTGGCAAGAAGGACTAAGTCAACATGATCATAAAAATTGATCACATTCTCTAGCTTACAAATTTATATTTGGCTTTGAGGTAGCTAAAATATTCATGCAAGACTCTTCTTCCAGAGGAGGATATACATCAAATATTGGCCTTATGCATTCTGTCTTCTTAAAACACACACACACACACACACACACATCCATACATCCATCATGAAGGTGGGAGAATTATATCCTTCCTGCAAATTGCTGAAATACAACTTTCGGCAGCCTTTTTCAGCATGACCATTAGTGAGAGATGCTAGGAGTTGTACTTCACCAATATGTGAAGGACTTCAGGTTTCTTACCCCTTGTTTACTAGGTTTCTTCCAGCCTGAAGGATCTTAGCGCTACTAATAAAAAGGCACAGTGCAGCTATTCTATACACTTTTCTATTTGTGGAAGGAAAAGGCTAGTTGAGAAAACCATGGTTACAAATGAGACATGATGACATCACCTGGATCCCCTGCAAAGCAACTGCATGATAAAATGCCTCATTTAGACACATGATTAGAATCTCTTCATCTTACATAACAATGTCTCTTAACAAAAAATATTTTTCTGCTTCAGTGTCCTTAAATAATCTTATGTAAAATGCCCGAATCAACCTAGTCTCACATATTTGAATGAAATCCCAATGAGTGCTAGACTTACAAGAGCCATTTGGGGCAGGCCCATCTGCCTGTTCAATATAGGAATTGAAAGTAAAGCATTCTCAGCAAGATGCCTCTCTCCTCTCATGCGGTTTGCATGTCATCTTTTGAAACTGGTTGGAAGTGGAGCTCCAGACTTCATACTTCCAGTCAACTCCTGTTTATCACTGAGTTTTATGAGATGGGCCTATGACAATTTGCTGCAGTCAACTCACCCCGGCAAACTCGCCATGGCCAACTTGCCATGGCCAACTTCCTGTGGCCAACTTACCACAGGGCAACATGGCAAGTTGACCACAGCAAGTTGGCCACGGCAAGTTGGCCATGGCGAGTTGGCCGTGGTGAGTTGACTGCAGCAAATTGTGGAACAAGAGTTACACTAATATAAAAGAAATAGTGGAATAGAATCATTAAAGAAAGGATGCAAAAGGAAGGACAAAATGAAATGTGAATGACAAAAATTAAAATAATTTTTTTATTTATTTTAAATAAGTATTATTAAATTGTCCCGCAGCGAGTTGTCCTATGGCAAATTGGCTGTGGTGAGTGTCCTATGGTGAGTTGTCCTATGGCAAGTTGGCCACAATGAGTTGGTCGTGGTGAGTTGTCCCATTTCAGTATGAAATGCTTCTTTATTCTCCAAAATTAAAAACCAAGGTCTGAGCAACTGATTCCCCATCCAGACACTCTCCCAAGATCCCATTATATATCTCTGTATTCCCAATTGAAATAGCCATTAGTTTGCTGGCTGGGAATGATGGAATTGAGACTACGTTACTGTGATTTTGGTACAACAATTTTTCATCATTTGGTGCCCACTATATAGTTCAAAGCTACGCCACAGAAGAACTTTAAGAACAATTTGAAACAGATCTGTCTTTTATTAGGACTGCCTGATTATTCTGCAGAAAAATTCAGGTTTGGTTTAAGGAGTTGCAGAAAAATGATTTGTGATTCCACACCTCCCAAATTCAGAACCACCTTTACAGCCCTATTTGTTGTTAATTGCGAAGTCGTGTCCGACCCATCGCGACCCCATGGACAACGTTCCTCCAGGTCTTCCTGTCCTCTACCATCTTCTGGAGTCCATTTAAGTTCACGCCTACTGCTTCAGTGACTCCATCCAGCCACCTCATTCTCTGTCGTCCCCTTCTTCTATTGCCCTCAATCTTTCCCAGTATTAGGCCCTTCTCCAGTGAGTCCTTCCTTCTCATTAGGTGGCCAAAGTATTTGAGTTTCAACTTCAGGATCTGGCCTTCTAAAGAGCAGTCAGGGTTGATCTCTTCTAGGACTGACTGGTTTGAACGCTTTGCAGTCCAAGGGACTCGCAGGAGTCTTCTCCAGCACCATAGTTCAAAGGCCTCAATTCTTTGTCGCTCAGCCTTTCTTATGGTCCAACTTTCACATCCATACATTGCAACTGGGAAAACCATGGCCTTGACTATACACACTTTTGTTGGCAGGGTGATGTACACCTTCCGACCTGAGGGGCTCATCTTCCAGCGTCATATCTTTTTGCCTTTTAGTACTGTCCATGGGGTTTTCATGGCAAAGATACTGGAGTGGTTTGCCATTTCCTTCTCCAGTGGATCACATTTTGTCAGAACTCTCTACTATGACCTGCCCGTCTTGGGTGGCCCTGCACGGCATAGCTCATAGCTTCATTGAGTTACGCAAGCCCCTTCGCCACGACAAGGCAGTAATCCATAAAGGGGTTACAGCCCTATTAGGATCCTATTTTTTTACTCACTGTTTTTAGTTGTACATTCCATTGAGTGTGTTTACTCCACACAATCTTTTGGTGATTAAAGGAAAGATTAGAAGGTTCAATAAAGGAAATACTGATCATAAAACAAGATATTTAAATGTTTAACAGTGAAAGTCATTGCACAGGGTTTTGAATGTTATAGCTGTTGTGCTCCATTTTACAGAGCTGTAGATTATGAACCTTTTACAAGTTTTAATAATATCCTTCAGAAGTTGGGGTAAAATTACACCTTAATTTTTCCCTTTTAGCATAATCCACAGCATTTCCAGAGTAAACCAAGGAAGGTGCCAGGGGTAAAAAAAAGAAATTTATATCTGTACTCACGATCCCCTCTCATCTTGCTTATTAGCCCGGCTTGGTGCAATTTTGACACTAGATTGCAACATTTTATACCCTGGTGTGAGAGTTTAAGGTTCCCTCCGGAAATTTTTCATGAAAAGAACACTCCATATTTGCCAAGCTGTTGCTTTGTGCCAGACTTCCCCAACTTGGGTACAGTGTTCCCAGAATTCTCAGCAACAAGTAGGTGGTTGGGGAATTCTGGGAATTGAATCCATGGGAATTTCCCCACTCACATTGGGGAAATTTTTCCTGTGTCAAGATAAACATTGGGGGGGAGGGGGTTGCAATAAAACCATAGGGAATTTCTGCAACTGAGCTAGATAGATTTGTAACTTAGTTTATAATAGCCTAGAGAAGTTTTTTTTAATTGCCTGGAAAATAAAAGCTACTCAGGGAACAACTGTTATACAGTTGTTATACAGTTATACAATAACAGTTACACTTGGGCTTTCCAATTCCCTACTGTTGCAGAAAAGATCTTCAGCAGAAATTGGATCCTGCAGATCAAGCAGGTCTTGTATTTCGGTAATCCTTCCATTAGCTCTGAAACCTCAACAGGACATATGCTATTGTAAATTGGCCTAAGGGGAAGGGCAGCCTTAATTTAGGCCAGCCCTTGAGATTACAAGCTGATGAGATGGGAACTGGGCATTTCAAGCTTAAAGTAAAAAAAAAGTAAAGGCTTTTTGGCCCTCACCACTGAATGTAATATTTTGGAGCTGCCTCTACCTTTTATGTGTTTAGTTTCTTATTTGTTTAGTAAAATGATGCTTCTTTGATTGATTGATTCTATTTTCAAGGAAAGCACAGAAATAATTTTGTCTTGTACTTGAATTGCTCTTTACTGTGAAGATTAAAGACTTCAAAATAAGATTAAAGATTAAGACTACTTCCAACCCACCCCCCAGTTTCCTTCTTTTTGATTAAATCAGCGTAGAGAGGACTTCTAAGAGAATAATGCAAACTTTGCTAACTAGCCTTGGGGGTTGGGAGCTGAGATGGACAATACTTGAATGTAAAAGTAGATGTAAATACAAAAACTGGATATGACAGCTGAGTGCATATGTTATTTACTTCTCTTTCTTTTGATGTTTCCAAAATGAGGCCAAGAGGCTTTGGGGGATTTGAAGGAATGGTTGTTGAAAGTGTTAACAATTACACTGTGGTGATGGCTTTCTTTAAAGAAGGACTGGTAGTACAGTATAAACTTTCAACAAACAAGGATTAATGTTGAATGAAGAAAATTTTTCATAGGTGGGGGGTGTTCCTGCAACATGCTTCCACATGTAGTTTATTCAGTCTTGAGCACATGCTGAGGGTAGCCTAACTAACACATACTAAGCTAAAATGTAGATTTTGTGTGGTAAGCTGCGTCTGATAAACAGCCAGAATGTCCCCTTCAGGCATGTAAATTCTGATTTGTTACAGCTACTGGTATTTGGAAAGTCACCATTTTAAATAGAAGCTCTTCCATAGAATGTTTGTGGAAGTGCAATTCCATATACTTTAGAATTGTGATCTAGGAATACACAGTTTGGGTAGGGGGGGACTTTTAATAACTTTCCCTAAACTTTCTCCTTCACGTTTACTTGAAGATATAATAAATACATTCATGTTTTAAAATAGTGAATGCTCTACCTCCTATTTTACTAGAGAACATCTTAAGGACTACATAAAAGCCTGTTCTGGTTTCTGTTCTTTTAGGAGATATGTACAAGTTGTTCAAACCATCGGAGTTATAAGAATGTACACATGTAGCCTTTTTGAAAGTCTATAGGCGTTTGTAGTTGTTATCCCTTATCCATCCAGTCTCAACTGTCAGTACCTATCCTTCCATTCCTCCCATCATCACAACTGGTGAAGCTTCTTGGATGAGAGGTGAAATGTTTTCTTCTTCAAGGAAAAAAAACCAGTCCAGTTGCCTTTTGAAAAAGCTCCTTTGAGACCTTATCCAAGTTCTGCTTATTTTTTCTGGCAGCAGACCAGAAAAGCAATATTCTGGCAATTTGGAAGAAGATTCAGGGAAGAAGATGACAAAAATAACTGAAGAAGTCAACTGTAGTCTTTTCACAAGATAAAAAGAAGCCTCTTTATTTTAAAATGTAACATTACAATTCAAGAGGAGGAAATGAACATGGTAGAGCCAGGGTTGCCTCTTTTAGCCTCTCCAGTGATTGGAGAGAAAACAGGCAAATAGTGTCAAACAAAACACACGTAAAATACCCCATTCTTGATAAAGGCTTAATTTCTTGATTATTTATAAAAAGTAGTAACAGATATAAATAAAATGCAAGACTGGCCCTCTTCAATGCAGTCAGAATTTCAACAGCCATGTGAATAAAACGGACTCAAACGCTTTAATAAAGAAGCTCAGCTTATGACTGGAAGGAATAGCCATCTTCATTCAATGCAATTCAGTGCAAAGAGAAAGAGTCCCGTGGCCTTTATGCAATAGCCTTCCCTCCCAAGAAACAAACTTAAAGTGCTCCAAGTGCATTATAAAACTGATAAAGGAGAAAGTCAGGATATTTGGGGCAGAGAAAGGAGTTAGCTCAACTAGTCTTTGGTGGCTTGTTGAAAAAAGGGCAGACAATTCAAGTCTTGGCTAAACTTTTGCTACAAGTCAAGGACCAGTTAAGCAGGGAGGGAAGGAGAGAGGTCTTAAGAGCAGAGCCTTATAGTAATATGCTCAAGGAATGTTTGAAATAACTTAAGTTTCACATGTCAATACTGAAAAATTACCTCTCTTCTTCCTACCCAAAATTTTGAACATTGTGCAGCAAATATTTCTCCCAGCACATGTGAAATGCTTACGGCTGTGCACATGTGATTAATACCTGAAGCTATACCTAGCACATCCAGGAAAGTCAACTCAGTTGTCCAGCCTATCTCATGGGAAATGCAGCCGTTAACTGCAGTACAATCTACTTGCGTTGCAGCTGAGGTGAAACAGCTTGAGATTTGAAAAATGAAGCACCTCAAATTTAAATATTTTCTCCTAATAGTTTTGCAGTCATCTCTTAATGGTTTATGTAAATCTTCCCCAACCTGGCCTCTTTTGGATTTATGGAGACTCTCAACACTTAGATTTCCTCCTCCAGTATGACCCCTGGCAGCTGCAGTTCCAATCTACTTGGAGACACCATAGTGGAGATGGATGTTTATATACACCAGCTCTCTTCATGCTGTAATGCAGGTTCTCAGCCTTGATCACGGTAAGATGTGTGGACTTCAACTCCCAGGAGTCCTAGTCAGCCATGGGAGGGAATTCTGGGAGTTGAAGCCCACACAGCTTAAAGTGGCCAAGGTTGAGAAACACTGTTCTAGTTTGATAATCAGTCTTTGCTCCAGATGGAGAGTGCTCCTAATCACAATCTTATTCCACACCAGATGATCTACCTAATTACAAAGAGAGTTTGTCTACCACTTTTTGAGTTTATGTGCCTTGTGAGGAAGATGAAATGATAGACTTACCAACTTTACAGAGAATTAGTATTAACTGATTAGGAAGCCACTATGGAAATTCAAGAACTTGTAACTCTAAAGGTTTCTGTCTACCCTGTACCTACTCTTGGGCCAAGGAGTGAGTTGTAATACATTAGTAATAACAGAGGGGAGAAGTGATTAGAAACAAAAACCATTTAGTCATGTTTAGAAACGTTCACCCCAGCTGATAACTTCAATTCAGTTTTAAAACCCTTATTGAAGCAAAATGCTAAACACACAGTCCAAGAATTTATTTCTCAGACTTTTATTTTATATCTTCAAGTCAGTCTTGATTCCTATACACTGCCTGAACAAGACACTGTATTTTTAGCAAGGTTTTTCAGAAATGGATTGCCATTGCTTCCTTCCTAAGTCTGAGAGGGAGGGAGTGGCCCAAAAGTACCCAGCTGGTTTTATGCCTAAGGTGGGACTAGAATTGTCTCCCAGTTTCTAACCAGATGCCTTACCACCTTACCAAACTGGCTCACACTTTAAGGATGGTAAGCCATAGCTTCTTGTAATCCTCTTTGTGGGTTACATCAGTTGGAGATGCTAGGGGTTGTTAATTCACTTCTTGAGGGCAATAGGTTCATTGTCTCCGTTTTAACATTAGGGTAGTGTTTTAAGTTTCTTTTCAACTAGGAGTATGTGGGAACCCAACAGTTCTATTAAAGGGTACATAGGCACATGTACCCTTTTCATGAGGGAATAAAATGCATTTGGTCCCACTGTATGCAGATTCACCCAAAAAAGTGTTCAGGAAACCTGGAGGTCACTGAGAGTTCCATCAGGCTGAGATTCATACAACACCTTCAGGGAAAGGTCCTTTCAATTCTAAGAATTTAGGAATTTTTTTGCTCTAACAGAGTTGCAGTTGCAGAACTGCAGAGTTGCAGTTATGGGTTGTAAAAAGACTGATCCCAAAGCTTCAGAATAATACAGTTGGCTGAAGCCATTTGCGAAATTATGGCTGTTAACACTAGTAGAAGATGTACAGTAGTTCTGATTCAAGTTAAAAATGGATGTACTTCAGTTTTCTACATTCCCCCAAGCTGTCTCATCCTTAAATCTTCCAGATGCATTAGGGGCTATGTCTCCCATAATTCCCAAGCAGCAAGAAAATACTGGAAGTTGATGCTATGCATCTGAAGGCCATGAAGTTGAGAACAGAAATCTAAAAAATACTTTTAGAAGCCTCTGTTGCCTGGAGTATAAATAGGAATCGCACACTTCTGAGTGGGGGCAGATATAATTAACACTTTCTACTAGACTGGATCTAACTGCAAATCTTTCAGGAGATGCATCCATGGCTACAGTTGCCCTTATCTTCCCTGCTTGCCTCATCTCCTGGTGATCTCATTGCCTACTACTGTTTCCTTGGTAGGTGGAAGAAGAAGAAAAAATGACTTTGCTTCACATTCCAAACAGTTGTTTTCTCAGAGAATGATGCTCTTGGGTGGTGGTTAAGCAATCCAGGAGCAATTTACATCTCTGTGGTTGCAAAGAAATCAGTCTTGCTTTCATTCCATTGTGGAACATAAAAGCAGTTGCCAGACAAAGCAGTGAAGGACATCTGCACCAGTTGGCTATGCATCACCCCAAACAAGCCTACAATTCTCATAGGTCCACCTGGCCTGTAACCCACTCTGAAACTGCTTTTCCAGTATAAAATAAGTTACTGTTCTTTAAAATGAAGTATTACTGTAATGCTAGAAATAGGCCAAAACAACACAAGGACGCTGCAGGGAATATAACAAACATGCAATAATGGAACTTGCTCTAGCAATCTCAGTAATGATTGATGGCAAAACATAACCACAAGCTAAGTTATCCTTGTGAGACTGGCACTTGTGCCATACTTATAAAATGCTCTCCAAGAATTTAAAAGCAAAAGAGATTCTTCATCCCACCCCACTTTCAAAAGTTCTCCACTGTTAAATATGTAGAGTTGTTTGCCATCATAGGAAGACAGAACAATTTTCCCAACCAGAGATGTGCAATTTAAAAGTGTTGTCCGGAACAAACATTTCATGATACTGCAAAGAGGAGATTGGGAGGGAAGAGAACTATCCCTTGGAAATTGTTGATTAAAAGTGCAAATATCCATCTGGACAACAGTCATGGTCTGTTGGCCAATAAAATAGAATGCTTTCAGAATATGCTCTCCTTTGGCTTTTGTTATTTCCAGTACTACATAGCAACAATTGGTCTCTCCAGTCCAAAGTGCAGAGCTATGAGCCAATATTGTTCCATTCCCATATTAGAAGATCAATGGAAATTACGATATGCATTAGGGGGAACCTGGAGGTCACTGGGAATTCCTCCAGGTCTGAGATTCATACAACACCTTTAGGACAATGTCCTTTCAATCCTAGGACTTTAGGATTTCTTTTTCTCTAACCAGGTTGCAGTTATCGGTTGTAAGGAAAAGACTGATCCTAAAGGGAGTCCTGTTTTTCACACCTCACAGGAACCCTTCCCCCAAAGCTACTCTAGGATTAGTTTGGTGGCTTTGGATGTGAACTGTGATGACTTCTGGATTCCAAGCTTTCATGGCTGAACAGCAGTGGAGCAACATCCATTGGAGGTGCAACCAAAGGTGGAATCATGATGCAGCTGTCGTTCCCTGTCAGAGAGCCATACCACCCAGAATTCTGAGGAGTAGCCAAGCTGAAAAATACAAAATGGAAATTTGGGAGAGTAAGACATAGAAAGACCACATTAGAAAATAGCAGCATCAAAAAGTCAGCATTGCACAACCTTCTCCAACCTAAGCATCCTCCAAATGTAGACTTCACTTCCCCAAATTCCCACAAACATAGCAGATGTTCATGTTGGAGACAACTGCCTTAATACAGTAACAGACTTAATTTGAACATTAATATTTATGGCTATCTGCCAATTTTTTTTTGGGGGGGGGAAAGCTACAATTAAGGAACCCATTTTTTTTCAGCAAAGGTATCTAATTGTGGAATGCGGTCTACTGTATATACAAGGCCACCCGGAGTTGCTGTTCCTGAAGGAGCACTGAAAAAAGCAGACAATTTATGCTCCTAATTAAGGAAGTGCAAGGTGGATTCAGCAGCTTCAACATGTTGTCCAACAATGAAAGAAGCATGTAAAAATAAAAACAGAACCTCACTGTACAAGGAGAGGCAGATTGTGAGAGCTTTCTGACTTCTGCTTTGTGAATGGGCATAGACAGTCATTACTCCCAGGTTTGAAGTTACAAAGCTTTCGTGTGTTGCTTTTGAGTTTCCAGAAGACATCTGGTTGATCCCCGGAAGAAATCAGATGTTGATTGGGTTGACCTAGCAGAGCCTTTCTCATATTTATTCATTATTTTTAAACTACATTTTTATTATCCCAAAATGGATATTTTTTACTATCTATGCAGAACATACAGAATATTTATGCAGAGATTACAACAGGGCATAGACAAGAACATTGGCAATATAAACAACTGGAATATCATGATGCCCAAGAGTCTGAGCAATTAAACCTGGGGTTCAAACTTTTTAGTGGTCTGCTGGCTGTAAAAAAATTACTATTGCTTCTGCCCCAAATCTGCACATAGTGATAGTATTGGCTTATATTAGAGAATAGTTGCAAATATACAGATCACTAGATCTCTTGATTTGCAGTAAACTAAAAAGAAAATAATTGATTATGTAATCATAGCAGCATAAAATTACACCCCATCATACTGCTAAAATGAAGAACTATGGCAGGGAGTGAAACAAGCTGTTTGGTTCCAATGATCAAAATGCATTTCAGAGTCTTACATCCCAAGTGTAGTACTTCTACATGAGCTGTGGTGACACAGTGGTTAGAATGCGGTATTGCAGGCTAATTCTGCTGACTGCCAGCAGTTCGATTCTCACCCGCTCAAGGTTGATTCAGCCTTCCATCCTTCCGAGGTCGGTAAAATGAGGACCCAGATTGTTGGGGGCAATATGCTGACTCTGTAAACTGCTTAGAGAGGGCTATAAAGCACTGTGAAGCGGTATATAAGTCTAAGTGCTATTGCTATTGCTACATCAGGCTCCAACTAATGAATCTTCAGCTGAAATAGATGTTCCATAAGCATCAAATCTGCCAGTCTTTACTGTAAGCTATATTTCCCTCCTCTTAGTGAAATCAAGTTACCTTCCTCCACCAAGCCTTGGGAGGTCATCATCACTGTCATATCTTCTTGGATTGTCAAAGAAATAGGCCCGTGAACTGTAACTGTGGCTGTTGATCATTCCAGCAGGTGCCTTTCGGGTTAAGAGGGATAATAAGGGGGGGGGGAGTTAAGAACAAAAGAAAATATTTGCTTTAGAGATCTGGAAGGAAAAATATGCCAGTTTTTTGCCTTTTCCAAAATCAAGATATGTAGATATACATGTTATTTTAAAAAACTTTTTACAGCATTTGTAATAAACTACTCCAGTCTGATAAATGAAGGAGATGTCAGATCCTCTGTAGCAGTTACAGAGTCTTTACAACAAGAGAGGGGAGGCAAAGTGAAAAGAAGATGTTGAAAACAACTACTAGCATATGAAACAATCTTGTGCAAGCCAATTAAGCAAAATATGACATATGACAGCAGCACGTGCTACTGCTAAGTAATGAACAAAATTAAATTAGTCTTCAGATCAAGTAACTAAAATAGCTGCCATTCTCTTTTGCAGACTGCATTCTCCAGGGGCCTGCAAAAGCTACAGTAGAATTTTACTTTTTAATGTAAGAGAAGGGGAAATTATTAAATAAGTAGCAATTATCTGAAATACACTAAATTAATGCAATTCAGTTCAACTAAAAATTCACCGTATCTTAACATACTGGTTTTTTTCTGACCGGTTCATTTTTGAAATATGCCCTTCAATTTGCCAGTCAAAAGCTTTAAACAAAAGCTGTTATATAACAGCATTTTTCAATCTCAGCAACTTTAAAATGTAGAATTTCAACTCTCAGAGTTCCCCAGCCAGCCTACACCTTGAGAAACATTTTTATACAGTAAAGAGAGAAAAGTCTGTGAACCCTCAGAAGTACTCATAATGCTGTAATACTGTGACCAGCAGTCAGATTAAAGCCTAATTTATGAAGAGAATTTCTGAATCAGCAACATACAAAACAGTATGCTTTCTGTTGTCCTTATTGAATGCACTGAGTCAATGTTTACTGACTGTTGGAAAAAAGTGTGTGAATTTGAGATACAGTAATTGGTGGCACTTCCTTAACAGTGATGACCTCAACCAAATACTTTTCTTGCTTGTTGATCAGTCCCACACAAGCTTAAAATTATTTGGCCCAGGTCTTCTTTGCAGAACTAATTCAAAACAATGATCGTTGGGGCTCTGTACATGAACTGCTTCAAGTTTTGAATTGAGCATTGGCTGTAAAACTTCTACTTTGGCTATTCTTTTGCAGATTTACTTTTGTGTTCAGAATTACTGCCTTGCTGAATAACTCACATTTTCTTAGGAGTAGATCTCTTGACATTCTCCTACATAATTTGGTTTTGTGAATCTGCCTTTAAATCATCCCCAACTCTTGGGTATTCCATAAACAAATCCATGCAGTTTTCTTGGAATATTTTTTCAGTAATAGTTTGATAGTATCTTCTTTCTAGGGTTGAGAGAGAGAGAGAGAGACTGACTCCAGTCATCCAGCTGGCTTCATGCCTAAGGCAGAATTAGAACTCCCAGTCTCCACTTTCTAACTAAGTGGCTTTAACTACTACACCAAATCAGCTCTGTAGAATTTGCTGGTAAATATGATTTGCTGGTAAATCTAAATGATTGCAATCTGCTTGGGTCCTGAAGCTGCAAACATGATACCTTCAACATTATACTTCACAATTGGGATAAGACTCTTTTGCTAGCATACTGCTTATTATTTTCTCCAGAAAAAATATTTTGTTTAAGTTACTTCTCCTATTTCCACAAGACATTATTTTAATAACCTGCTGTATCATCCAGGTGGGTCTAGGTAAATCTGGGTTGGGTAGCACTGTGCTTTCTTGAGAGTCATCACTTCCTCCTTGGATAAATATTTTTCTATTTATACCATCCTTGCTTATAGTGAACTCATGAACTACAATAACAGATAATGTAAGCATAATCCAAAATCCTTTGTCATTTCACTGGGATCCTTTGCAATCTCCCAAGTATTATAGTCTAAGCCCTTGGGATGATATTCATTCAATGATCACTTTGGAAAGAGTAATAACTGAATTGTGTTTTCTCTATTTGTACACTATCTGTCTGACCATGGACTGATGAAGGTCAAAGTCTGTATCAATTGTTTTGTAGACCTTTCAATCATCACAAATATCAACAGTCCTTTTTCAGAGGATCACAGAACAATTTTGATCACCACATGATTCATTTTCAAAGATCTGTCTTATGAAAGTAGAATATTATGGTGGCTGACAATGTGTTTTTTAAAAATAGGAGACAACCCTTCAAGTTTACATCTGATTGAAACCTCTGACTCAACCTACCCCCTTAAGATTGCTGATTATTTTAGGGCATCATATAGTTTTCCAACAAAGGGAGGGAAAGTTGGATTAAAAAAGGCATGACACTGTTTTGGGTGTTATTTATCAAAATCTTTTTATTAATAGACCTACATGAAGCTCAGATCTCACAGATAATTATAACAAGTGAGATTAAAGGTTATCCTAAAGCAGGGCTCTTCAAACGTGGCCCATTTATGACTTGTGGACTTCAACTCCCAGAATTCCTCAGCCAGGCACACTGGCTGAGGAATTCTGGGAGCTGAAGTCCACAAGTCATAAATGGGCCAGGTTTGAAGACCCCTGTCCTAAAGGGTTCACAAATTTTCTCTCAGCACTTTCTGGGATGCAATAGTCCTAATTCTTGTTTTAATGACAGAGTACAAGGCATCCTACGTGAAAGCCACAAGATCTTTTTTCTTCCAATGTCACATCATAATCCCACTGTGCATAACATACCAATTCTGTGGCAAATCAACTCCATGATGCCAGAAAGATGGCAGAGTCCCCATTATTGCCAAGGGCTGATGAGCAATATCCTTGGACAGAGTTTGGTATAAAGTGGTCTTCTATTCATGCCTCAACTTGGAATGTCCTCTTTTGCCCCCAAAGAAATATTTTCATTGTGTTCTAAATCCCTCTGCATGTTTTCCCTCCACAATGTTGAGCATTCACTTATTTTGAAGTAATAATTGAAAAAGAGTAACAGTTGATCTCAATCCATACCAAATTCTGGGCCAACCTCTGCGCTCGGAAGAAGAGTACCACAAATATGGTTGGGACGAACTCCCAGAGAAAAAGCACCACACCAAAGACCACGTACTCCTCACTGTTAACTTCTTTTCCTTGAAGCTGTAGGAACAAGATATGGACACAAATTCAGAGAAAAAAATAACAAAAGTATTTTAATGAGCTCTTTATGGATTGGCCCTCAAGGATTGCAGATGGAACGACAGCCTACCTCCCACCATGAACTATTTTTTAAACCAAAAGCTGCATATGTGTGTGTGTGTGTGTGTGTGCATGCGTGTGTGTGTGTATAAAATACATTAAAAAAAACAAATGAAAGCAGCAAGCCCTAAAACTTCTCATATTGTGAACACAATACTATAAAACTTACAGACAAGTCTAGTATTTTGGTTTCCAGTTGAATTTCAGGCTGGTTCAAAGGACTGGATCTAATCTTAAATCCCAAGACATGTGTGGTTAAATTGGCTCCATTTTTTTTTCATTATAGGATCTTTCAATTGAGCCCCTTCCTTCCATTCTAGGAACAGCCTCACAATCCACAGGCAAAATTTGGCGTTAGAAGGCCTCTATTTTAATTTTTGGCATGTTAAAAGGAAAATCAGGGCTAATGGGCAAGACAACAAAGGATAGCTATCTCTTGGAATTAACAGAAACCAAGAAAGAATGCTTAGGGATCTTTCCTATCTCCTTGTTAAGCCATAGCATGGTTGGTTTGTTTTGGGACTGATATGATATCTTAATCCAAGCCATTGTTGTTTATAAACCATAATTCATGCCTTAGTATTGTGGAAAATCAATTGCTATGGCTTAGCCTCATATGTGGACTTTGTCACAGAATAATAGTAACAGAACTGGACCGCACCTAATGTTGGTTAACAAAATCACCATCAAAAAGCTCCAAAGCAGGATATTTTCCTTGCAGCTGTTCTCAGTAACTGGTACTCAAATGCAAACTGTCTTTTATCATAAACATGTAATCATATGTACATCTGTGGACAGATAGATAGGCACATGCAGATCACATACTGGATCATTTTTGACCTGTAGCCTTTGACAGCCTAATCCTTTGGATGAATTAGCCAGTTCTGGATAAGGCAGCTTCATTAGTTCATCTCAAGTTGCTTTCCAACATATATAGATCTCATTGGTGCTCTTCTCAACTGCCTCCCACCATAGTTCCTCCTCCCAGTTGATATTCATGGGAGGCACAGTGAAGGAAAAGGGTGGACAACATTAGTGTTCCAACTTAGATGTGATCTTTCGCTATTTCTACAGAAGTGTGAAAAGCTTGATTACCTTATCTGAAAGGTTATCCCAACCATAGTTGAATGGACTAGGTGCATGGTCTGGAGTGATCATTACTGCCACCAAATTATAAAAAGCTCTTGAAGAGTGTAAAAGGATGACAACAGAACCCACAAGGAGAGCTTGGCAGAGAGATGTGCCCTAGTTAAAAAAAAAATACACAAAGAGGTATTAAATACAGTAAGTTGACAAAAAGATCTTTAAAGAGTCCGTTAAGTAAACACTATCTAAAGAAAGCCTTGAGTTTTTCTTTTAAGTAAAGTAAACTCTGCATGACAGATCTAACCCAATACAGCTACATGGAACCAGCTGTGATATAAAAGATATTTCTTCTTTCATTAGCTTTAAGGACCCAAACATGTACTTATTAGTAAAAGGAAGGACAGAAATTGAAAACCTATTAGCTCAATTGATAAGTAATCCAATACAAAAGAAACTATTATAACTATCCTGAATAAAGAGCAAGGAATAGGAGGAATACCACATATGCTAGATGATTTCCTTATCCTACCTTTTAACACTTAAAAGAGTAATATAATGGTTAAGGTATAAGGCCACATTCAACTATGGAGCTCACTAGGAGATCTGGGCAGTCACCACCCAGAGACTGCTCCTTGTGAGACAAAATAAGTAAAAAGCCCATGTGTGCCATCCTAAGCTTCTAGAGGAAAACTAATACATAATAGTAATAAATTACATCCATGTTCAGTGAACATTATTTCTCTAATTCTGCCACCTCTAACTTCTCCAAATATTTTTCCCTTAAGTTTTGAGCCTTCTCCCTCACTAGTCCTCATGACTGAATGAAATGTTTCCAGCCTTCCACCAAATTCTTCTCTTCTGTGAGGTTCCGGACTTCACTTGGATCCTCTTTGCAACTAAGCTTTTGGCGAGTCTAAGAGTCACACTGATAAAGACACCCCTATATTTGTTGCTCTTCCTGTCACCTCTTGCAGTGCTTAAAATGTAGGCAGTCATGCCTTTGAAGGAAGAGATCTCCTGCTCAGTCTTACATGCAATATTTTCAACAATGGTTTTACTGATTTTGTAGCAGTGACATGCTTCTTCTACAATCAGAACTCAAGTCTGAAAGCAAACTACATAGCTATGATGCTATGCAACAGTCAAATTACTTTTCAGATGGGAGAATAATACCAGCCACATGATTTTTTTGACCAAAAAGCTATGAAGATTTCTGGGAGAAAAATAATATGACTGAGTAAAAAGAAAAGATTAGAAAATATCTTGTACTACTAGGCACCAAGGTTCATGTTCATTATCCATTCCCTTGGCCTAAGTTCTTCCAGACCATTTGTTAACTGCAAAATGAGAATCACCACAATGAGATGAGGATAAGGCTATAAAAGCATTCTATTCACTAAAGAATGAAACAGACCAATATCAATGCAAAGATGGCAGTAATTCTCTTTTTTGGAAATGAATGCTCAGAACAAGCAAACAAGTAGAAAAATCTATGTCTTTACAGGATAAGTGGCAGAATATAAATACATAAATTACCATTCTTCCTTTTCCTCTAAGGAAAAAAAAATGTAAAGCTGGCTACATTTTCAAGACACTTGCTATGAAATTCCAGAAACTAATTAGCATATTCTGGATGGAAATGTAGCTTCTCTGCAAGAGCACTTTGAAATTTAGGAGTGCTGCCTAACCTAAAGTTGTTTCTGGATTTTCAGATGGCAACGGTGACAAAGACTGTATTTGCATAATCATATCCAGCATCCCAAGTATAGATATTTCCAAGATGTTTGTACTTGAAACTAGATACATCTCAATTGGAGTAATGCAATGAATTCTATGTAGGATCACCCTTCATGAGCATCCAGAGGCTTGCACTAATGCAAAACTGGATTAATTGATGCAAAACTGGATTGTTAATTGATGCATGATACCAGCATATGTCATATCCATTCTGAAGCTTTGATTACCAGTTTGTTGTTTTTTTTTGCAAAAGTAGTTTAAAGGTTTTACATGGCTATAACTGCCAATCTCAGCATGAATATTTCTGGGCATTAAGGTCAATAGGAGAGGTCTTTATTTTTTCAAAACTATTTGCCAGGGACACAGGAGAGGACATTCATTTACATTGTTCAATAGTTAGAATGCACTTCATCAAGAGCGGTTTGACTCTCTCCCAAGTCAACTTCATGTTTGATTTCAGCTGCAGGGATTCCCTTTCTGACACGAGGCTGGTGATAGTGAACAATATTCTACTACCACTGATCCAATCTGGGACGATCCTCTTAACTAGAATAAACTGCTGTTGCTCATTAGACTTCGGCAGAAGACTGAATAATTCCAGACACTAATCATTGGCTTACCAAGAAGAAGATGCTAAGAAGCAAGACAATGTTTCTTTTCAAAACACTTTCTTGCTTAGCAGAGTTAATTCATAGCTAGCTGATGGCTTCTGATTGTAAAAAGACCTGCATCAGCATTGTTTGCCACTTTGTATTTATACAAATGAAACAGTTATTTCCAAGCAGGCAGCATTTGCAGTTGTTTTGTAGATTGCCTGCATGTTATAGCGAAAATATCTTGACAATTCACTTCCCACAAATAGGGAATGCTGTCAAAAGAATATAGAAAACAATAACTGCAATGAACACGGCATGTGTAAAGTTCCACCACCATACCCAAATTATGGCGCTTCTATCTTAGGGGGTATTGATAAATATTTGCTTGAAGCAAAAGAATATTTAAAGCAAATGTGGCTGAGTATAAATTATGCATGGACCTCAATTCCCCAGCATGGCTGGCTGGGGAATTCCGAGAGTTGAAGTCCAGCCATCTTAAAATGATCAAGGTTGAGAAACACTGGTATAAAGAGACAACAGGAAGCAAGGAGCACGAATGTTACACTAACAATAGTTAAAGGTAAAGAAGGCAAAACTAAAGTAACTGCGGAAAAGTAAGTATAATAGTTTTGTAATCGGAGGTATATTTTCTCCATTTTGCTTCCCACTAGACTAGACTGTCTTTTTCACTTTTTGTCACTAAACGAGCATGAGATAGCTTAAGTCCAACTGCAATGGAACAGTACCTCTCACTCCAGCAGTGTCCCTCAGGGTCAAAAACATCAAGATGGATGCTGCAACCATACAATAAAAGCCCTGCATGGATCCACATGCAGAGACACAGCCCTTCATTAAAGGGAATTTCATCATTCCATTACATTGACTCTACTCCTAAGCCAATTGTGCATTAGGGGTAAGCATTCTATTCCACTTTAAAAAAAAAGCCTATTAACTCTAAAGTAAATTAACCCCTTCCCGCTTTCTAGGAACTTTCTTACCTAATCATTAAACAAAAAGCTGCCTCCGAGGCATAAAGCGAGCACAGAATTTCTTCTCAGAGGTTTTTAAAAGTAAGAGGAAAAACAGTAATTTGCTATTTGATCTTCCATTGAAAGCAGCGTATATTATACTTTAACCCAGCTGTTACTTATCTTTTAGGCTACTAGGAGTTTTAAAAGAATTTTAAAAAAGTTGCCCACATTTCCAATCCATGTTGAAAATGGAATACAACATCTTTGTATGTGTCCCCTATTTTATTTTGTGTCTGAAATACGGATCATCTTCTTACTCAGAACTTGACAGATTGTAATAGAGAAGTTTGTGCTGCTGCTTCCTTACCTTGGACTCGAGGTAAACATTGGCTGAAGACACTTTGGAAAGTTTGCACATGCAGCAAGCTAACACGATGGCCGAAAGAATGAAGAGACTATCATTGATCAAGGCCCGGGCAAAAACCGTCCACCTTAGCTGATCCTCTGGAACATTATCCTGTGCCAATAATGCACATGTCAGGTTCACAAAGATGAAGAGGAGGCTGATGAATACAGACCCCATGTACAAGAAAGTCCTGGAAAGAAAAGAAAAAGGGCAGTTGGTCTCCAGCACAGCCTTCTTTCTGATCCGTTCTCCTAATCTTTGCTTTGTTCTTTTGGATTAATGATCATATTTGAATAATGCTGCCTTTATACAAACAATAAGCATGTTTGAGATACATTTATATGGTGTAAGACACGTCTCTTCCCATGTCCAACGTGTACCCACAGCAATCTGCAGGTGGACAGCATCTGCTTAATCTGCTCCATGGCCCAGTCCTGCTATTAGAAGTAAACCTACAGCGTATTTGCTCTGAATGCCCTGTTCTTTGTCGAAGTGATATAATCAGGTTTTTTCAAATCCTATTTTATACAAGCAACTTTGAGCTTTTGTAGAATGTTATAAAGCTGTTAGGATTAATAGGTCCCATGGAAAAGTTTTACTTTGCTATGCATTAATTTCAACCCTCAAACCTTCAACATTTGGCTTGATGCAAGAATACAAATTAAAAAACAGATGGTAATGCAGTTTCTGTTCCAGCACATTGGGCTCTTCAATTCACTAAAGACATCTTTAAAATATGTTGATCAATCGGCCACAATATATACAGATTAAAGCGAAACTTACTTGTATTTGTTGAACTCAGCTGCGCACTTGACTTTGAAAATAACCTTAAAAAAAGAAAATGCTTTATTTAAGAAAAAAAACTATATATTGCACAAGTTCAAGAGTCACAATGGACCAAAAACATTTTAATAACACGCAAGCACAAATACAGAATTTTTCTATTGGAAGTATGAAAAGGAGGGTGAGTGGAAAAGATGCCATGGTTTGTAAACAATTAGTGGGAATTGTCTTAAGTCTCTAGAGGGATTACAAACTGGAGTAATACCAAGTAAATAAATAGATAAGTCTTGTAAACATATGATATAGATTTACTACAAAGATACCGTCAAAAGTTTTTGCAGTTTTACGTATTTATTTCTTGGTTTTATGGAGACGTCTCCGTTCTCCTGAGAATTCCCTGAGGTAGTAAGTTTAGTACGTCCTGAGTGCAAAACACCAGGTTTTAAAGATTTTTTAAAATAAGGCACAATGTAAAATATTGATGTGTGTGCATACATACATTTATACATTATCTGTAAACAGTACAATTGTATCGAGCTGAGTGACCTACACTGAATCAAGTAGAGCAGAGGCCCCCAACCATTTGGGCACCAGGGACCGGTTCCGTGGACAGAGGTTTTTCCACGGACCAGAGGGGATGTCATTTTGTGTGCTGTCTGCATCCCACGGATGGGACTTTGCTTGTTTGTGCAGACCGGTTGCTGGCATGTTGTGGCCTGCTACTGGTCCACGGACTGGGGGTTGGGTTACCTCTAAGTACACACGAATAGTTTTGAGTAATAGCGCTGTTCTATTCCTGTCTATACTGTCATAAACTCCAATATAAAAGCACATCCTAAAAACATGAAGAATATGCACATGATTCTTTGTTTCTGAAGTTTAAGACCATATCTACAAGCCAGTCTTGAGGAAGTGGGTTTTCTTTCAGTGAACCATCTCTGAATCTAGATGTAGCATTTCATTGTGACATACTCTTGCAATTAACAGGGATCAAAAACCACAACAACAAAAAACCCACTCCTTTTATATTACTTGTGGTAATATAAATATTACCTATTTATTAAACGTTCACAGAAAATTATTGCTGACCAATTCATAATGAGCAGTTTCTGGTTTCTAAATTAAGATCTTAAAATATTTTTTCCATATGACTTTATTTCAAGCATTGCTTTCCAGTATATGCAATCTTTCAAAGGGATCAACCGATGAAATTGTAGATCAATAAGCAAGAATGTATTGCTTTGTATGCATCTGGCAGGTCTGCTCCATTAAGTCATCTGGAGTATTGTTGAAAACCATGATTTCAATGTGAACATTTGAGGTGAAAAATTGTAACTGAAATAGAATGGCTAGCTTTTATTCAATTACTCTCCATGTTGAGATTCTCAGAAGTCAAGACAATTGATTTTTCCCCCCATACAGATAGTCCTCGATTTATGACTGGTCACTTAGTGACCTTTTGAAGTTATGATGGACCCGAAAAAGGAAACTTACAACCTGGATCTGAAGTTTCAATAGTCATTCCCTCCCCCGGTCACATGACCACACACCTCAGGAGCTCAGCAACATGAATGCATTTATGTTGCAGTATCTCATAGTTTCATGATGGTTTTGCTGAAAACCAGCAGTTCTGTTTTTTGGCAAAACCATGCCACAGCGATCAATGGGTTTGCTTAACAATCACCCCCCAAAAAAGATAGTAAAATTGGGTTGGTCACATGACTGGCCCATTTTATGACCATTATGACTTATAACTGTAAAGGGTAGGCTGCATTACAGTTGTAACTCGAGGATTACCTACAACATTTTCTTAACTTCCTACATTCTAGCTTTGGTGCAATGCTTCCCATATTTTGGAACTACTTCCAGAAAAAGTCCTTTGGTAGAAGATAAATACTGACCCATCAGCTATATCTATTTACATCAGTGGTGTCAAACTCATCTCACGTGACGTGTCACGACATATCGCAACTTTTTCCCCCTTGCTGGAGCTGGGGTGGGCGCGGCTTCTGCATGTTGCATCCAGCCCACGGGCTGCCAGTTTGACACCCCTGATTTACATACTTTTTATCATAATATTCTACTGCAAAAGAGATGATGATTTTTCCATGTACTTGGTTCTTCCATGTATTGCTTGGTTCCATTCTATAAAATGCAGAAGGGATTTGGCACAAGGTCCCAGGTTTTAGCCTCAGGAGCAATATTAGGAAAACTGCTGGGCCCAGATCCAGCAAAAGATGAAAACAGGATGATCTCCAACCCTGATAAAGAACTAACTACGGTACTTTGGTGGGAAGAAAAATGGTTTAAAATCAGAATGCGTGCAAAAAAAATGTACATATAGTTTTGGATACAGCTATCTATTTAATTGAAGACTGTATAAAGCTCTTACCAGACTGTGGTAAAATCGGTCTTTTGGGGCAGATAGGAAAGAAGACAATGCAAACTTTTATTTAATTATGGTAAACACAGTTGAGTAGAACATATTAACCGATAGACTGATGTGCTTTCAAGTTGGAAGCAACTCTTAGTGTTCACATAGATTATCTCCATAATGATCTGCCCCTAATCTACTCTTTTAGATCAGGGCTTTTCAACCAGTGGTACGGGTACCACCTGTGGTACATTGGCACCTGGCAGGTGGTACGCGACCATCCTAGAAAAGTGGTAGCGGGGGAGGGGAATGAGCTGAGCCGGTGGCAGCACTGCACAAGCCTGAGCGAGAGACGGCTGGAGCTGCAGGGCTGTCAGGGCTCAGCGGAAGTGCCAGGATCAGCGCCAGGCTCCAGCTGGAGCTCAGCGCTGATCCTGGCGCTTTTGCTGAGCCCAGAAGAAGTGCCGATCAGCTGGAATGTTGCAGCATCTCCAGGGTCTTGTGATTTACATTCAGATGCTTGGCAACTGATTCATATTTATGACGGTCACAGTGTCCCAGGGTCTTGTGAAGTGACCAAAACCTGCTGCAACCATCCAGCAGACGGGGGGAATAAAAAGCAAACACCACCCCACCCCACCCCCGCTGCCAATCCTCAACAGAAATGCTTACAACAATGAAAACCTGGGAGAGGAGGAACAGCACCGCCGAGCGGGCAGGCGTCTTGCTCGGCTGTGCCTTGGGGGGGGGCACTTTTTTCAGTGCCATTGTAAGTTCGAACAGTCACTAAGCGAACTGTTGTAAGTCGAGGACTACCTGTACTTTATCACTTTTTTCCTTTTTTTTTTTGGTCATCAAGTTTTTGACACCTTGCTAGGCGACTGGTGGTACTCGGATGTTGCCATATCCTAAAAGTGGTACAATGGGTGAAAAGGTTGAAAAGCCCTGTTTTAGATCTTCCAATGGTGCACTCATTGTCTCTTTAACTGGCTCCATCTATATCTTGCTATTGGTTGTCTTCGAGATATACTTTTAAGAAGAAACATATAGAACTAAGACATACGTATGCTTGCAAGAAGAAACAATGAACTTCCCAACATCTCCCTTAACTTTTCAATTACTGGAAAAGGAACTCAGTGGAATGTACTTATGGTGGGGTCACATATCCTTTTCTCCATTAGCCATAGTTTGTTAAATAAAGAGAAGCAAATCTCTTTACTTGATAAAGATATAACACCCACCATACCCAGATAACAGTGGAGCTTCAGTTTTGTATGATTATATCTATACATCCCAAGTTGACAAACTTTTTACTACCCCACACTTTACTATGGGGTTGGTATTTAACCTTCTGAAATTACCTATTGTACAGAAGATTCAATTTAAAAAAAAAAGCTTTCTGAAGATATTATAGATACTGCTTTCTTGCTATTGTGTTTACATTAAGGTTACTTCAAGTTAAACATCTGTGAGAGTTAGGAGTCCAGTCTGGCTCTTTGTCAGACACAGCAGCAATCTGTAAATGTGTGGGCTGAGAGGAGGCAAGAAGGTGGCAGAGAAAGTAGTAGACGTTCGTCTTACAATCAGACGTTCCCTTATAGTGGACCGGTTGAAGTTAGATAGTTACACTTCTCCGAAGGAAGAATAGAACCAAACCGTCCAGGATGAAAGGTACTTTTCAACCATCATCGTGAGTTCGACTAAGAGACTAACTGTAAGGCTTAAGTTCCGGTGACGTCCAAGTTTTTCACAGTTCAAAATAAAGGGAAATTCTCAATTCATTCTGCCCTCCATACGGTGAGAGCAAGCTATTAAAAAAAGCCCCTCCTTGATAATCTCTTCCACATATAAGGTTCTAAATCATATTTCTAGCATAATGAAGGCTCTCCACTTCAGATGGTTCCATCAAGATGTGACTAGTACTGGGCTGAGCACATGGGTGGGAACTGACATCCACCCCATCTATGCAGGCTAAACTAACTTTCGAGGCCAAGCAGAAGGACCATAAACACGGATACATTTTTGGTCAATATTGTTTCCTAAGAAAAAGAAATTCAGCTTAGATCATTTGTTCAAAAGAAATGGCCAGTGCTGCCTCTATTATCAGGAAGGCATTCATCTTGTGGGTAATCCAGAGAGCCATTCCCAGTTCTACCTGGGAGAGCAAAATATTGATTTGGAGGGTCCATGTTTTCTCTGTGTTTGTTGAACTTAGTCCCAACAATACCCTCATTGTCCAGGGACTCTTACCTTTGAGGTTGTGGGCTGGAAAATATTCCACTTCAGGCACGTTAGGTAGTTTCAAAGTTGTATGAGGCTTAATTGTTCATTTTCCCAATATTCCCATAAAAATATTTTTTTCCTACACATCAGAAAATTTAGATTTTTTTGAATACTTTATTCAAATCTTATCTAATAAGCTAATTTTGCCCTCCTAAACCACACACACACACAAAAGAAACATACTTATACAGACTCTGGATATTGAATAAAGTATTTGGAATCATACTTATCTGTACAGCCATGTTTTTTTAAATTTAAAATATTTCAAAAACTCTCATCTTTGCTTGAATATATAGAAAACTTCCCTCCTCTTTGCTTTGCCATGTTTATATTAGTACTCCCCCTTATTCTGTTACAGGGTCTGCACTCTATCACTGAGGCTGCTTGGCTAAAGAAAATAAATGAAAACAAGACATAGCTTAGCATGATTTGTGAACCCAATCCTTTTGTGAAACACTCCTTTCCTTTGTGTTCAAAAACACTTCCCGCCGTACACATATAAGAGATCATATAAAGTATTTTATATCTCAGAGAAGTATAATATACAACACATGTATTTTTGAAAAGGTGGCACAAGAGAGACAGAAGGTATCTGAACTCCGCAAAGCTTTCTGCACCACTTTTCCCCCATCGATAGGCTTTTCTACCCGAGACACGTTTGAGCTTGGGATCTCTAAACTGCAAAATTAATATTTTTAAAATCCTGCATCTTCATGCACAGTTCCCAACTACACTTTATTTGCACTGAAGAAACATACCCAAGGTTCATTTTGTGTACATATTATTTTGATGGAATGGCAGCATAGCTTGACTGGGGGCCAAATGTAGATGGCTCAGAGGGCACTGAAATAAGCTGTCACAATTCTGTTGAACTTGATTTGTGGCCAACCAGGTTGGCTTGGGATTAACCTCACCCAATCTTCCATATCCTGCAAAATTGCAATGTTATTGGCTAGGTGCTATTTGGTATTTCCCTTAATACATTTTAGAATCTGTGATTAGAATTTTCAATCAGTAATCGTTCAAGAGTAAATTTATTTTTATAGGCAAAATATATATGCTCAAAGGGATGGGTACAAAGTTCACGATGACAAATTTTGCTTGAGGACTTGATCTTGCTCCCTACTGTTCTGGATTACAGAGGATCTTGCAAGCTGGAATCATTTTCTTCAGCATTTGCAAATTAAAAATATTTATTCAACGTAGATGCTGCCCGTCTCATGTGGAGGTGACGTCATTCATTTATCCTAAATTATTGCTCAGCATCTATTTCACTGATTTAATCAGCTCCCATGCTACCCAACATTCTTGGGATTCATATTACATTGGGATTTATCAAACATTATCATAGATTGCTACGGTCTCTTCATAATACCTGCCCACACTCTTAACCTTAACAAGCTGGATGCAGTCCCTATTTGAAGTGCAGTCATTCCCCAGCCTTCCCCAATCTGGTATCCTGCATAGCAGATGAATCACAAATCCCATCTTTCTTTGCTAAGTACAATAGACAAAGGTTGTTCTAGAATATCAACTAAGTAAATAGATAAACTCTACTCTTTCCAAGTTCCCCATTTCTTAATAGGGAACAAACAGCTTTAGATTTCCAGTTTTTTTTTTCTCTAAAAGAAAATGACATGGGTTGCTTCCCTTGAAGGAAAGAGGAACTGTGTTGCATTATTGTTGTTGTTTTTTAAGCAATCAACCAACACCAGAGACCTGACTCCATATTATAGCTGGTTATGCTACCGGTACTCAAATATTTTGTCTGTTCATTGCAATGGGTTATGTTAAAAATGGTCCAATACAGTAGAGGTGCTCCAGGTTTCAGGAACTATTTGCCTCCTTGCGTTCATATCACACACGCACTACCTTAAGAGTTAGGGTAGGTGACCCCTTTCCCTTTTTGTGACTTTTGGACCTGCCATTTATCATACTCACTGAATACTGATTGGAGAGTTTACAGTTTTCCCTGTGTTTATTAGTGCAAAACAGCACTGAGCCTCCAAATACCCAGTTTAAAAACAAAAACCTTCTCAATTCCAATTCCACCCACATGTGAGATGTCAGCCAGTTAGTTTGAGCTCCCTGTCCTCCCAAAAATGTTAAGGCTTGCTCACAAAACAAACATTTTCATTTTTCATGGCAAGAACAGCCGCTCTCTTGTGCTCATCATGTGAACACCCCTGAGTTTCTCAGAGAATGAAGTCATTGTGGAGGCTGCCTCCTAAGTGACAATACAATTTTGCAGTGCGAGGGAAAGGATGGTCTGCAGGTTTGTCCGAGAAGTAACAATTTCCCAATAACTGGAGGAAGCGCAACATAAAGATGATACATGCCATTTCATAGGAAAAAGTTTACCTAGATCACTCACCAGACATGCATAATTGAAACCAGACAAAGCTGCAATTTCAGGTACTTTGCTGGAAAGTAAAGCATCCACCTTATAAGGGAAGATGCGTCTAAGAGAGTAGATTGTATCATGGCGCAAACACATCTTTCTCAAGTGTCAAAAATTCTTTGTTGTTTAGGCATAAGATTGCAACGAGGGACCCCTAAAAGGCCATCCAAACCTTGCTGCAGCTGTAAGGATTGGGCCATTGGCTTTGTTTCAATACGTGAAGCTAAAAAAACAAAGATGACACTAAGGATTTGAAAACAGCTGATCAGCAAGCCTCAAAGGGGGAGGGGGGGGCCTTGGAAATTAATCCAGCAGCCACACAAAGATCATATTAACATTTCAGATGTGACCCAGTCAAGTTAAAAAATGCCAAAACTACCATGTTGCAAGATGCTATATCTTCTGCAGCAAAAAAAAAAAAAAAAGGGGGGGGGAGAAAGGGGGTGGTGGGGAAAAGAGCCAAGTCTTTTTTAAAATAGTATTTTAAGAAAGGCAGCAACAATAGGAGGTGGAGAAGAAAGCCCAAAGCAATGACGTAATGGCTGTCAGCCGTCCCTATCCCAGCTGAGCAACCTAGGCTGTTGCTATTCGTGTTTGCTTCACTCTTAAAGAAATACCGATCTACGGTTTCCCCAAAAAGTAACCGCATTAACTGTGCTGCATCCAGAACCGCGAAGGGTTTTTTGGTGTGCACTTTAAGGGCAACATTTGTTACACCGCAAGCCTCCTGCTACAGATACTGTATGCCACCCCGGGGTTTTGCCTCGTAGCGCGGTTTTGCTCGCCTCGTTACGCGCTCGAGCCGAGCCTCCCCCCGAAGCTTGTTTGTTCGTTCAGACAGTAGGCGGAGGGAGGGCAGGAAAACCATCGAAAGGCTCGTTTGCAAATGCACCAGAATGTGGTAAACATGACACAAACGGGGAAAAAAAAAAAAAGCAACATGCAGAAGAAGGGGAGGCGTGCCCGGCTCGCCGCCGCTCATTGTGCCCCTTGTTTACGGCATCCCGTTGCAAAAGAGTTTAAAAAAGAGCCGGCGCCGGCAAAGCTGAGCTTCCCACTTACCTCGGCGAAGTAGAGGTTGAGGAGGCAATTGGTGGCGAAGAGCAGGCAGACCGGGAAGCAGAAGAGCAACCAGTGTGGGAACGGCTGGAGCCGGAGCTCCACGGCTTGGCTGGACGTTTGCAGGTAGAAAGAGAAGAGGACGGTGCGCAGCGCTGCCCAGAGCAGGCAAAGGAAGAGGCACACGGTGCGGTAGCTGAGCCGCTTCTCCCGGTAGTAGAACAGCAGCCAAAGCTGCAGGTAAGTGAAGAGGAAGAGGCCGGCGTAGAGGAGCGTGTACAGGACGCTCAGCCCCAACTCCAGAGCGGGGAAGGGGCCAAGAGGATCAGACCCGCCGAGTCCCATCGCTCCTAGCCCGACCATAACGGGGGGGGGGCGGAGCGAGTGTGCAAAAACGAGATAAAGTGCAATTTCAGGGCCGCGGGAGGGGGGGGGACGTCCCGCTTCGCTCTCGCCGGACGAATCAGAGAGCCATGCAGGTCACCCGGAGTGGGGGAGCCCCCGCCGCCCTCCCTTTGTCCTCCGCTCGCCGGCTCGCCGCCCGCCCGCCCGCCTGCCCGCCTCTCTGCAGCGCCGGCTCCCTTTCGCCGAACCAACTCTTGCTCCCGAGAAACAATCAGCTGAGAGCCCGGAGGATTTGAGGCGTTCGCTCCGGGCCACGCGCCGCTTTCCATTGGTCACCGCGGAGCTCCACCCGCCGGGCGTCCAACCGCCGAGCCCGTTGGCTGCGCGTCCGAGTCATTCAGCGGAGAAGGCTCCGCCTCTTTCTCTCCCTCTCCCCCCCTCCCCCGCCTTCCCTTGCTCCACCGGATTTTCTAATCAGTTTTTTTAGAGCGGTGTTGCCCGCCCGTGCGGCGCGCTGCCTTCCCCCATCCGGTTCGCTTCCTTTAATGCTCTCGCTTTCGCTTTGCTTTGCTTTGCGTTTGACTGCTGGATCAGTGGTACGAGAGGCCTACGCCCGAGTAAATGCTTGTTGGAGACGATTTTTGTTAATGCTTACTGTTTTCATAACTGCGTTCCCCGTTTCTCCTTGGATGGGTGGGCTGCAGCATTATTGCTTTGAAGCGTTTTGCAAATGCGATCGCTGTATTCCTTCGATTCCTTCGTCTCTGTCCAGCGCAGCGGGATTTCTGCGAACTGACCGGAAGCGAATCGCCTCCTTTCTTAAGTGCGGTTGTCAACCCGCGCCCCATCTCCGAAATGCATTTGTCTGAACGATGCTCTCTCCCTGCTCGTTAAGACGGCTGTGATTTTGTTTAATTATTTCTTTGCCATTAAACTAGAACTGCTCAGATTTGGAAAGATTGGAGGTTGAGTACTTAACATATTTTTTCCACCATACCCTTTTGCTGTTGGTTGATTGATTGATTGATAATGTTCCATAACGTGGTTTTCCACTCATAAAACACCAATATTTAAGAAATGTATTATTCAAGAAATGTGTTTACAGTCTATTTTAAAGTTACTGGATCACTGGAGTGCTCGTGTATCAAAGTTGATGGAGTCTGAAGTCTAGGTTGACAAGACACATCAGTATCTGGATTTGGTGACAGTGGAAGTGGAGTTCTCAAAACACAATTGATTTGGGGAATTCGGTGTTCGGGAAATTCTCCAGGAACATTGAGTGGTGGCTGATAGCTTGGACTGCACTCCAAACACACAGAGTGAAATAGCAGGTGAGTTACTTCTTTTGATCGTTTTATTGTGATAGCTCTGAAAGTAAGAGATAATAATTACACTTGTATGCCGCCTGTCTCTCAGTAACTCTGGGCAGCTCAAAACAATCAAAGAAATTAGAATTCATGATTTTTGATCATTAATTAGTCCTTGACTTATTGGTTTAGCAACCGTTCAAAGTTACGACAGTGCTGAAAAAAGTGAGTTATGACTGATCCTCGCACTTACATCATCGTAGCATCTCTGCAGGCCTGTTTGCCTCTTGGAGACTGGCATCTATTTATGATAGTTGCAGCATCCTGGGGTCATGTGATCACCATTTGTGACTTTCCCAGCTGGCTTCCGACAAGCAAAGTCAACGGAGAAGCTGGCAGGGAAGGTTCCAAATTGGGATCCTGTGATATCTTGCAAAATGACTGTGGCAAAAAAGGTTGTAAAATCAGGTGCAGTCATAGGATGCCTCACTTATCACACTGCTTAACAATGAATTTTCTTACCCTGATTGTGGTTGTAAATTGAGGACTACCTATAAGATCGATAAAAGATAAAAATGGCAAGGGTGACAGACTAGATGGACTGTAGCAAGGTGTCTCACCATTTCTTGCCCAAAGTTTTGAGTCAAGAGCCAGGTCTTCTTCACAGCTCTTCTAACAATAGCAGAGTGCAGGCCATTGAGATCTTGGGTGAAACTTTATTCCAGACGGAAGAGGCTGCTACAGAGACAATAATTATTGCCAAATTCATAAGCACATGTACTAGGAGATAAGTGATGTAATGTTTGGAGGAGTGAATATAAATTCGATGTTTTTCCTAATTGTCAGAGTGACAAAATGCCTCAAAGACTGTGAATATCTGAGTTTTGAGATTGAATGTCTTAAGTATCTTTAGGGACTACCTCAAGAGCATGTCAAGGGCTTTTCACAAAATGATTGCCTCTCCATAACTCCCCCCCCTCCCCTTGCTAAAGCCATCCAATTTATCTTTTTTCCCCAGACAGTTGGTCAAAATTCAAAGCATAACCCAGGCCTATAAAAATCTGCCATACTTTGCTAGTATGTTTACAAGGCCAGTATGGAGTCCACAATCTCTGCAAGTTGATGCTTTGCTTTGTAGTACACATCCTTCACACTTATTTTTATTAACATTTCAAATAGTTTTTAAAAAGGAGTGAATTCAAGCACCAAAAGTGAATCCCTCAGTGGATAGTCGGAAAGCCTATACTGTATATCATGGGCAGCTACTTAGTTCCACATCTTCCAAAATCATTCCACTGAAATTCAACACAATTTCACACCTGCATAATTATGGTTTGCATATTTTTCCGCTTATTTATGAAAGTAAATATGTCCATTAGTTTGTTTTATAACGGCTGCCTTTTCACAGAAAATTAAGGTACTTCCACATAGCTATTAGCTTCATGCCCAAAGCATCCAAAATGAATACCAACTCTGCAAAGGTGAAGATTCCTCCTGAATCAACCAGTTTTCCTTGCGGTAGCCCAAAGAGAATAACAGAATAATAGAGAGTTGGAAGGGACCTTGGAGGTCTTCTAGTCCAACCCCTACTAAAGCAGGAAGCCCTATAACATTTCAGACAAATGGTTGCATAACTTTCAAATGCCCTATTCCCATTTTAGCCACATTTGTTTTTGTGGTGGGGGAGCAAGTGTAGGTGCGCATGCAAACATCCTGAAGTCTGCAATGATACTGTGATACTGCCAGTATCACAAATCATCAGTTTTGATCTGTGCCTTATCTGCTTCGGAGGGAAATGGGTGGATGATATAGTGCCAGTCAATTGCATGGCTCCAGAGGCCTTGTAAAAGGATAGTTACATCATGAGAAGTTCCATTTGAAAGGGAGCATGGTGTAATAGTTAGAGTAGAGATTCCCAAACCCTTTAATTTGTCAGGCCCTTCATGAAATTTCAGATTGTTCATTTATCCCCAAATATTTATTCCTGGAAATAATACAGGTAGTCCTCAATTAAATGAGGTAAATGTTGAGAGAGACTCTACTTACAAAGGAGCATGGGAGGGCGTGGAATGTTACAAGTATACCAGACTGTTAAAGAAGAATTGGAAGAATATCTGAAGGCTAGTGAAGAAGATTCACTCCCTTACAAATGGAACTTCTCATGCTATAAATGTTCTAGTACACCTGAAGGCTTATTGAATCCTACAAGACTAATTAAACAACAGAAAAGAGATATGGCAAGAGAAGGTATTGCATGGCTAGTGCAGGCATGTGCGCGCGCGTGCGCATACACACACACACAAACACATCTGTGGAGATTCTCAGTCATCCAGGTCACAGTTGTCCCAAAGGTGTTTTTTTCACAGGCAACTGGACTTTCTTGATTTTTCTTTGTTTTGCTTCTCATCCAAGAAGCTTCTTCAGCTCTGATTGCATGGGAATTGAAGGATTTATACTCCTTGCAGACAGCTGGTCATTTGCACTCGCTAAAAGAATGCAAATGACCAGCTGTCTGCAAGGAGTATAAATCCTGCCATTCCCCACCATCCAATCAGAGCTGAAGAAGCTTCTTGGATGAAAACTGAAATGTCTTCAAAGAAAAACAAGAAAGTCTAGTTGCCTCGTGAAAAAAGCACTTTTGGGGCACACACACATACACACACACACACACACGTAGGCAAAGCACATAATATCTGACAATGGCTAAGAGTAGGAAAGTTGAAAAAAGAGACAGGGGGCTAATTTTAGCTGCATAAGACCAAACCTTAAGAACAAAGGCATACAAAGCCAGAATTGAGAAGACAGCAACAGAAAACAAATGCCACCACTGTAAAAAAGCTGAAGAAACAGTGGAGTGCCTAGTTAGCTGCTGCATAAAGATTGTAAAGAGTGACGGCAAACAACAGTATGACAAAGTAGCAACAATGGTGTACTGGAAGATCTACAAGAGATACCATCTGCCTGCAAGCAAGAACTTGTGAGACCAGTGCTTTTTTTTTGTCATAGAATGTGCTGGAATGGCTTTCCGGCACCTTTTTTTGAAGGGAAGAACTGGCTCCTTCTAAGCCGCCAGTGTGAGTAAAGCTCTGGCTCGGTGAAAGGAAGCTGCCCGGGGAATTTGGGGGCATTGAAGGTCAACCTGGAAGGTCAACCCCATGGCTCTGAAAGCAGACCCCCTTCTCTGCCTTGATTCACGGGGTTCCCCCCGCCACCTGTCCTGACCCCCGGGTTGGCCGCCAGGGACCAGGACTGGCTCCTGGAGCGAATCTCTTCGAGGGACCAGGCACATTCCCAAAGCAGCAGCGCCATCGCCACCTTGGTCACTCTGGCTCCGGAGGAAGCCTCTGGGTCATCAGAGGCGAAGGAGGACGAGGTGGCAGAAGACACCCCAGCTCCGAATAAACGTCCTCTCAAAAGCCGCGGCAATGGCGTCCGTCAGCTGACCCTGCTCACGTGGTACCCCCCCGCTCCGTAAAGGGCTTTCGACTAGAGCCAGATGCTGCATGCTAGAGGCTTCTGCCAGTCCACCGGAGCTGTGCGTGAGTTCCGGCACCTTTTTTTTTTTTTACAAAAAAAGCACTGTGTGAGACCATAAAATAGACAAAGTCATAGAAAATAAAGAAGCTAAAGAGCTTTGGGACTTTAGAATTTAAATAGACAAGCACCTACCACAACACTCAGACTTAACAATTGTTGATAAGAAATACAAAATAATCTGGATAATGGATGATTGTAATATCTTGAGAGAGCAGGATAGAAGAAAACTAGAGAACCTCACAAAATACAAAGACCTGCAAATAGAAGTTGAACAACTGTGGCAAAAGAAAGCAACAGTAGTATCAACAGTAATAGGTGCCTTGGGTGCAATTCCAAAACATCTGGAGCACCACTTGAACACCATCAGCATTAACAAAATCACCATCAGTCTATTGTAAAAGGCAGCTTTACTTGGAAAGCTTATATCTTGTGAAGATATATTTAACAACATCAAACGAGCATTTGCCTATCCCAGGGGTAGGCAACCTTGGTTCTTTTCCTACCCCTGGCCTATCCCAAATCCTGAAATGGACTTGATAGGTGGATAAAAATGCCAAATCCAGTCTAAATATCTGGCTGACTATGCAACCAACCACCTTTTTTTTCTTTCTACCATCCTTAATCCCGGGTGGAGTTGAGGTGACTGGAGCTGAGCATTTACTGGAATTGGCAGCAAATATTTTCTCTTTGAGCCCTGTTACTGCTTAGGACTGAACTCTCAACCTTCTGAGTGGGAGGCTAGCATCGTCACCTCTAGGCCACTCCTCCAGTCAGTGCAACTAACCACAATAATGGATAGTCCTATCCACTTTTGAGGGGTCGAAATTGATCACTTTGGGGACCCCTGGGTTAGAATGTTGAACTAGGGTAGAAAGATATTCTTTACCTTTTTATCTGTACTGTACGTTTCTATGAAATAACAAGTTTGTATTTTATTTATTTTTCCTTTTTACCCAGTATATCTTTAAATTTGAATTCTCCTGGGACAACTTTGAGCAGCTGGAGAGATGTCATCACCACAAATGACTCAACCGACTCGCTTCTTTTTCCTGCTCATGTCAGTTTCTTACATCTCAGTGACAAGCAGTGTCAAAAATGTGATTCCAGAGTTAAGTCCCCAGGAATATTTTAGCAACTTGCAAGCATCTAAAGCATCTTTGGTTTATTTTCAGAAGGATGGTGAGTATTTTCACCAGATTTGTTTTTGAGAAAATTGGTTAGGAAAGAAAGAGAACTTACATGACTAGGTTTAGGAACCAAGTTGCAGTGTGCATAAAATATATATTCTGATGATTCACTCATAATGACAATGAGCTTTTCATTCTACACAATGTTTGTCCCATTCACTCGTTCATGGAGATGTCTTTAGTCAGCCATGACTCATAGCGGAAACCCCGATTCCAAATAATCTTTCAAAAAGTCAGGTGGGGTGGATGATGAGCGAGATACCCATGGTGATCTGATTCCCTCAGGCATTAGTTCCTTCCACCTGTCTAATTTGATGAAGAGTTCTCTAGAATGTGAAAGGTTGTATATGATTTTGTGATATTTTGGTTGGCGTAATGATTTCTTACATAGCTGTGGTTCAGATTTTCTTCCCATGCTTTATTTATTTTTAAGACCCTTTCTATAGTGGTTCTACTGGAATAGGCTGTGTCTTGTCCTCAGGAAGGTGACTTTGGCTGTTTAGAAGGCAACCCTGATCTAATTTAATGTCTGAGGAAGAACAGACACAACAAAGCCATCAATATTTATGGTCACCTTCTGGAGCCTTTGATATTGACGATGGCACTGATACATTTATCTTGTTTATTTTACATATAGCTCAACTTTGAACTCTGCTTAATTTTCTTATGGCTTGCTTAATTTTCCCCTTGGGCACACCAGCTTTTTTAATCTTTAGTATGCCATTCAGCACTGGATATAGACCTCAGCCACAAGAGATTTTCCTCATCTTAAACATGATTTGAGAGGAAGTTCAAGCAAGATTTCATTGGGAAAGAATCTGACAATTTACGTGCCCTTCTAGAGAAGGCCAGTTTAAGAAACCAGCGCCATATAAGTCAGTACAGGCAATCCTCGATTTACAACAGTTCATTTAGTGATATTTGAAGTTACAGTGGCACTGAAAAAAGCAACTTATGACCGTTTTTCACACGACTGTTGCAGCATCCCCATGGTCACATGACCAATATTGGGATGCTTGGAAATTGATTCATGTTTATGACAGTTGCCGTGTCTTGGGGGTTATGTGATCCCCTTTTGCGACCTTCTGACAATCAAAGTCAGTGGGGAAGCTAGATTCATTTTACTAACAACTGTGGCGAGAAAAGTCGTAAAATGGGGCAAAGCTCACTTAACAAATGTCTTGCTTAGCAACAGAAATATTGGGCTCAATTGTGGTTGTAAGTCGAGGACTACCTGTAGTGCTATTAACATAACAGTCCTAGTAATGAAATCATGTAAGTCTGAGTGTACTTCTTCCTTTCTTTCTTTTATCTTCATGTGAAGTAGAGAGGGGTTTGTTTGAAACCTTTGCTCAAATTACTTTCTTGGCACAGGCTCAAACCCCTCTTATCTGGCCTTGGTAGTAGCTCTTCCTTCTGTCCTTCAAGGCCTTCTGTGCCCTTTCCTATCTTTGCCATTATGGATACAGAACAGAGGTAAAAGATAAGCTGGTTAATAAAAATGGCCTTAAATCAACATGAGGATCTCAAGTCAAGCCAACAATGCAGAGAGAGTGATACATTCATTCCTGCTGTTAAATCCAATATAAGCTGGTACTGTATTAGTACAACTTTATAAAATCCTAGTGAGACAACACCTGGAATAACGTAACCAATTTTGGTCACCATATTACAAAAAAGATGTTGAGACCTTGGGAAAAGATCAGAGAAGAGCAACTAAGATGATCCAAGGCCTGGAGACTAAAACATATGAAGAGTGGCTGCAGGACTTGGGTTTGGCTAATCTGAAGAAAAGAAAAAATAGGGGTGACATGATAGCAGTATTCCAGTATTTGAGAGGCTGCCACAAAAAAGAGGGGGTCACATTATTCTCCAACGCACCAGAGGGCAGGATAAGAAAAAAATGGTTGGAAACTGATCAAAGAGCGAAGCAAGCTGAAATTAAGGAGAAAGTTCCTAACAGTGAGGACAATTAACCAGTGTAACAGCTTGCCTCCAGAAATCGTGGGCACTCCATCACTGGAGGTTTTTAACAAGAGACTGGACAGTAATTTGTCTGAGATGGTATAGGTCAGTGGTGGCGAACCTATGGCACGGGTGCCAGAGGCAGCACTCAGAACCCTCTCTGTGGGCACGTGCGCCATTGTCCCAGTCCTAGGCCTTCAGCTGGGTTTTATAAAACTTTTTCGCTTTAGGTCCCTGCTGCCATGTGCAAAAAAAAAAAAAAAAAGTTCAACCAATCAGTCAATTTCAACTTCTCGCGGGGAAAAAAAAGATCTTGCAAAGTTGGAATTGATTGATTGAACTTTTTAGTCCCACCCAATCTGCCATTACCACCGCAGCCACGCCCACCCAATGGGCCACACCCAGCCAATGGGCCACACCCAGCCAATGGGCCACACCCACCTGACACCCGACGATCCATAAGTGGGTTTTGGGTTGCAGTTTGGGCACTCGGTCTCTAAAAGGTTCGCCATCACTGGTATAGGTTCTCCTGCTCGTGCGGGGGACTGGACTAGAAGACCTTCAAGGTCCCTTCCAGCTCCTATCCTATCCTATCCTATCCTATCCTATCCTATCCTATCCTATCCTATTCTATTCTATTCTATTCTATTCTATTCCCCTGATTTCTGAAAAAAAGATGAAAATTAAACAATGCTTTAGAAATACGAAAAACATCACTGTGATTGCCATTATGATACCAGTGAAGGTCTTGTTTTTTTTATTCCAGTTTCACCACATAGTGAGGTGTTCTTGGAACAGCTGGAGAACTCCAGAGAAGCTCTCCAAGATTATGGGATTTCTATTTTAAAGGTGGGATTGTTTTCTGGTTTATAATTCTTAGGGAAGCAGGAGATTTTTGGAATTTCAAGACGGTCCAGCCAAATTCTACCACAATGTAAATGACAAATTGCACATCAGCTTTTGATTGCAGAGTGAAATAGTTCTCTATTGTTTTCAACAAAACATAATCCTACTGTGTCAATTTATTCTCTGTCTACCTAGTGCAATGTGTTTGACTGTTAAGTCCTGAGATAACCGTTTTCCCATTACTGTTTTCTTTTTGTTCTGCCCAACTCAGTAGAAAATTGGAAAGAAATTAAGTAAAGCGATTGAGACTGAATCCCTCTGTCTGTCAGCATGGCAAATCTCTGAATACTAAACAGAATGGAACCACATTTGGTGTGCAGAGAAAAAGAATGTGGTAAAAAAAATGGCCTGGATCAATCTGGGGACTATAAAGAAGAACATTCTTCCAGCTGGGGGAAAGGCTCAAACATTGACAGCTGCTCTGTTGCACTCATGTGATCCAGGGCAGAGTCTATGTAGTCTGTATACACATATGCATGAATTTAGGGCCACTTGGGAAGGGGTTGGAAAAAAATCCAGAAGTTCTGCATGCTTTTCTTAGCTTATAAATTAAAATGTCTAAGACTCAGTTCTATCATTGAGCTGCTGCCTTCTAGCACTGTATAAAGAGAAGGCATGGAGAAGGAGAACATTGGAGATCTGGGAATAACAAAGGGAGAGAGGGTTTTTTCCTCATTTAATATGGGTCCAATGAGACAATTCATTTACATCATGGTTTTATATAACATGTCTGCTTTAATTTATAATAATAGATGCTACTATTTCACTATTGATATTAATAGAAGCTTCTCTCCAAGAGTAAAAAACAGCTTTGGAAGTTTGGATTTTGAACAGGATTGTGATGCTGGGACACAAAAACCTAACTCCATATGCCTCATTTTCAATCCTGATGTTTCCCAAAAGTTGTTTTCTAAAAATAAGCAAATTCAGACTCCTGAAATGTGTATTTAATGCATCACTCAGTTTGTCCAATTTGTTGATGTGGAGGATGAGAAGAAGGTTTTCATATAAGTGTTTCCAAATGAATCACAGTAAGCCTCAGCAGGTGATTTGAGAATGATGTAGAAAGCTAAGCAAGTTTGGGTTTGATTAATTCTTGATGATAGCAAGCAACTTCACTATTATATAACTGAGCTGGTTGCAGGTTTCATACTTTTGGCACATGGTAGTTAATATTACAGTTGTATCTCAATAGATGTTAGGATTTTTTCTTCTTCATAGGTTAACTGCCAAAGAGGAGAAGCCTCCAGCTACTGCAGAGGAGATAACTCCTTGGGAAAAGTATACCTATTCAGGTAAAGAGTTCGTCTGATTACAAATGAATAAATTACAGTGATTCAGCTTACATAGCTAGTCCTTGGGTTACAACAGGCATTGGGCCAGAATGTCTGCCTCTTTGCAATGCAGTTGTAAAGTAAGATGTCACATGATTGTATCACTTAGTGACAGCAATCCTGGCAGTCCTGGTTGCTGTCGTAATCCCAGGACAGTGCAGGTGTTAATCAAGGATCTTGTGTGACCACAATGTTGGAAAAGGTGGGAATCGCAGGCCAGCAGGTGAGAACTATGGGTGGTCAGGTGCTATAGAGCATGGGGAAGTGCTGCAGTGGCATTATGGTGCTCAGGTAGATGAAAAGACCCCATGTTGACTTCCTCAATGATTTTGCTTGTGGGAAGGTCTCATATAACTGCAGGATTCTGCAGGTGTCTTAGGTGTGAGCTGATTGCCAAGTGCCTGAACCACAATCATGTGCCCGTGGGGATGCTGCAACGGCCACAGCTTTATTGTAGGTCCCCCTCATTCAGCAACATTGTTAGTTTGAATGGTTGCTGAACAAGTGGTCATAACCTGAGGACTGTTTCTATAGCTTGGCATTGAGCTCAGATTGTGTGTGCTCTCCCTCAGTCTGTGTCCTTCCCCAGCTTCTTTTTTTCCTGGCCAAAGGTGATAGAAGTTTCAACACAACATCATTTGGAGGCTAACAAAACAAGCGCAGCTGAGTTTATTTATATATTTAGGAAAATTTAACGTTGGTCACCCAAAGTTAGCCTATTAATCGTAGGAAAGCAAAGGAGAGAAAGCTGAGTTTGGTCTGCTCTGAAATGAAATGAACTTCTTTATCCATGCTTTCAACTGAAAACACATGCTTTTATTTTGCTGAAACACCCCATTTCATTAAATGAACCATTAGGTTGTGATGGCTGTGTATAAAAAACATGCACGTTGTGGAAAAGGTGGACCCAGCCATTTTTTCTCTCCCAGTATTAGAATTCCAGTAGTGAGTTTCAAACCTATTCAATTCTAATAAGAGAAGTATTGATTTTGTAACTAGACCAAACATCAGTGCCATCAGATGTGGTGAAGATCACCAATTTAAGCTGTTTTATCAAGGGGTATATTAACTAAATAATATGGCCTGGAGACAGTAGCAGCCTGTCCTGTGTTTACATAATGATCGTGTCTTCTCTTAGGTTCCTTGTTTCCCATCTTGCAAGCTTCAGCCCTCAGACCCAAAGGTGCTTTTCTTGTTTTTTTCCTTGAAAATGTTTCACTTCTCATCTGAGAAGCTTCTTCAGTTCTAGCTGACTGGTGGGGGATTTATATTCTTTGAGACAACCTGGGGATTTATCTATATCCTCAGATCACCCGAATCTGTGTGCAAATGGGTGTGGAGTCTTCTTGGGACTCCTGAAAGGACTGCATTGTAAACAGGAGGTGTTGCATCTTTCCCCTTCTGTTGAGAGAGGGATGTTCAATTTTAACATAGATGGCCTCTTTAACCTCTCGTCAAAGCAGTGGTCCTCTCTGTCCAGAAAGTGAATTTTTGGAAAAGCACCTTTGGGACAACCATGACCTGGATGATTGAGAATCACCGTAGACATTCAGCCCTCAGACATAGGAATCTATAGCAGATCAGATCAACTCACCATTTGAGAAAAGGGCTGGTTCTGAGGGTTCTTGAAAGACCGAGGGGTCAGATCTTAATCTGGACACCTTTCGATACAACTGCTCTGCAACAGAAACACATATTAAATAGAAATGGCATTCAGTAGTTTTGCTTCCATTCTGCATGTTACTGGGCATATTGAAGGCTCACTGGCACCCCGTAAAGAAGTCTGACTCCCACCATCCCAAAGATGCAGCATGTGATAGACTGTGTTCATGTTCTTGCAGAAGCTGCCGGCTAGCTGTAAGCATTTATCTTGTTTTCCAGAGCCCATGTGTTGGTTCATGAACTTGCCATAGATGCCTTGTTCAGCTTGGATGCCATTGTGGCAAATGTACTTTTGTAAGTTCTCTTTCTTTTATTTTCTCAATGTACATCCTGCCTGTAAATAACAAGAATTGAAGCTGCCAGAAGAGCGAGAACCAAAACTCTCTCTCAACACCCGAAGTGGTAGAAGGAGGAGAAGGAGAAGGAGAAGACATCCTGCCTTTATTCAAGGCAACAAACAAAGCTAAATACAAATACAATTTAAAAAATATTAAAACTAGTTAAAATTCTCTTGTTTGGGGTATTTCCTGATGTTATTTTCCCTAATGAGCTGCTTTTCATTTTTTTATGGAAAGCAGATAGTCCCAGCTGGTTCATGAAAAATTACCAGAAAAAGTTCTAGACAGCAGGATTTTAGGAATGAAGCAGAAAAGTGACAGAGCAAGGAGTCTTTGGCAGGAGCTTGTAATAAAGATCTGACCTCGTAGTTGTTAAAGGGCTTGGATTTATTTCATTGAAATGTTTGTAATCTGTCAGGCCCAAAACCAAGAATGACATGTGACAATTCTTCCAAGCTCAGTTCTATATTGTTCTTTATTACTCTTTCTTTGGGTGCCACCCTGTGGTGATGTACAAGCCAAATTTCTGCACAGCAACCAACAGTGGCCTCTGTTCAGGATCCATTGGGGTGTGGAGTTGTACCACTTCTATTAAAAACGAATCACTTAATAGGGACCAGAATACTGCTTTGCTAAAAAAGTAAAGATAGCCAATGTAGTGGTTAAGACACCAAGCTAGAAATTGGGAGACCAAGAATTTTAGTCCCATTCACCATAAAGCCAGCTGGATGACCTTGAGCCAGTCCCTCCCTCTCAGCTCTAGGAAGGAAGCAATGGCAAACCACTTCCAAAATCTTCTCAAGAAAACTACAAGGACTTGTCCAAGTAGTAGCTGGGAGTCAATACTAACTTGAAGGCACCAAAGCAAACAAACTCAAAGTAGATCTCACTGGACTTGAATGGATTCCCACATCCTTGTGTCTAGCAAGCTCAATCTGAAGCTACGGTTCATTATTTTCATGGGTTTCTCAGAATAACAAGCCATAAATTCTGATTTGTAGATCACAACTTAGGTTTTTTTTAATACAAAGTTTCCTAATCTATTTAGCTGTTTTTAGGAGGAATCAGCTTGAAAGCCATCAAACAGGAAGTATATACTGTACATGTTTATTAAATTACAGTAATATAATGGGCATTGTGTTTTAGGCCCCTTTTAAACCCTCTTACTTAAAATGCAAATGGCTTGTTTTTTTTCTGAGGGTCTTCACACGTTGGTCATCCTGTTTTCTTCCCAGTGCTCTGCTCTTCAATGAAGTGAAATATATTTCAACACTGATGGACCTTCAGCATTTAGAAAACTCTCTGAAGGGTCGGTCTGATCTTGCTTTCGCATATGTGCAAGCTATTGGGACATCAGGTAATCCTACAGCTCTCGTACCCATTCACAAAGCTTTCTATTATTCATGGGCTGCTGCTTTTGCGATATGTTTGGCTTTGAGCTAACATGCCACTTTCCTGCTAAATGTTTTCTATTTTTAGTGCTGTGTTATAGTTTTCTCTTGTATTTTGAACTGGGCTGGAAGAGGTAAGCAATATGTATGACTAATATGTAGATAAATAAAAGGTAAGTGATACGTATTATGTCTGTTCGTACATGCCATAAACTTGAATAGCATTTGACACGGGTAGATTTTTGCCTGGAGTTTGCAAAGTCAGGATTAAGTTGGTTTAGGACAGGAGTGAGTGTGTGATGTTCTCCACAATGAAGGAGTATACTTGGCCTTTGAGTGGTACACTGAAGAACCGTAATGGTACGTGGGAATGATCTTGGGTGACAGGAGGAAGAGCCGCAGACCGGACAACCAGGGTGTAAAAGGTATCTCAGCCAAGAGAAAGAGGAAGGAGGGTGTGGGAATCATCTCAGGAGGGATCCTCTCTAGTTTTCCAGAGAGTAAAAGGAAAGGAAGGGAGAAGCGCCTTTGGAACTGCAAGATTCTGTTAATGTAACTTTACAATAAAGATAGAAATAGTACTCCTGGTTGTGCTTCGTTTCTGGAGTACAGGTAGTCCTCAACTTACAACAGTTCATTTAGTGACCGTTTGAAGTTGCAACAGCGTTGAAAAAAAGCGATTTATGACCGTTTTTCACACGACCATTGTAGCATCCCCATGGTCATGTGATCAAAATTCAGACGCTTGGCAACAGACTCATATTTATGACGGTTGCAGTGTCCCAGGGTCATGGGATCACCTTTCGCAGTCTTCTAACAAGCAAAGTCAATCGGGAAGCCAGATTCATTTAACAACTTTGTTACTAACTTAACAACTATAGTGATTTACTTAAAACAATGGCAAGAGAGGTCTAAAATGAGGCACAAACTCACTTAACAAATGTCTGACTTAGCAACAAAAATGTTGGGCTCAATTTTCATACGTCAAGGACTACCTGTACCCCAGCGTTCTAAAGAACACTCTCCAAAATTAATTTTGTTTAAATTTGAATTAAATTAAATGTGGTTACTATTGTATCCCTTATACTCAATATTGTTTTTTCTAAGTTGAAAAATTACTAAGCAGTCGCTGTTTTTCAAAAGGCTCAGACATCCAGAGGCTACCCATATTTCTGATTTAAGGGGAAAGGAAGAAGAGAGACAGAAAGACAAGATTTAGTTATCTAGAGGAATTGATGAATAAACATTTTCTCTTTCTAGAGCACCGAGTCTTCATGGAGGCTGCATTTGTTTATGGCTCAGTTAAGTTTGCCTTAACTACTGAAGTGGCAGTTCTGAAGAGCATTCGGTAGGCATTTCTCTATAAGAGCCCCTATGCATCAGGCCAAAGTCTTCAGGCTAGCATTAAATGTCACACAGAGTGGTCATTCAGAAACAGAACATGAGGGTGACAGCTTCATCCTCTTAAGAGGCAACAAATTCTGCCATGGCTGGATATAAAGGTCCAACCAAGTAAAGGCAGTGATGACTTTGGAAAAAAACTTCATAAATATAATCAAAACTATTTATTACAGACAAAACAGCTAAAGTAATTGTAAATGGAACAGAAATGGAACAGAAATTTTCAATATCAAAAAAGGCACCAGACAAGGGTGTCCACTATCTCCATTGCTATTCATACTAACATTGGAGGTATGAAATAGAAATATTAGGCAAGAGGTGGAAATTAAAGGACTGGAAATAAAAAATGAAAAATACAAATTACGAGCATTTGCAGACGATTTAGTCTTTATACTAGAAGAGCCTCTTGAGACAAGCTTTAAGCTTATGAAAAAGACAGAAGAATTTGGAGAAGTGGTAGGTCTGGCTGGATATAGAGGTCCAATCAAATAAAGGCAGCGATGCTAAGAAGGGCGTGGTGAATAACTGGTCACCAGTTTTGTGGATCTATTAAAAATGCAGTTGTCAATTAAGGCAATGGTCCCCAATCCCCAGTCTGTGGATCGACACTGATCTGTGGCATGCCAGAAACTGGGCCACGCAAACAAGCGAAGCCCCCTCCTCGGGATGCAGGCAGCATGTGAAACCATGCCCCCTCCAGTCCATGGACAAATTTATCTCCAAGGAATTGGTTGCTGGTGCCCAAAAGGTTGGGGGCCGCTGAATTAAGGAGTTGAGGCTTTGATACAGGTAGCTGTTTGGAACAGGGGTCCAAGATGACCTTTCACATATGGTAGAAGGCCTTGTTTTTTGTTTGCCTTCCATCCTGTGCATAGCATAGCCAGGGGTTGGGATGTGGCAGACAAAGTCAGCTCATTTTTTTATGTGTGCTTTCCTACTTCAGCAGTGAAGAGGCAGAGGTGCCGTCTTCGAAACTCTTCTTTTGCCACTGTAAGGTGGCCATGGATCCTAAACAGCCATGCCACAGGACTCTGATGGAACAGCCCTTGACTACATTAAGCATCCACAAGTTTCTGAAGCTGATGGGGGAACCTCTGGTGGTAGGTGACTTCTTTCCATGATGTTCCTCTTGTGTTCTGAATTCCCTTCAAAACGTATCAGGGACGAGTTGCATCCAGTAGGGCTAGTGGAATCAATGGAAATGTTAAAGGAACTGGGGAAAATTCTGTTGTTATTGTTTTTAAGCAAAAAGGAAATTGAAAGTATGTGCAATACAGTACAGTAGTCTTTGACTTATGACTAGTCAGTGACCATTTGAAGTTATGACCCAATTATGACAAACATGCTCCCCTCCCCCTGTGGTTAAGTGACTACATGTTGGGCACTTGGTAATATGGCCACATTCATGGCCATTTGCAGTGTTCCGTGGTCGTGGGGCTGCATTTTATGACAGTTTTGCCAAAAACTAGAGGTTACTTCCAGTTTTTGACAAAACTGCACCATAGCAATAGCAATAGCACTTAGAATTATATGCCGCTTCACAGTGCTTTACAGCCCTCTCTAAGCGCTTTACAGAGTCAGCATATTGGCCCCAACAATCCGGGTCCTCGTTTTACTGATCTTGGAAGGATGGAAGGCTAAGTCAATCTTGAGCCGGTGAGAATCGAACTGCCAAACTGTAGGCAGCCAGCAGAAGTAGCCTGCAGTACAGCATTCTAACCACTGTGCTACCACGGCTCATAGCGAACAATGGGTTTGCTTAACAACCAATGTGCTCATTTTATGACTGTCGTGTTTGCTTAATGACCACCGCACAAAAGGTAATAAAATTGTGCCGGCCACTTAACTGACCTGCTTTACAACCATCACGACATACGAACATAATGGGCAGGCTCCATTATGGTCATACGTCGAGAACTACCTGTAGTTGTTTTTAGCCCACATTGCAGATATAGGAATAAATAAATATATGCCGCTGTCTAAATTGTACCTAGTGTTTTGAAGCCAAGGAAAGCAAAATAAAGCACTGGTAGTCATTGTGACAATTATTCTATAGTTAAACACAGAAAAGGAGCTTTGTTGATTTATCACTGAGCAGAATCAGCTAATGTTTTACGCTATCTGTTCATGAAATGTTATTATCAGATGTCTCATAGCAAGGCAGGAAGCAACGAAGACAGACTTCTAAAATGCCATGGTTTGAGGCACAAAGCAGAATCATGTAGACTGCGATAGGAACCTCTAGTCCTTTGTTATTAGTGAGTTAATTAAGGTGATCTCTTTGAACAATTTCAGTGTTTTCTTCCTAAGCAATGGCAAGTTGAATTGAGATAAACTACTCATTCACCCCATTCCATCTTTGAATTGTTAATGGTTGGCATTCCTCCTATTTCTTTCTCAACCTCCTCACAATCTTTCCCAATTGCTGATAGATAATATTTTAATTGTTTATAATTATCTAATCTTCTAAGTGAATGAACATAATACCTTCCCAGTGGCTAAGATACTATGCCAAGAGGAAAAGTATAAGTAAGAGGTGAGGTCACTTTAAAATAAAAGCTCAGTATGATCTGGAATAATGCCCATGATGTTTTAAAGTATAATTATTCATTCCCCAAACTGAGACATTATTGCTAATACATGCTGAATAATCGAGAAAGTGAAAAAATGCCCCCCCAAAAATCAGTATGTGCTTCATTGACTATAAAAAGGCTTCCAATTGTGTCAGTTGCATCAAGCTATGGAATGTGCTTAGAAAAATAGGAATCCCAAAACATCTCATTGTCCTCATGAAAAAAAACTACATACAGATTAGGAAGCCTTGTTATGGACAGAACATGGCAAACTAGATTGGTTCAGGTTGGCAAAGGAAGGAAACAAGGCTGTATACTTTCCCCTTATTTATTATACATACACACACACACACACACACACACATATATATATACACACACAGTTCATTTAGTGACCATTCAAAGTTACAACAGCACACTTATGACCATTGCAGCATCCCCATGGTCACATGAACAACATTCGGATGCTTGGCAACTGGTTCATCTTTATGACGATTGGGGCCATGTGATGACCTCTGGAGACCTTCTGACAAGCAAAGTCAATGGGAAACCAGATTCACTTAACAACCGTGTTACTAACTTAACAACTGCAATGATTCACTTAACAACTATGGCTAGAAAGGTTGTAAAATGGGGCAAAATTCACTTAACAAATATCTCACTTAACAACATAAATTTTGGGCTGAATTGTTGTAAGTTGAGGACTGCACACACACACACACACAGTATATATATTATGGGGAAGTGGATTAGAAGATAAGCGAGGTTTTAAAATTGGAGGAAGAAACAACAATAAGCTATGCTATGCTGATGAAACAAGTCTAACAGCTGAAAACGCAAAGGATCTCTAAGCTCTAATAATAAAAGTCAAGGACCACAGTGAAAAAATGGAGCTAAAATTAAAGACCAAACGCATGATAACCGGTAGAACAACCACCCTTAGAATTGACAATGAAGATATTAAAGTGGTGGATAGCTTTTGCTTTTTAGCATCAATTATCAACAGTAAAGGAACAAGCAGTCAAGAAATGTGCTGCAGACTAGCACTTGGTAAAGCAGCCATGAAAGCCTTTGAAGAATTATTCAAATGCCATGATGTATCTACACTGACAAAGATCAGAATCTAAGCCATGGTATTCCCCATGATGCTGTACGGAAGCAAAAGTTGGACTTTGAAGAAGCAAGATAAGAAAAGTATTGACACATCTGAACTTTGGTGTTGGAGAACAGTCCTGAGAATATCATGGACAACCAAGAAAACAAACGAATCATTGATCAAATAAACCCAGAGTTCTTATTTGAGTCATAAATGATTGGGCTCAGATTACCCTACTTCAGGCACATTGTGCAAAGACCCAATTTTCTAGAAAAGGGTCTAATGCTGGGAAAGGTACGAGGAAGAAAGGAGATAATGGATGGATGGAAATATATCCCCTTTCACGACATTTAGCAAATTTTGAAAAAAAAAAGCTAGTATTATTTTTAGCAAGTACAGGTAGCACAAAATATCAGAGAAGTATTTGGTTTGCATACTGGGTCCAGGACTCATTTTCTGAAAACATATTTTGCTGTTGGTCAGATTAAAGTAAATCCAGTCTAAAATGTCATAAATATTAGGACTTAATATCCTAAAATTTCTTCCTTTTTCTTTAAATAGTGGAAGAAAATCATATTTTGGCCTCATCAATTAGTAGCAGGACCAAGCTCCAAAATAACACAGCATCCAAAGTCTTGACAAGGGAAGATACTTACTAGAAACTATCCAAATAAAAAGCATTGCTACTATGGTGGAGTTTGTCCTGCCCATTCCTTTTTCTTCTGTATCATGTCCACTTGATGGTCCACCTGCAGCAAATCTCAGTTGATCTTTTATGCTGGTGTTTTTTCTCCAGGTGCAGGTTGCAGAAGATCCCGAAAAGATTTCAACTACTCATCTCCAGCTTGGTCTACCACTCGTTTTCATTCTGAGCCAGGAAGAGACCTTGGAAGCAGACAAGACGATTGCTGAATCTGTAGCCTGGCAGTTGCTGGGGAAAGCAGGAGTCCTCCTTTTGTCAAGGTCCTTTGGAATTAAAAAGTGGGGAGGCAGAAAAAAGGGGAGGATTTATTCTATCACTGTTCTTATCTCAGTGTAATTCTTTAGGTTGGAAATGCTCAAAGACTCACAGCAAGTGTCAGGGGCGTCTGAATGGGGTCCCAAAAATCATGGAGACAAGATTATGGAGATTCTCAGTCATCCATGGTTGTTCCAAAGGTGTACTTTCAAAAGGCAACTGGACTTTGTTTTTTCTTGATGACATTTTGCTTCTCATCTAAGAAGCTTGGAAAGAAGCTTCTTCCAAAGTGGAAGACGTTTCTTCCAAAGTGGAAGAAGCTTCTTGGAGAGAAGCAAAACATTTTTAAGGAAAAGCAAAGTCCAGTTGCCTTTTGAAAATGTACCTTTGGAACAACCATGACCTGGACGACTGAGAATCTCCATAGACTTGCCTCCAGGATGGAGGCAAATGGTACTGCACAGTTGAAGCTCCAGTTAAAGCTCCTCGTTAAAGGGGGGGGGGAGGCTGTTTATGTCAATATGATGCATCCAACATGCATGTAATAAGAGACTGAACTTTGATTGTGACTGCCATCTTGACAGTTTTGTCCCCCAACCTTTCCAACTTCCACAGATATCCCTGGGAAGATTTAGAGGAGGGACTTACTTCCAATCAAACATGTCTAAGGTTGAAGCTTATCCTTTTGCTTAGGACAGTGTTCCCCCACCTTAGCAACTTTAAGTTGTGTGGACTTCAACTCTCACAATCTACACATCTTAAAGTTGCCACGGTTAAAAAAGACTTGGCTTAAGAAATTTACTTGGGTGCCTGAATCTTAATTGCATCCCTTCCCAAACTGATGTCTGCAACAAATGTTTGAATGCTGTTCTCATTATTCCTAGCAAATAGCATGGATTTGACTGAAACAGGCTATAGATGGGCAGGTATTCCTGCAGTAATGCTCATTCCTGCAATTAAACAACATCAGCAATATAAGATCTTGTCAGTGCAGATAGGAAAGAGCAAGCATGAGTTCTCAACATGAGCACCCTGCTGAAATAAATAAAAGATGAATTCTGCAAGAGCTGAATATACTTGCTTATCTTTCATAATTTGGTCAGTTTGCAGTTAAGCCGGGAGAGGGAGAATAAGCTATTATTCAAACCATTAGCTTATTGAAATGTTATTTGTGTCTCTCAGTCTTTACTAACCATTGGCTAAATGACTGAAAGCCTTTAAACCTCTGAACATTTGCTATAAAAAAGAAAGTGCGTATTAAAATGTGCATTCACATGGGCTTTCGTGACTTCTGCTTGTGAAATAATTTTAACATCATTTGGATTTATAATTGGCCAGGGGTTGTTGAGCTACAACTTCCAGCACCCCTTAAGCTAACAATTACATCCCAAAACTTGTGGGCAGTTAAAATTTGGCCACTTCTGGGGTGACAGAAGTGGCTCATGGAAGGATAACTGCAATATAGCAAGGAATACCAGGTGGCACTACAGTACAGCTTTTGTAAGTTTCATTTACAACTTTGGCAGAATGGGTTGTTTTGTAAAGAATGTAAAATGAACCAGATAATAAATGTGGCTGCACTAGGCAGAATCCACATCTGCTTTTCTTTCTAATTTCAGCTTTGTGAGAGGTCATACACCTTAGTTGGTGTGTGTGTCTGTGTCTCTATGTGTGTTAGGAATGGCAGACAGAAGGCTTTGCTGGACCATACTTCCAAAAGTAATGGGAAGGGTCAGGACACAGATTTGATTTTACTTTGCTTTAGATGAAAGCAAAATAATATGATAATTCCACAATAATTCATGCAGGGATGGATGCAGGGATGATGGTAAATAGGCTTCTTCAGCTTCCATGCATGACTTTCACCAGCATGAAAGTCAGAAATTTCCTGACAGTGAGAACAATCCATGGAACAGCTTGCCTCCCAGAGTTGTGGGTGCTCCATCGCTGGAGATGTACAAGAAAACACTGGACAACCATTTGTCTGGGACGGTAAAAGGACTCCTGCCTTGGACAGGAGTCCGTTCCAGCCCTATGCTTCTATGTCTATGTCTAATTAGGACAAAAAGAATTTGAACAAATTAGTTAATACTTGGGCTGCATTTGTAGATAAGACCATCGCTTTCTCCCTTATATCTATAGACATGGATAAGTAGCACATCAGGGCAAAAGGGTTTTCATTTAATCTTTCTGACATGCTAATTGTTTTTCATGGAGCATTTGTTTTTGTGCAGAGAAGTTTTGAATAATTTGAACACAATAATGAATAATGTGGTCTGATGCAATATTGCTCATTTATCTCTGAAAACGTTGCAAAGGTGTGATTCTCTACATATTGTAATTCACAATTTAAACTTTTATGTCATTAAAGGAATTCTGTTGGTCTGGATGTTTCTTCCCGATACAATGTGGCTATCAAGACAATTGAGGAGGTAAGTGGTCATCGTAGTTATTTCGGACTGACTTTTTAATTTATTGTGCAATCCTAGGCTGGAAAGGAAATGCTCCTGGTTAGTTCCAGAATTATGCACATAAAATTTGCAGCCTTAGCTGTTCTGTGATATAGAGTGTATACTAGTAATGTATTTTTTATTGGTGATGATAACCTTGGAATATTTCCAGACAGCTCTTAACAGTGTCAGTCAAAATGCATCTAATACTGAGAGTTGGAGATTTGATCTGAAGATCAATATTCAATAGTAGAAACCCCATTTGTTTATAAGGATTATAATAATTACCATGCTTTATCTCTGATTATGTGGTGTGCTGAACAATTAGTAACCAGTTGAAATCTGGACTCTCCCTTACATCATATTTTGGGCCACATTTTTGGATATTTGCATCTCTGCAGGATATGCCTGTTAAATACCTCACTTTGAAAGATGCAGATGAAATTGTAGCATTGGTGATAAATGGTGAGCAGAGCAAACCTAGTCTGGATAATAATGAAGAGGAGGTTTATGAAGAGGAGGAGGAGGAGGGAGTGAAGAATGAGAACAATGAACAAGGTAATTAAGATTCCTCAGAAGTGTCTTTGACCTATTAAGTTTTCACAAATTTATTTCTTTGCTTTCCGATTAAAAAAAAAGGTAGACAAAAATTATTTTTCTCATTGTATTCACTAGCCTGTCTGATACACATTTCATTGAGGGGTCCTTGGTGCTCTCTGATAAGGTTGTTTTCTTGCAGGTGTTTCATTACCCAAACTAGGTACATCATCTACATATTAAAGATCATCTGCATTTAGCTGCTGTCATCTGCTAGCACTGATGATGTCACCTAGTTTGGGTAATGAAACATCTGCAAGAAAACAACCAAGCTCAGAGAGCACCAGGGACCCCTCATTTCAACCCTGAGATACAAATATTCTCCTTTATCAGTAACACATTTCATCGCCGTCCTTCTACAGCTTGATAGTTAAAATAACATGCTCAAAATGCTGATTTTTGACACATTTTCTTTTCCTGGTAGCCTGGATAGATTCCATATTCACCAGAGATGAGCAAATTATTTACACAATTGTTTTGCAGTCACACTGTTTCTACATATTATTGTATATTGGCCCAGCTAGAGGGCAGCACATAACCAATATTGGCTGGTTGCTAAAAGCTAACAAGGGTCGATATTTGCATCAGAGGCCACCAGCATTTGCAGTGCCCTTGCTGGAAAGCAATTTCCAAATCATTTATTCCCCAGAATTCCCTTGAATTCTTCATAGGGCTTGGAGCTGAAAATAAACATGATAAACAACTGTTGCCTAGTATTTTGTTAGTAAAGGTATCCATTGGCAGTGAAAAAAATATGTTCTTTTTTTACTATGGGTTGATAGTATCCGGCAGGGAAGGAGGGTATTAGGGAGCAAATTCAGCAGTTTGCTTTCTAGAAAATAAACATTTTATGATAGGGCCATTCTGTGTCTAGGCAAGCATACTTACCCCAAAATATTGTAGGGGTTTTGTTTTTTTACAATTGTCTCTCTTATGTAGCCCAACTGGATTCCCAAAACTTTAGCAAGAGGGAAGGCAATCATCTCATGGTCTCTTAACTTCAGCTGATAAGTCTTTTTTAATAGTTCTTGACTATTCTTTGAGTCACATCCTTTTTTTTTTTACTATATTTACTATATTCTTAAAGAGGCTTTCCTACTGGATATCGTTTGCCTCTGATTTTGCTGACGAAAGTCCAATGGCCTCTTTTCACCTTGGCTGACCAAAGGATAGAGGTCAGAGATTGGCATTGTCCTACTTGCCAGGATTCAGAGGAATCCTGTTGCTGTTCCCCAAATTTGTCATTCTTCTTTCTTCTTATCTCTGTCACCTTTTTGGAAGATCTTATTGAACAATCAAGTGGTGACAGAAGCAAAAACAAGGAGCAGCCATGACCATTTGTGTTGTCTTCCCCTGCTAAGCCCAAACCATAAAGTTGAACTACTCTTCCCTAGGAGGATGGCCAGTGATAAGGGATGCTGGGAGTTAAATTCAGCAATGTCTAGGCCAGGGGTAGGCAACCTTGGCTCTTTTATGACTCATGGACTTCAACTCCCAGAATTCCTGAGCCAGCTATGGAATTCTGGGAGTTGAAGTCCATGAGTCATAAAAGAGCCAAGGTTGCCTACCCCTGGTCTAGGCAATCCCAACCTCAAGGAAGGGGCAAGTGAAGGGGCAGATGGTGGTGGTAAGAAACAAGAGGCAGGTCTGTTTGGGAGGAGGTGCATTATGAACCTTGTACTACGAAACCTATAAAACCTGAAGCGAGTGATGGCTGCCAAAAAGACAGTTCCATTTTATTTTCTCTATCATTTTTTCCTCAGAGTGTATTCAGACCAATGCTAATATAAGTACCTTTTCTCCACCCTGTCGCTCTTGTAAATTAGAATGTGCCTCTGCTTTGCAGAAATTCAGGATGATGAGGTGGTGGAATCTGTTGTCAGAGATCGGAGGCGTGAACTCCCCCTGGAACGCATCCATACCTTGACAGAAGAATCCTTCCTCTCATTTCTGGCAGAGACCAACCATACAGCAGTGCTCTTCTATGCCAGCTGTAAGTCAGATTTTGCAAGGTGTTGTGCAGTGTGGTTTTGGTGCCTTCTATTCGCTGTAGTGCTCTTTAGAATTTAAGCTGTTTTAAATGCTTAGTTTGCTTAGGTTGTGGCTGCTGTGACATTATTGAAGCACATGGATGTACACCGCCCAGTTACGCTCTTGTGAGATGGGCGGCCATACAAATATGATAGATAAATAAAATGAATAAGTAGGTGGGGCTGTTTGTGATGGAATGTGTACCAGGAGAATCAGTGGAGAAGAGTTTTGGCAACACAGAGCTTTTGCAGGGATGAGGCAGTAAATCTCATGAGAGAAACACCCAGATCAAGACACTGCATAGTCCTGAACTAGAGGAGGGGAAGAGGAAGAGATTCAGAGTAGCCACACCCTAGAATCTCTCAGGTTATATCTAGTAAGTTAGAAAGTTATAACTTTAGCTTGGCAAGATTTTGTCCATTAGGTATAAGCAAATAAAGGTTTGGACTTTATTGATTTCATTTGGTCATCTTTGGGCTGAGCATCACACTGTTCTTCATAATCATGCTGGAAACCACTGGTAGAAAGCCCACATAAGAGCAGGATTTCTCTACCAAAAGAGGAGAACCAGTACAGAGTGAGTGTTAAGATACTGGGCTACAATTGGGAAAACCCAGTTTCACATCTACCCTCGGATATGGGAAGTACCCTGCACCAGTACCCTGTACTGTCTTTGAGCTCATCAACCATCAGGAGTTGCTGCTGGAAAACGTGGAAGAGGAAGTGCTATGAATGTTGTGTTCAGATCTTGGATGAAGATGGGACATAAACCTGTCAAATAAATAATAATAATAATAATAGTAAGCATTTGGAAACTTTTAAATGAAGAACAGTAATCTGTGGAATATAAATTGGTTATGAAACCTTTACATTCATTGGCAGTATCTCTAAAGACTACATCCTATGGTACAATAAGAGGAAAGGCTTTATAGAAACATACGTAACATAATTTCAGGGAAACAGGATGCTGAGTTTATTGGAACTTTATTAGGATCCTGCAGGGCTCTTGTTTACTTGAGGTTGATCCTGCCTTTCAGTCCAAAAGAATCCCAGGAGTGTTATAAAAAAGATAAAATACAAGTGTATTGGCCCTATCTCCTGGCATTGCTCTTGGGTTACATATCCTTCTATCCATCCTGCCTCATTCCACAAAAACACGTTTTTATGAGCTCTTTGCTGCTGTTCCAGTCTTACGAGTGCTGGCAGTTGGACAATATTCTAGTTTAGTTGCATGTTGTGTTCTGACTAGCTGGGCTCCTCACTCTCTAAGGACAAAACCAAAGAAGCCAAAGACAAGCCTATTTATTCATTGAAAATATAGCCCATTTTTTCTATTAAAGAGAGCTACTTTTTAAAAACAACAACAACAACAATAACATAACATTAAAATTAATTAAGAAATAAGAATAGGACAAAAATATATTCTCTGAACATGGAAGAACAAATGCATATCCCGAGAGAGTAAATTTCATAGCTTGGCAACCATTAGGAAAAGATCCTCTTTGATACACCAAAGTGGAGAATGGAGGAGAACCATCCAAAATGGTGCCCCCCCCCATTCCCAAATCTTATAGCCACTCCAGAAGGATAATGTGATTGATGGTATCTGTCAGGCCTCTAAGGTAAATCACAATAGGAAATCAAAGCTATGCATGCTAAAACAACATTTATAAAAGATTATAGTAACAGAGCCTTGCAAGTCTGAATGTCCTTTCCCTTTATCTTTGTGAGATATACTGTACTATACTGTATTTATTTATTTATTTCCCATCTTTATTGTCATGATAAATAACTGCTACTCTTCCCTCTTCCTATTTTCTCCACAACAACAACAACAACAACAAGCCTATGAGGTCCGTTGAACTGAGAGAAAACGACCCAAAGTCATCCAGCTGGCTTTATGCCTAAGGCAGGACTAGAATTCACTGTCACCTGGTGTTTCATCCCTCAGAGTTCTTTGGAGAACCATGGTGCAACTTGAGAGCCATGCACGTGGAGAAGCCAGATAAATGTTATCTGTCCAGAGTCTAAGCCATCTGCCCACTCCAGCCAGTGGCTAAGACCTTAGCTAAATTGCCCATCAAATCTTCAGGGAAAATCCCAAACTTCTTATAGAACTCAACTGGGTCCATCAGTCTAGGCTTTCAAGGTTTAGAGCCATAAGCAGTCTGTCCATTAGCTATTTAAGGCTTTAGGGATTAATACTAACATCTTAAATTGTGCCCAATAACTCCTGGCAACTGGTTCAAATCTTTCAGTAGAAGCATCAAATCACCTTTGAAGTTGTACCAGGTAGCACCTTACCTGTGCATTTTTTGGAATTTCTGGATACTTTGTCTGGTATAAAACATGTTGTCAAAAGAAAGTTGAGTTTTATGGATATGGACTCGTATTCCTTCGTGTCTTGAGTTTTGACAGACTCCAGATGCTCTGGTATCTGAGATACTGGGTTACTTTTTCTGTTCTCATTACAGGGGAAGCTGTCTCTCTGGTGGTGATGCAGTTTTTCCTTGACGTTGCTGCTCAGTTGAAAGGTATGGCTCAGTCAGTATGATTGCTGTGGCTTGTCTATTTCCTTAAGAGGTTGTTATTTTACATGATTAATTCAGCTTAAAGTTAATTTTGGTAAGTGGAAAAGCTGGTGATGCCTAGTGGCACAAAGGGAAAAACTGAGCTATAGAATCCCAAAGAAATATTTGTCCAACTTTGCTTGAAAGCCTCTTTCCCAGTTTGACATCCTTCCAATGCTTTGAGAGAACACCATTACTTGCTAACCTAGAATGCAGAGATCTAAAAAACTAGAAAAATAGTGGAGATGGCACTTTTTTTTAAAGAAACAAAAATATTGTGAAATATTTCCTATTGTATACATAAAATTTTAAAAAGTGGTCTGTTTAGAAATAGGTTGGCTGGGAATTCTGACAGTCACAAAGACATCTTGAGCATTATCAAAGATGGTTTAGTCTTCAGGAATGACTTCCCTTTGAATTTGTTAAACAATAGTTGGGTCATTTTTTAAATGAGTGTTTATATTAGTTACTTCTCAGAACTCCACTGTCTTACTTTTTTTCATTCCTGGCAGACTTTGACGTCACTAAATGGAATTATAATGCACAGCTGAGAGTATGTCCTGCATACCTACTGTTTGACAATAGGCAGAAAAGCAGCAAGTAAACTAGCTGCATACGAACACCCTGCCAACTCATCCCCTTAAAAAGCTGGACACAATAAACAGATGTTAGATCTGTTGCACTCAGCTGACCAACTTCACTTTTGAATGCAGCTGCAACAGGGAGTTTCAGCAGGGTTTTGTAGGAGGCTTGGTCTCTTTTAAGGTATCCATGAATCTAAAAGAGAAGAAATGTGTAGTGACCCTTTTCACGACCCATTTTCCTTGTTACCTTCTGGGAGGGGGCTCCGTGGTATCCAAAGCAGAACATCCAGATCCAGTCACAGTTTTGTTCCATACAGTATTAACCTTGTGAACTCTCAAGCTTCCTCCTTCCGTTATGTATTCAAGATGGACAGTGATTAATATTTATATGTTACTTGTTTGTAAGGGTGTAGTAGGTCTATACATATGTTGTATATAGTATGTTTAAATGTGTGTTATGTATGTGTACACTTTGAGAGCAAGCAACTAAATTTCATCTTTAATGTGTGCCATTGTGCCCACAGTAAAAAATGACCATAAAGTTTATATAAATCTAAATCTAAATAATAAAGCATGTAATGACTAACATTTAGGTGACACTTTTGTTTAGGAAGATAATCTGAGCTATAACTTTGTCTACTAGGATGGTTGCTAAGTAGCTGGCAAATGCCAAGAGGCACTTTTACAAATGCATCAAAATCTAATGTACTTTAATTTAAGCCACTTAAGAGATTGATCTGCCTTGTTTTAAATGTTAAGGCGTCTCTCTGTGTTTATGTTTATTCCAGTATTTTACATTGATTTATAATGACTTCCTTTTCCTGGCATTAAATACTTTTGGTCAGGCTGGAAAAACAGCCATGCTACTGCTGAGTGATTTATAATAATTTAAGTCAACTTTTCAGTAGGCTTGACTATTGATTCAAAGAGTAGCATTTTTAAAAAGACTGTAGTATTAATTGGGTAGTAGGTATCAGTGGGTAGTCCTAGAATGTATTGTCAATTCTTGGGCTAAGCCTTGGAACAAATCAATACCTAAAACAATAAAAAATGTTTTTGGCAGAATATACTTTGTAAATTCCTATGCAGTTGCAGTTATTTCTTTTCTCTCAAAGGCTGGCAGTCTTTGTTTCCCAGCTGCCATCATTTGATCTCAAGTGATTGTCTAGCATGCCAAATCAATCAGTCAATCAATCAGTCAGACCTGAAGTTGCCAAGAAATTTCTGTAATCATTTCCCAAAATCCATGAGGTCTTGTGAAAGAAGGGCAGAAAAAAACCTCATGATCTCACACAAGCACAGCAAAATCTCATGAGAACATAGAAAGTAGAATAATAGAGTTGGAAGGGACCTTGGAATCTTCTAGTCTAACTCCCTGCTCAAGCAGGAGATCCTATACAATTTGAGACAAGTAGCTGTCCAGTGTCTTTTTGAAAGCCTACAGTGATAGAGCACCCACAACTTTTGAAGGCAAACTATTCCATTGGTTGATTGGTCTCACCGTTAGGAAATTTCTCCTTAGTTCTAAGTTGCTTTTCTCCTTCGTTACTTTCCAACCATTGTTTCTTGTCTTGCCTTTTGGTGCTTTGGAAAATAGTTTGACTCCCTTGTCTTTGTAGAAGCTCTTCAGATATTGGAACACTGCTATCATGTCTCCCCTAATCCTTCTTTTCATTAGACCAGACATGCCCAATTCCTGTAACCATTCTTTATACATTTTAGCCTCCAGCCTTTAATCATTTTTGTTGCTCTTCTCTGCACTCTTTCCAGAGACTCAATGTCTCAACTAGAGAATTGTCTAGCTTCTGGGATCTTAATCATTTCAAAAAGTTACATTTATTTTTCTTTAATTTGGGGATGTTACCACACTGGTTTAAGGTATTAAATATGATGTAGCATCTATCGGGGTCTATGGGTCTAACTCTTGTTGTCTGCTTTCCATTGAAAAATAGAGAAGCATATAGGTACACTCTCCAGGACCCATTTGGAATCCTCTGGTACATGCAGATTAAGGTGCTGACTCTCTGTGGTCAAACAACCAAATTGGGCAGCATGATTTTGGCCCATGTCAAGTAGAATTTAAGATGAAGATGGGACTGCTTTGCTCCAGAAGCCTCTTACTTTCATTCCCACTCTAAACCTGTACAAATGAAAAATAAAATGATCCAGCTTCTTCTGGTGATAACATAGCATTTAACAGATGACTGCCTGGGGTGCTCCAGAAGATCAGTAGCTTCTAGGCAGTCTTAAATTTTAATGCTGCTCTTTTTAAAGAACTAGTTAAAAACATTACATCTATCTTGGAATTGGCCTTTCAACTCCCTGACCACTGCCATAAATATTTGGATGTTAATTTTCTAATTTTAATTTTAAATGAAAAACAAAACTTGCTTTTCTTAGAAACTCTTTGTTTGTTCAAGGTATTCCTGTACTCTTTTGTTTGTTAATTGTTATTTTTTGCTTTTTTTCACTTAACTTTACTTCAGAGACAGAAAGAAACATACAATTAACCTTTCTATCCAAAGGGGCGTTGAGAATGCGTTTCCCGCAAACCATGATTTCTTTTTATGTCATGTGAAATTTAATTCTGAACATTTAATACTCCAGTTATTAAAAGCAGCCTGTAATGGAATCACAAGGATCAAAGGTGGCTTTTCTTAAAAAAGAGAATCAGAAATCCTACTAAACATATCCAAGATTTTCATTATGGTGAGAGTAAACTAAAGTATTCTACAATACTTACAATACATAATGAGTACTCATAGCAATGAACCAAAATTCTACTGACTGTATGATCTTCCAGGTTTAGTAATAGCACATGTGAAACAGTTATTAAAGTGTAACAGCAGGAAAGAGCCATTGTCTTCATACCTTGCTCATGGATGGTCTTTGATCTGATTCAGCAAAGTTCCTGTGAATATTCTGACCAATATGTTTTGATTCTTATTTTTGATGTATCAGAAAATCATTTGGGCCAAGTCAGCTGAAGAATCAGTGAATAAAAACTAGAGCAGTTCTTCATAAAACAAAAGTAGTCAATGGAGCAACTTCTAGGATTTTTTTTTTAAAAAATTTCATGAATTTTACACAAAGAGCCAGAAACATTTATATCACTGCCCTTTTGTTGTTTTTCCCCACACATTTTCTGTAGGGACTCCTGAGATTTCACTTGCAAGGGTAAACTGCTGGGATTGGCCACAGCTTTGCTTGCAGGAAAATGTCACCCAATTTCCTGCCATGAAGATGTATACAAGAGAGAAGGCATGGCCGGCTTACTCTGGCATGTGGGAGACCAAAGAGATGAGAAAGTTCATTGAACTGTAAGTACTATGTTGCTGGTTAAGAGCCACTTTAGGGCAAACTTTCCTGATCCTGGTATCCTCTAGATTTCTTTGAACGTAAACTCTCATTATTTCCACATTATATAAGCAAATTCATGGAATTCACCCAAACCTGAGAAGAAATGAAAAGGATGTGGATAGCACTTGTCTGAAATGGTATAGGGTCTCCTGCTTGAGCAGGGGGTTGGACTAGAAGACCTCCAAGGTCCCTTCCAGCTCTATTCTGATTGATTGAAGCCCTTGAGGGAAGAACTGGCTGGGAAGTAGTTGGGAAATGTGAAATTCAAACTGTTGCATTTTTTGGTGGTTTTTTCTTACATTTGTATCTCACCCTTTTTCTCTAGACTTCAGGGTAGACCCTTAAATTGTACCCACAGAATAACAATGCCGTTATGAGGTAGATTTAGCAATAATATAGGACCAATGCCACCAAGAGAGCCTATGGTCAAGTGGAAAGTCAAAACTGAATCTCCTTGCCCCAAATCTCGCACCTTAACTACTATGCTATGTGGGCTTTCAGTAAGAAGAATTCAGAAAGCCTGAATCTGAGGTAGTTTTGCCTCTGCAGTACATTTCACAGCTGAAGCAAACATGCACAGTTTACATGTGCCATTCAGATTAGATGAAAGAACAAGATGTGCATTCATACATTTCTCCATGACACTCTGAAATTGTTTTGGAAAATGTTGAAGACGTGGGAGATGCAGGGAATGGAGTTGTCCTGCACCTAGGAAACAGAATTCTGTGAAAGCAAAATAAAATAAAACTGTCCCTTGTAAATCGGCCTGAAGTCTGGTTTCAATTTACATCTTTAGAAGCAGAAATTCTTGTCCAGTGAGATTGATGACGCCTGAAGAAATAGAAGAATATTTAAGTCACAAAAACTCACCACACCACACAGTTTCTGTTCTGGGAATATTTGACTCAAGCATGAGTGAAGGTAAATCCATTGTCTGGTTATTTCAAACATTATTGCAAAACACAATGTTGCTGAAAGTTATAATACTTTGTAATGCCTTGTGATTGTAGAATAAAATTTATGCTAGGATCTTTCACAACAACCCAATAGACAGGGCACTGGCTGTATTATACAAGGTTATTGCTTCACATTGTGAGCCAAATTTGGCTGTGTGCGTATAATTTTTTTCTCCCTTATAATACTAGAATTTGGATTATCCAGGGAGGTAAGTGGCCAGAGAATCAAGAATGAATTTAAAAAAATATATAAACATCCTTCAGATAATTTTATTTGTTAAAAACAAGCACTTCATCTCTCTCTTTATTTCTCCTTCTCTCTCTCTCTCATAAACACACACATACATACAAATACAAAATGTAGATGCTATTTGGAATATATTGGAAAAATTCAGAGAGGATTGGAGGGCAGGTACCAGGTGTTCTTTGACCTAGAAAACCTGAAATTGCTCATGCTCTGCTTCTTATTTTCTTGGGGTTTTTTCCTGTCACTTCTCAGGTTGAGTACAGGTTGAGTACAGGTAGACCTTGGGTTATGACAAATGGGACAGGGAACTCTATCGCTAAGCAATGCAGTTTCAAAGTATGATGTCATGTGACCAGGCTGCTTAGCAACAACAATTCTGGCAGTCCCAATTCTAGTTGTTAAATGACGACCATCCTCACATGATAGGGAGGATTTCATGTGATCGCAACCTCTGACTTCCTACAGACTTTCCCATTGATTTTGCTTATGGAAAGCCAGCAGGGAATGTCAAAAATCATGATTCTATGACCTTGGGGGACACCACAATGACCGGAACTCTAAGGATTTGTACCCTCATTCAGCTCCATTATAGGTTTGCTAAGCAAACGTCTTAAGATATTCCTTCAACTTCTCCAACCTGATCCCATAAGAAGCATTGAAACAGATGCAACTCCCAGAATTTGGAAGTAGGTGGGGCCAGAAAATGGCTAATCTAGATTGAATTTAATTAAACTAAGCTAAACTAAAATTATTATTCCCAAGGTTTTTTATACTTTTCCTTTTCTGTCACATTAAAATTACAATTTAGCAGTAACTTTGGAAGGTTCCTCTGAGCCACATCCAAGAACTGAAGAACTGCATTATGTTTTCTCTAAAGTTCATGTTTGTGTAGGCCAATAGGGGGCAGCAGCATACTTGTACTTGGCTCTAGATTCTGTTGCCTGTTGAATTGATGGCTGGGTGAAACACTGACTTTTATATGGTGATAAGTCAGCTTCTGCAGGAAATTGAGTTGAGATTGTCAGATAATTACCAACAATGCGTTTTCATCGCTTTTGATAATGAACTTCAAAATTGTACTATATTTTTTATGTTATTAAGGGTGACGCAAAGAAAGAAGAGAGAAAACTGATAAATAACTATTTCAGTTGATTGAAGACTCACTCAGAGATTGGTAAACAGAAAGATCTAGAGTGTGTCAAAAAAGCCCAAAGCCAAATGTTAAACCGATGGACTGATTGATTTAATATGAAGAGCTGTTTTCTGAGTATAAGGTACTGTTATTACATGACAGGCCAATCTCTTCCTTTAGCTGAGAAAAATCTATCATGACTAGCATTTTTACAGTCCACAATCTGGCAGAAGGACCTTTACTATCAATTGTTTGTTTGATCCATTTTGTTGGCGAAATCTGGTTCTTGGTCCGAACTGCTCTTTGTAATCAGACTGATACACTCCATTGATAAGGGCTCACAAGGTCAGAAAAAACTGCCCTTACAAGCATCCATCTCCTGCTGAGGTGACTCCAGAGGCAGCCGAGGGGAGTAGCATTTCCTTTGCTACCTATTGTCTGTCCCTCATCTTAGGTAGCCTCAGATGCAGTGTTGGCCTGAAGTAAGCAGTTGTCCAAGCAAAATGGTGCTTTCCCAATAGAAGCATGAGTGTTCCACAGCTATTGCCTACCCTTCAATCTTTCTTATATTTCTGAGGAGCACTTTGGAGCAATGGTTCTATAAGGCTTTCTTCACCTTTTAAGGAGAAATTCACATTGATTCGATAGAATAATTTGGGAAATTATCTGGGGCATTGGTTACTCCTCACCTTTTATTAAGGAAAAGCCAAGAGCAACTGAATTTAGTCATTGGCGTTTTCCTAAAGTTTTGTGGCCCTGCATATTTTCCATTGTAAAGAGTAAGAAGCTGTTAAAATCCCAAATATCCAATCCTAGTATGAACATCAGATGCTCTAGAAGGGATTCCAGTACTGGCTCTTGATCCTTTCCATCTCCCAAGAGGGCCAATCTTTTTGGGCCCTGATGGCTGCATTATGGGTTAGATAATGACCAATGCTAGAGTAAATGATAAGCCTACAGATGCACCAATAGGTAATGCAATTTGCAGAATGAAAATCTCACACGGTATTCTTGATAGAGCAATTTTTATATATCTGTGACAAAATATACATAAAGGAACTTCTGATAATATAAATCAGCCTTGGAGTTGCATTTCTCTTAATGCTATTTAAGAAATTTCATTTTCAACAAAATAGGATAAATTGAGTTACCATCTGACAAAGTTTCCTGGTAGTTCTGATACCAAAATCAGGAGTCAAAATACAATTGAACCCTCCAATTCCTACATGTCATTTTTTTGGTCATTATTCAGTGGCAGCAAGTCTGATTCATTCAAATTTATAGATTAAGCAAAAAGGATTCCAAACTCATACATACCGATGAAATAAGAGTAAGAATAAAATGTTCTAGTCTAATAGGATATATGCATCCTATTCTATAGCATCTTATGATGCATCCCCTTTTATGATTCCGTTAATGATTTCAAAGTTTGTAGTATGCACATATTGAAGGGCCTTCTCTGCTCTGGCACTTCTGCTGGGAAATTATTTCTCTTGTGTGCTGTACCATGTCCCAACAGTCATCTTTTTCTCTTTTGTATTTCACATTTACCCTTTTGGTTGGCTTCTCCTAAAATCTGTTTTTCCCTGTTTGTTTCAGTGGACTGTTTTTGTTCAGGTTCTCATGTATTGGCAATAAACAGGTTTACGTGTATTGAGTATATAAATGGAATAAACAAATAAGTAAAGTACGGTATTTATAAAATGGCCTTGGAATTTTTTTGCAGTTGAGAGCAATACTGTATGATACACACTTACTTCATTTACTGCTTATGTCTGTGAATGTCTGATTGAAGTTGATAAATTTAGCCAGGGGCAAGAAAAGAAATTTGGTCATTACATTACATTGAAAGCTGCTTTGTTTTGTCAGCAAGAGAGGCTTTTATTGAAGCTGGAAGAATCCTAAATGGATATGTCACAACAGGGATCTACTATGAAGAGGATGCTACAGTTCTGTATGTTGCTTTTTTCCTTGCTTGAACCAGATAATGAATCAATTATTTAATTGCTGCATTCAAGGACTGGGCAAGATCTAAACAGAATTCTCCCTTTTCTTTGCTGATGGGATCTGTTTCTAATTGTCAGCATCTTTCTAAAGCAAAATTTCTTCACCTGAGGTCCATAGAACCCTTGGAGATCCATAGATAGATTTAAGGGGTTCATGAACTTGGATGGAAAAAAATGTTTTCATTAACCTCTCATTGAAATTTAGTTTTTCATTCATTAATGTACATACCACAGGCAACAAAGTAACATATGGCCTCTAAATTCCAAAAACATTTAATTCTTTCATCTAAAATCACTAGGTCCTAAGAAAGGGTAATATTTTGTTATTGATTGAATGGATTAATGAAAAAGCACATATATTACTATATTGCATACTTAAATATTTTGTTAATTGTATTTGAGAATAATTAAGTTATAGGTAAGTTATATGCATGTACTGTATATATTTATGTTTTGCAAGTAAATTAATTTTATTGCCCATTGATTGCAATAGATTGTCAAATGGATCTCTGGCATAAAAAAATTAGGAAGCCCCTTTCTAAAGAGAGACATGAGTAACTGAATTTGGTTCACAGGGCTGTTGATTAATGCTATAGATTAAAGGGACAGCAGATTTCTTTGTGGTTCTAAGAAATGCTGTTTTTCCAGGGCTGCTCCAGTTTCTCCCTCAGGAAAGATGCTATGCATTTTCTAAGATAACACTTACACGATTGTATATCAAGGAAATTAGTATAGATAGCCCTTGACCTATGACCACAACTGAGCCCCAAATTTATCTTGTTAAGCGAGACATCTTTTAAATGAATTTTGCCCCATTTTATAGCTTTTTTTGCCACCATTGTTAAGTGAATCACTGCAGTTGTTAAGTGAATCTGGCTTCCCCATTGACTTTATTTGTCAGAAGGTTGCAAAAGATCACATGACCCCGGGACACTGCAGCTGTCATAAATATGAGTCAGTTCCCAAGCATCTGAATTTTGATCAAGTGACCATGGAGATGCTGCCACAGTCATAAGTGTGAAAAATGGTCATAAATTACATTGAACAGTCACTAAATGAACTGTTGTAAGATGAGAACTAATGACTGCAGTGCTTTTTGTATCGTTGTATTCATATGCACACAAATATGGTATTAATTCAATAGTCAGTTCAATTTAACTTAGACTCTTTTAATGATTTGGCTAAGATTCCTCAATCAGATAATAAGAGCAATTTTGGTAGATCTTTGAAATATATTTTTGTGTTTTTTTCCTCAGCTCCCATAAATATAATGTACCTCTTCCAGCACTTCTGTTTGCTAAGCCTGCAACTCAGCAAAGGAATGCCCTCCAGCTCTCGCAGTATAACACACAAGACATTGTTAAAGTAATCCGTCATGCATTGTTGGAGACATTTGTGAGCATAATTTCTAGTTCTGATCTTTTATTTATTTAGAGACTCTTTATTGGGATTGTTCT